GGCTACGTGGGGTGGGTGGGCGGCGGTGCTCAGAAGACCCCTGCCTCCTGGCCCTGGAGGGGGGCGCTGAGCGGCTCTGAGAGCAGGGTCCTGTGTTTGTAAACATCATTAATCAGGGATTAGCAGATGGGCATGCTAATTGCACCTGTGGAAGTCAGAGACCTCAGGGTTGATTACATTTACAAATTGTGGGGCTCCCTGGCGCCCGCCCTCCCTGTAGTAGGGGGGCTCTAGTTGAGGATCCCAGCCTGGGGGAGGGAACTGGCAATTTAGCCTTCTGCAGGAAAAAAAAAAAGATGCCAGCCCTGGAGGGGGCGGGGTGCTATGGGAACCCCAACCTCCTAGGAATGTCATTTCAGCCCCGCCCCTCCCAGCTCCCTCTGTTCTCCCCGGTAAACCATTGTGTGTTGCAGCTAAAAGGGGTCCTAGAGCCTCTGGGGAAGTTGAGGCCAGGGTGGTGGGAGGGCAGGGCCATGTCCTGACCTCTAGGTCGGCCCCCCATATCAGCTGAGAGAGCATCTCGAAGTCCAAGGACACAGGGCAGGGGGCTTTACGGGCACGATCCCCCCACGTGGACACTGTTGCAGTGCCTACTCACAGACGGGGAAAGCCAAGGCTTGGCACCACCACCAAGTGTCAGAGGACACTTGAGGACACAACCACCAAGTGTCAGAGCTGGAACTCACAGCGCACACGGCTTACAGCCAAGGTCTGGCCTCTGCCACTGCCGCGCTCTCCTCTGGCCGCCCCCCGACCCTGCTGCCCTTCCTACCCACGGCCGCAGCCGCCCCAGATCCCGGTGTTTCACCACACCAGCTGAGCTGAGCAGCCTCCATGTACCTGGCACCTGAGGTCACGTGCAGAGAAGCAGGCCTCATCCTCGGCCTCGGGTGCGTTTTCTTCATTTGGAGAGTGTATGGGTTGCAAGACACTACCATGTATCTGTATGTCCTGGGCAGGTAATTACAGCTGCAATTCCCTCTGGTTCAAGTGAACCTGTCTTCCCGAGGACAGCCAGCCTGCTGCCTGGAGGGATGAAGCAGGAAGGAGCCACCGGGGCCTGGCTGTTTCCCCAGGGAGTGGCCCTGGAGGTGACCCAGACCCCTGGGACTCAGAAAGCTGACGGACAGCAGGCCCAAGGTTAGAGAGGGGTCCGGACACCACAGAGGGGTCGGTGGGCAGGAGAGGGCTCTGGACCCCAAGAACACCCACCCCGACTTCTAGGCTCCATGCTAGCTTTAGTTCTGGAGAGCACAGCTCAACTCTGTACCCCAGTATGGGGGGGAGCACCAGGACACCTCAACCTGTTTCCACCAAATCAATTAGTCTGGGATCTCCAGAGAAGGAGAACCTCTCTCTCTCTCTCTCTATATATATATATATATTTGACTTCCCAGGGGTACAGTGGTAAAGAATCTGCCAATGCAGGAGATATAAGATGCAGGTTTGATCTCTGGGTGAGGAAGATCCCCTGGAGAAGGAAATGACTACTCACTCCAGTATCCTTGCCTGAAAAATCCCATGGACAGAGGAGTCTGGTGGGCTAGTCCATGGGGTTGCAAAGAGTCAGACATGACCAAGCATGCATGCATGTTTGTGCACACACACACACATATGCAAACCCACATATACACACACACTATATATGTTATAAGGAGTTGGGTCATGTGATTACAGAGGCTGATAAGCCCCAAGTTCTGCAGGGTAGGGCTGGAAACCCCAGGAGAGCTGATGACGTCGTAACCATCTAAGGGCCAGCAGGCCTGAGACCTAGGAAGAGGCCATGTTTCACTTCCAAAAGGCAGGCAGAATATTCTCACTTGGGGAAGAGTCAGCCTTTCTGTTCTACTGGGGTCCTCAATGGATTGGACAAGGCCCACCACATAGGGGAGTGCCATCTGCTTTACTCAGCCCAGCAATGCTAATCTCATCCAAAAATACCCTCACAGAACCACCCGGGATAATGTTTGACCAAGTATCTGGGTGCCCTCGGGTTGACAAGCCCACTCGGGTTAACACACTGACCTGAACCTTCACATCCAGGTTTGAATTATGATGTGCCAGTCCTGGGCACACAGTCCTGTGTTTTACACAACACTTTTTAATCTTTACAACTTCCCTGTTGGGGAGAGGGTAGCTGGAGCAGGTGTAGATGGCACTATCCCCATTGTACACATGAGGAGACCGAGACACCGCCCAGGGAGGAAGCCAGAGTCAGGGCTGGATCCAGCATCTTCTGAAGAACCTTGGGGACAGGTAAAAGCTTGCTTGGCCCAAACTTTCAGATATGCACGCAAAAGCATGGGTATGAACGGTATGGAAGCAGTTGGACAGATGAGGTAGTTTGACAGCCAGTGATTCTCCAACTGGCTGTATACTGGCCATCAGCTGGATAGTTCTTTTAAAAAAATGCTGGTGTCTGGCTTCTTCCCAAGAGATGCTGATTCAGTGAGCCTGGTACCTCTGCATACCTGGACCATTCAACTGACCCTCCCATTCCCTGACCCCATGATGCTAAGGCATAGCCACAGTCAAAAACCACGCGAGGGGGACCACCCTGGTGGGCAGAGGTTAAGACTCAGCGCTTCCACTACAGCAAGCATGGGCTTGATCCCTGGTAGGGGAACTAAGATCTCACTTACCTTGTGGCACAGCCGGAAAAAAATAAGAAAAACAAAAACACACTGGCCGCTTCGCCGAGAGTGCAGAGGTGATGCGGGAGGCGGTGTCATACACCCGAGATGGATGGAGGTCACATCTGTGTGGCAGTCAGGGACAGCGCTCAGGGGAAACCTGTGTGGTGGAGATCTATGGAGTATATGAAGGAGGGGTTCCTCCTCCTTTTTGAGAGGAAAAGCTCTGACTTTAAAGCCATCTTTGTCCCTTTTATTTATAATTTACTTTTTAATTGGAGGAATTCCCTAGTAGTTCAGACGACAGTCTGCCTGCAATGCAGAGACCCGGGTTCAATCCCTGGGTCGGGAAAATCCCCTGGAGCAGGAAATGGCCACCCACTCCAGTATCCCTGCCTGGAAAACCCCATGGGGACAATGTTGTGTTGTTTTCTGGCGTACAACAACCCAAATCAGCTGGAATTATACTATTTAAAAAAAAATTTTTTTTTGGCTGCACCAGTTCTTAGCTTCAGCACATGGAATCTTTAGGCATGGCACTTGGGATCTAGTTCTGTGACTAGGGATCAAACCCAGGCCCTCTGCCTTGGGAGCACAGAGTCTTAAGTACTGGATCGCCAAGGAAGTCCCATCTTTGGCCTTTTTAAAATTGAAGTTCAGTGTCTTTCTAAATTGGCATCACCATTAGAATTCAAGATGAATCCATCCCACAGAGAACAGGGCAGTACTACTTACCAAGCACCTACAACCTGTAAGGCCCCAAGTTCCTCTCCCCCCATCTCCCCTCCCCGCCACCCAGGGAGGCAGGAATACTCCCGCCCACTGAGGAGCAGGCCGGTGAGGAACTGGCTGAGGTCACAGCATCAGGACCCACGCTCCCAAGCAGCACAGCTCAAGGGCTGATTCCAACCCCCTGAAGATGTTTTCGGTTGTCACAACTCAGGGGAGAGAGGGTGCTTACCGTCACCTTGTAGGCAGAGGCCAGGGATGCTGCTAAACACCCTACAATGTACAGGACAGGCCTTCACAAGTTACCCAGCCCAGAACATCAGTAGAAACAATGGTTCCTGGCCTGGGCTGAGACTCATCTGGGGGAGCTTTAAATATTCGATGTTCGGAATTTCCCTGGTGCCTCAGTGGTAAAGAATCCACCTGCCAATGCAGAGGACGAGGGTTCGATCCCTGATTCGGGAAGACCCCACATGCCGTGGGGCAACTAAGTCCATTCATCGCAACTACTGAGCCTGTGCTCAGAGCCGGGAGCTGCAGCCACTGAGCGCTTGTACAACCACTGAAGTCCGGGCAGGGCAGCTAGATTAGCCTCTGCTCTCCCCAACTAAAGAGCCCGAGCAGCAAAGACCCAGCACGGCCAAAAAAGAAAACAGATAGATAGTCCTTTAAAAAAAGTCGGATGTTCATGCCGCACGCTGACCAATTCCATCAGGCTGAGAGGGGTGTCAGCTGCTTCTCAAAGCTTGCCACGTGGTTCCAGTGAGCAGCCAAGACTGCTCTAAGCTACTTATCCTAGTGGCCTCTGCTCCACTCATGGGAGCCTGGAAGAGGAGGACCGAATCTGTCTGGGTTGTACAATAAACAGCAGATCTGCAAGGTCCTCACCACCTCCCACAATCAAAGGCCAGAACTCTGGTTCGGCAGGTCCTTCCATGGAGGCTGACTAACTGGTGACTCACCCATGGCGGGTGCTGGAGGGCCAGCGAGTTGGTAGGTATTTGCTAATCTTTCCCCTGCCTCTCTGGGGTGGGTCACAGCCAGGAACCACCCCGGGTGGCTGCGAAAGCTTCCCAAAGAGACTGGACCAAAGAGCAAGGCTGCCACCTAGTGGAGGAACCAGAAAGAAGGGGTGCCTGCCGGATATCAAGTGATGTCTTACTGGATCCTCACAACAGCCCTGGGGGAGAAGCGCAGACAAGGGCCATGAGACACAGAAAGATGAAGCCGTGTGCTCACAGGGTTTGAGCCTGGATTTGCACCTATCTGGCTCACAGGAATGCCCCGGGCTTCCTTCTGCCTTCTCACACCCGTCCAAGAGGAAGAGGACCCTGGATGGGGTTGCCTGATTCCCTTCTGACGTCCAAAATGCCCTCTCACTTCCAGTTGGGACCTGGGAAGAAAGAGACCCTCAGTCCCAGCGCAGCACAGAAATGAACAGGCTGCCCTCTCCAACCGCGAGTCCAAAAAAAATGGGAAACTGAACTTCCTGTGGTCTCTACCACAAAGCCCCTGGCTCCCCAGGACAGCGGTTTATAAACAGAGGCCTGATGCACACTCATAAGAAGACAAGAGACTCCAGCACATTCGAGGGTGTGGGTGCAGAGGCTCCCTGGCAGACACCGTGGACAGTCCCGGTTAGCCCCCGTCTTGTCTCTTCTCTTTTGATCCTGAGGACAGTCCTGGGTGCCGAGCCACGCTGGCTGCTTCAGATGCGGCCAAGGGGTCCTGGGGGTCTTGGGGAAGTTGCTCTCTGCCCCCTTCCACTGGGAACCCCTTCCTCTGGCTGCAAATGGAGTGAAGAAGGATTCCTGCACAGACAGACAGATGGAAAAGAGGAGGGACCATGGGCCAGGCCCTTCCTCACTTCATCCTCAAGAGGCTGGAAGGGACTCCCCTGGTGATCCAGTGGTTAAGAAGCTGCCTGCCAATGCAGGGGACATGGGTTCCATCCCTGGTTTGGGAAGATTCCACATGCTCTGCAGGGCAACGAAGTCCATGCACCACGCACACAAACGAGAAGCCACTGCAATGAGAAGCCTGCAACTAGAGAGTGGCCCCTGCTCACCTTTACTAGAGAAAGCCCTTGGGCAGCAATGATGACCCAGAGCAGTCAGAAGTAATTAATTTTTTAAAAGGTGTAGACATTTTCCTCATTTGGCACATATAAGCAATTCAGACACAGAAAAATTGAGAAAGGTATCTAGGGTGAATTGAAGCAGCTATATGCGTGTGATCAGAGGGAGAGAAGGAAGGGGAGAGGAAACTCACCTGCGGCCACGGAGACGTTTAAGGACTCAAGTCCAGGAGGCAGCTGCCGGCCGGGCAGGATGGTGAGGAGAAGCTGGCAGGAGGCCTGCACTTCCCGGGAAAGACCAGAGCCCTCGTTCCCTGCAGAGCAGAGGGGCCGGAGGGTTACAGAGGCCCCAGCTGGGCAGGAAGGCACTCAGGAAGCTTGCATCTCGGCAAAGAGCAGGGACATCTACCTACCCAGCACGAGGAGGGTAGGCCGGTCCCATAAGAACTCCAAGCAGCTAGTGATGGGGATCTTGGAGGATGGGGCGATCTCAGGCCCTGGGCAGCCCACCGTGCCAGCCACGAGCCAGCCCTGCCGGGCTCTGGCCTGAAAGGTGGGGAGGAGAAATCAGTCCTTCAGTGGAGCACTGGCCGGGAGGAGCCCGGCCTTGCCCATCTAGTCATTCCCTCATTGAGCCGCTGGATTCGGTCAGTAGTGATCAAGCACCTAGAGTGGACAGGCTCTGTGCTCGGCACTGGGGATAAGGTGATGAACCAAACAGGCCCAAACCCCAGCCTCACAGTAGGGTGATCAGGGAAGCCTCACTGAAGTGTAGACCTGCGGGAGGTGAGGGGAGGGAGCACCACATAAACACCTGGGGGAGGAGATACTCTAGGCAGAGATCAGTAATGCAAAGGCCAAGAGGTAGGTGCTTACCAGGCAAGTGTGACGAACAGCGAACAGCCAAGTGGCCAGTGGGAAGGGAGCTGCTGAGACTGGAAAGGAAAAAAGAGGCCACGGGAGGTAGGACCTCAAAGGCAACTGGAAGGCCTTTGGCTTTCACTCTGAGAGAGACAAAGCCTTTGAAGGGTTTTGGGTGGAGAAGTTGTGACATGGTCTGACTTACGTCTCTACAGAATCACTCTGTCTATGTTGAGAGCAGAAACAAGCAGACCAGTTAGGTTTCTGCAGTGACACAGGCAGAGATGCTGGTGGCTTGGACCACAGTGGTAACAGTGGAGATGGTCAGAAATGGTCAGAATGTGGAAATAAGGTCAAGGTAAAAATGAAAGGAGGTGCCTTAACAATATCCATTTATTTTAAATCTTTTTCTAATCTCTGGGGCAAACCTGAACTACCTGTACCTTTGTCGTCAGCTGCATGTGCAGGACTGGACAATCACATCCTTGTAAGACAGGTGGGATGTGGGGAGAGAGAGCAGGAAGAACCAAGGAGGATGCCAAGGCCTCAATAACTGAAGGCAGGGGGAGCTGCCATCAGCTGAGCTGGCTAAATCTGCAAAAGGAACAGGAACATTTGGAAATCTTGTTTGAAACGCCCATTAGATAGAAAAAAGAGCTGTTGAGTAGGCAACTAGATATGTGAATCTGAGGTTCAGGAGCAAAATCCAGAAGGATATATATTTGGGAGGCATTCGTATCTAAACGGCAATTTAAAACCATCAGATTGCATGTGACAAACAAGAAATGAGTATGTACAGAAAAGGGACCCAAGGACTGAGGGGCCCTAGGGGATGGTCAGGGGAACTGCTAAGTAAAGGGCAATACTGCCCCCTTGTGTCCAGAAAGGGAGGCGCAGCTGGAGACAAATGCCGCTGGACCAGGGATTGTGCTAAGGTTGCACAGAGCCAGACACGACTGAAGCGACTTAGCAGCGGCAGGAGCAGCCCCTTCCTTCGTAAACATCAAAGTGGGTTTTTTTGGTGGTGATGATGATGTTGCTGGTGGTAGTGGCTTGAGGGGTTTGTTTTGTTTCTTCGTGGTGGGAGGGACCAGGGGAAAAGGATAGACCAGTCCTTGTCCAAAGAGCCTTTCAAACTGCTTCCCTACAGGAGGAAGCAGGAAACACTGGTTTCTCACGAGTGAACATTTACTGAAGACCTACTTACTAGATGGGCTTCCCTGGCAGCTCAGATGGTAAAGAACCTGCCTGCAAAGCAGGAACCCTGGGTTTGATCCCCTGGGTTGAGAAGATCCCCTGGAGAAAGGAATGGCTACCCACTCCATTATTCTTGCCTGAAGAATTCCATGGACAGAGGAGCCTGGTGGGCTACAGTCCATGGGGTCCCAAAGAGTTGGACATACTAAGCAACCAACATTTTACTTACTAGGCAGTGAACTGAAAGTCACTCAGTCATGTCGACTCTTTGCGACTCCATGGACCCATAGTCCATGGAATTCTCCAGGACAGAATACTGGAATGGGTAGCCTATCCCTTCTTCAGCAGATCTTCCCGACCCAGGAATCGAACCGAGGTCTCCTGCATTGCAGGCAGATTCTGTACCAACTGAGCTCTCAGGAAGCCCTAGCCAGTGAAGCACTGAGTAACCTGCATAAGGAGCAACAGGTGTGCCTCTGAAAGGAGTGCAGTGAGTCCCTAACATCAGATTCTGCTCCAGGTACGCTTTTTAGAACTCCAGATCCTTCTCTCCTCAAAGCGATTTAGATGGCTGGATGAATCACAGGCTGGAATCAAGACTGCCAGGAGAAATATCATCAACCTCAGATATGCAGATGATACTACTCTAATGGCAGAAACTAAGAGGAACTAAAGAGCTTCTCGAGGAGGGTGAAAGAGTGAAAAAGCTAGCTTAAGACTCAACATTCAAAAAACCAAGATCATGGCATCTGGGCTCATTACATCCTGACAAATAGAAGGGGGAAAAGTGGAAACAGTGACAGGTTTTATTTTGGAGGCTCCAAAGTCACTGCAAATGCTGACTTTAACTATGAAATTAAAAGATGCTTGCTCCTTGGAAGAAAAGCTATGACCAACCTAGACAGCGTATTAAAAAGCAGAGACATCACTTTGCCAACAAAGGTCCATATAGCCAAAGCTACAGTTTTTCCAGTAGTCATGTATGGATGTGAGAGTTGGACCATAAAGAAGGCTGAGCTCCGAAAACTTAATGCCTTCAAATTGTGGGGCTGGAGAAGACTCTTGAGAGTCCCTTGGACTGCAAGGAGATCAAACCAGTCCATCCCAAAGGAAACCAATCCTAAATATTCACTGGAAGGACTAATGCTGAAGCTCCAATGGCCACAATACTTTGGACAGGGAAGCCTGGCGTGCTGCAGTCCGTGAGGTCGCAGAGTGGTCACGACTTAGTGACTAAACAAACAAGGAAGCGATACCAACACGCCCCCCCCACCCCCTCCCTTTCCTCCCTCAGCTGCTGGCCGGGAGGCCCTTGGAGAGACTGAGCTTGGCTCATTTCTTCTCCTTTACTGACACACCCCCGCTTCCCCCTCGCCATTACCTGTAAAAAACCGGCCAGGTCATCAATGGAGAACACGTCCATCACCTCCATAGCCCCGGCGCTGGCCTTGCTGACTACTGGAGTGAGCGGGCAGCTGCAAGGTTTCCCCATGCCACCATATGAAGCCGGGTAACCTCAGGCCCGGTGCTGTGCCCTCCCCCATACCCCACGAGTTAGGAGGTAAGAATTCTGGCGTCGGGGAGGCCTGGTTGAGGGACTACCCAAGGGTCAAGGTGCTTAGGAACTCGGCTGTGCCTCCAGATGGGGACGCACGGGGAATAAGGGGCGTCCGTGCCTGTTTCTCCGGCTGGTGATGACCTTATCCACTCCGAGGAAGTGAGCGGAGCGCAGCACGGCCCCAAGATTCCGGGGATCCTGCAGCCCCTCGAGGACGAGCCACAGCTGCTGGGGGTCGTCTCCTGGTCGGGCCTTCTCGGCCTCGGCCTCGGCCCAGGGCCGGGGCCTCAGGGGGCTCACTTCCATGCAGACGCCCTGGTGAACCTGGTGGCGGCACAGGACGTCCAGCTCCCGCCGCCGGGGCCGCAACACCGGGATGGTCCGCGCCTCGGCCGCGCGCAGCAGCTCAGCCCGCTGCCCCTCCAGCCCGGACCTGCCGGCCTGGATTAGGAGCCGGGCGACACGGCGGCGGGCGGCCCGCAGCGCCAGGAGGCACGGGGACAGGCCAAACAGGAGCTCCAGGCCCCCGGCCGGCCGCGGCACCGACCCCAGGTCATCCAGGGGCAGGCGGCCGAGCTCCTCCCCGCCTGGCCGCGCCCCGCGCCGCGTCGCTTGGGAGAAAGGACGCGTGAGGAGGTGGCCGCAGCAGCGCCAGGTCGCGGCCCCGGCGGCCAGGGGCAGCGCCATGGTCGATGCCCGGGCTGCATCCGCAGGGGCAGTCACTCTCGCCGGCGCCGTCCCCCACGTGAGCCGCTCCGCTTCCGCGTCCCGACGCCCCGCCCCCGCCCGGGAGCCGCAAGGCGCATGTGCGGCGGCCAGGCCGTCTCTACAGCGCCCCCTGCAGGGCAGGCGGAACGACCGCCATCCACCGCCGAGGCGCCGGGGCGAGGGGGTGCTCGCCGCTGAACTGACCCGACGGCGGGCCGGGCGGCGTCGTGCACCGTCAAAGGCCCCGGGAGGCTGGAGGCCCTTTCACCCCGGCGCCAGCAAAGGACACTTAAAGGCGATGTGTTGGGTTTCCTCTCCAACCTGGCTGGGCGTGGTGACGCCCTCCGCCACCGGGTGCTGGCAGTATTCCTCCGGAGCTGCTTCTGCATCCAACCTCTCCGCGACACCTCCACTGCCTGTCAAACCTTAGCACCGGTCAGCAGAAACCCCACCGATGACTTCCGATCCCATGGCCCTGATTCTCTGAGTGACAGCTCTGGCCTACTGACAAACCAGCTGATGCTCCTGGCCCCACAGGTTAACGGCCAGACTCCTTGCTCAGGAATCAGACCCCGCCCCCGCCCCCGGGATCCAGGCAGGAGCTAACTTTTCAGCCTCACCGTCAATCCTGCACCAAGTTCTGTGCTATTCCAGCACTGCATGCTCTTCGAGGCCCCCCTGCCTGGCGCGCCCTGCTGTCCTCTTTTTCTGGCCGGAAATTCCTACCCATTTTCCAGACACAACCAAAAGATAATTAACACTCCAGGAAGGATGCCCCCGATCCACCCACCTTCCCGCTCTCGGGCAAGAAACTCTGAGACACAATCATTCCTCATCACAGGAAGCGGGAAGAACTGAAAGACACTTCTGCAGCCAAGATTTTTTAAATGCAGTTTTCCTTTTTTTAATGATCACAGTGAAACCCACTTGGGAGGCAGGCCCTGGTATTCTGCTGCCATAGTCAGAGTCGAGTGAGGACCCCACCAGGGGTGCAGAAGCCGCAGTGGGGCTAGAGAACTGAGATGGGGCAGAGAAGGGGCAGTGGGGGAGGGAGAGAAGGAAGCCTGGAGCCCTGATAAGCATTCAGATGGAAGGTGAGGGCTTCCCTCCGCCGCCTCATCCTCAAGGGATGGTGGAAGTGGGGTTCAGGAAGATAGGGGAAAGCCCCACTTTTGGCCACAGTCCCTTCCCCAGGCCAAAGGGAAGAAGGCAAGGGCAGCAGACAAAGGCCAGGGAGCCCAAGAAGGGGACCAAGAAAGAAGGAGCAGGTAAAACAATCAGGGGACACCACCTCCTCTCCCCCCACCCATTCATGGTGGAAACAAGTTGACATATAAAAACCTCAAGTTTTCTAGCCCCTGGTGGGGGTGGGGAAAGGAAGTGGAATCCAGGGGTTCAGAAATCAACACCCCCAGTCCAGGGGCAGTTGCCCAGCTGTGAGGGGTTGTGGGGAGGAGCTCCCCACAGGGCACTAGGTCACTTGCTCCGTGGGCCTCATCTGGATGTCTCCGATCTGCAGAAGGTACAAGGCTTGAGGAAGCCGGCATGCTCTCCCCACCCTCTTAAGGCCTCCCCACTCTCTGCCGCTGGGCTGGCTGGGCTCCTCCAGGGGACAGACAGCCAAGGCCAGACTCACCTGGACATGTGGGGGCATGCTGAGGACATAGATGACAGCCTCGGCCACGTCCTCAGGTTTGAGACACTGGGAGCACCGGGGGAAAGGGGTGAGGTGAGGACAGAATGGATCCGAGTCCTCCCCCCACCAGGGAGGTCCTCTCCAGCATCCACATTCCCCCACCCCACCCTCCAGGAGAGGCGATGGGCTGGCTGGAAGGGCGAGGTCTGAAGGCCAGGGCTCCTCTGCCTTCATTTAGGGAGTGGGTGGCTTCACTGGGCCCCACCTTCATGTGTCCATAGGTGGCGGCTGCCTTCTCGGGGTCCTTGTCGTGGAGTTTGAAGGCGAACTGTGTCTCCACCACTCCTGGAGAAATGCACTGTGCCAACAGAGACAGCCTGCTCAGGAGCTGAGCCCCGGGGCCAGAGGTGAGGCCCGGGGTGGGGGGCTGGGAGGTAAAGGACGGAGGCCACGAGGCCCCAGCCTCACAGGGACGGCCACCCGAGGTCCAGCGGCCACCTCTGCCCTCCAGAGCTGCCACGGGGGGGTCATCAGAATGATTCCTACCAGCTACAGAGCCGTTACTAAAAGCCAGGTCAGCTTACAAAGTGGCTTCCCTTAAATCCTCATAACCTGCTAGGTGTTCTCATCTCCATCTTAAAGCTGGGAAGACTGAGGCGTGGAAAGGCTGAGCAAGCCACGCAAGCTCGGGCAGCCGTCCCGGGGAGAGTCCCAGTCCTGCTTTCCGGCCGTGGCTTCCCTCGGTCCCTTGTGCTCCCTCAGCCTCGCCCCTCCGCCCCGGCCCCCTCGTCCTAGGATCAAGTCAGCCCCTCTCCCGCCTCAAAGGCAGAGACACGCGGGGACTGTGCCCAGGACGGACGCCGGGCTCTCAGCGGCGCACCGGGCCGCGAGTGTGTGCGGCGGGGAGGGGCCGGGGCCAGGGCGCTCACCGTGGCTCGGATGTGGCTCTGGGCCTCCCGGAGCTCTTGCCTCAGCCCCTCCGTCAGCGCGGTGACGGCGTACTTGGTAGCGCTGTAGAAATGGGTCTCGGCCGGGGGTGGCACCCGGTGGCCACTCATGCTGGGCGGAGGGAGGGAAGGGGAAGGAGAGGGTGATGCCAGGCCTGCTGCCCCCCGCCGCGCATCCGGCTCATCCACATCAATGGCTCCTCCGGGCCCCCTCCTCCTCCAAGGCCTCCCTCCGTGGACCCCGGGATTCTCTCTTCAGTCCACGCAGGCGGTCAAAGCGCTCTCCCTTTCACCCGCGTGGTTCACCGAGAGGGTCCTCACGAGGGTCTAGGGCACGGAGGCCATGTCTCCGAGGGCGCCCCCGTGACAGACCCTGAGCCACAGGGTGAGGTTCCTGCTGCGGCCTGAGGAACGGAGAACCCCGGTCCTGGGAGGGCCCCCAGGCCTCAGCCGCCAAGGGGCCAAGCTACCCCTTCCAGCCAACGAAGGGCTGGCGTTTGCACGTACTCTTCTTCCCCTGCTGGAGGAGGGCATGGCAGCCCACTCCAGTTTTCTTGCCTGGAGAATGCCATGAACAGAGGAGCCTGGCGGGCTATAGTCCATGGGGGTCGCAAAAGAGTCAGACACGACTGGGCAACTAAACCACAATAACATTCTTCCCTGCTGCCCCAGTTGTGCCATCTGGGTGTTAACTGGGGGTGAAATCCCTATTCTACCACCCCGGGGACACTGAGGTCCAAAGAGGTCAAAGGAGCCACGGCAGGTCATTCTGCTGGGAGGGTGGGGGGCAGCCTGAGCCCCAGCCCCCGCCCGCCTCACCTGTTGATGTTGATGATGTGTCCGTCATCTACCTTCCGCTCCCTCATGGACTGGAAGGCTTCCCGTGTGCAGATGCTGAGGGCCAGCACGTTCACCTGCGGGCCGGGGTGGGGGGCAATGCACATCTGCATCTTTGGGCCCGTCTGAGCAGGTGATGGAGCCCAGAGCACCCCGGGGTGGGGGGCACCCCAAACAGGGGCCGGGTCCTACTTGAGACCAAGGACAGGCCAGGGCTGCGGGCCTCACGTGCCCTCCCCGTCCAGCCACCAGCCCCAGAGGACAGCAGAGGCGGCTCCCCTCGCTGGGTGATGCCCTCAAGTGTATTCAGGAACAGACACCACCCCTCCCCAGAACCCACCCAGGACCCAGGAGCGCTCCCTGTCTTGGCTGTCTCCTCTGCCTCAGAGAATTCACCTCCTTTTCTTCCCCAAATGCCCTGCTCTTCTCTGGGACAGAGTCACTGGCTCTCCTCGCTCTGAAACAGCCTAAAATCCTTCCTTTAAAAATCCCTCTCCTCGGCACCACGCTCAGCCTTTCACCCCGCTGCTCTCTATGCCTTTCCCGTCCCTCCCTCGAGACTAGAGTGGATGAGAGAAGGCTGGCCCTCCATCCTTCCACGCCGTCCTCCAACCTCCATCCCATTTACAGACTGGGGGTGCGGTCACGTGTCACTGCGTGACAAGGGGCCTCCCAAGGGCATGAGGGCTTCCTGCCTTCCGTGGACCCCGCCCACTCCTGCTCCTCCAGCAGAGGTGACCCCCAGACCTCAGCCTGCGGGGAACAGACACCCGACGGAAGCGTTTCTGCTCTAAAGCGCCCGCCCAGCCCCACCGCTTAGGCTCGCCCAGGAGGACAAGCAGAGATAAAACTTTCAGCGGGCCTTCACTCTCTCCTTTGGGGAAGAGAGGAGACCAGCTGGGAAGTCAGATGTTTCTCTTTATCAGGTGTCAGCACCAGGCACTGGGGACAGAACACTCCCGGTGTGAAGCTGGCCCGGCGTTCACTGCAGGACACAGGTGGTTTCCAGCCCTGCTTTTGGTCCTCTTAACAATGCAGGTTTGTGGGGCAGAGAACTCAGCTTCTGGGGACGGAGGGATGAAGGAGGAAAAACTACGAGAAACAGATTGCCTCGGGCCAGGGGAGCGAACCTCCTAGATCTGGGGGTCAAAGGTTCCCGCTGTGATCACTGACGTGGTTCTCTTGGGAGATGCCTCATAAGACAATCTTAAGGGAATGACATAATGTTCCAGCTGGAATGGGTCTTAGGGATTTCATGTACGTGCCTCGCTTTACAGTCGGGCAAGCTGAGGTCTAGGTTTAGGGACGCCCTGACTGCAGGTGAGGTCCACAACTTGGATCTCCCAGAAGGCTCTCTGAGAGCAATGGCAGGGCTGCATATCCCTGTTCAATGTTTCAATGTTCGTTGCTCATTTCTGGGCCCAAGCACCTGTCAGGTGCTACTGTGAGCACATATGAAAAGCTCTTGGGGGGAGATAGAAACATTCCATTTACACACTGCTTTCCACTTCTCAGAATTAGTTTCGTACCCTGAAGGTACTGCCCCACATCACAATCTAGAGGTTGAAAACCCATGCCCTGAAGCCTGTGCTTGGTCTACACGTGGTTTTAAAACATTCTAAAATTAATTTCCAATCTGTATTAGGTTTCATTCATTCAAAAAATATCTATGGAGTGTCTACAGGCTGAGGCTATGACAGAATAAAATAGACAAAAGTCCTTGCATTCCTGGAGCTGAGGTTTTGGTGAATGGGGTGGGTGGGGGTCTCCATGGAAATCGATGCCCCCGCTGCTCTCAGAGAAGTCACACGATCTGGCCACACCAGCCCGCGCTTGCTCGGAATGCAGCAGGGGCCCCCCTCCAAGGCCAAGTGCTTCCCCGTGTGACCCGCCCACTCTTTGGGTTCCTACCTGGCCTCAGGGGACACTGGAATTTGTGATCCCAGACATTGATGGCCTAGGTGCAGTTCATCCCAATTAACAGGTGAGAAGACTGAAGCTCAGAGAGGGTGACACCTGCCTGAAGCCACATGCTTACTGGAGGGGCTGAATGAGACCATCATCTTCATCATCTCCTGCCTCTGGGTTCCTTTTCTTCCCATAATAATACCATGTCCCAAGCACAAAACTGACACCTGGGGACATCTGACCAAAGGCAGTTTCCTTTCCTACCAATCTCCCTTCCAACAGAAGGAAACCAGCTTATAAACACTGCCCCCAGGGGCTCAGAGGAAAGAAGAATGAAAAAGATTTGGCCATTCCTCCACTCCCTCTCCCTCTGGGGAGGAGAAGCAGAGACTCAAAGTGCTCCAGGCAGAAACCTGAAGCCTCCTCTCCCTAGAAGTTTATTTTCCTGCTTTCCTCCTGGCCATAGATGTCTATCTTCCTGCTTTCCTCCCGGCAGCTGTGACCTGCGTCCCCCCCACAGACCCCCGCCCCCCACCCTTACGTTGAACATTTCCTTCCAGCCGCTGGTGCTGCCTGAGAGCAGGGTGTCGGGCCGGGCTAGGCCAGCGTTGTTGATGCAGATGTCCACGCCACTGTGCTGAGAGCGGACCGCCGAGAACATGGAGAGGATGTCCTCCTCGTTCGACAGGTCACATCTGTAGGGGATCAAAGTCCCGGGGTAGCCTGCACTCTTACATTCGGCAGCCAGCTCCTATGAAACCCAACAGGGGTCTAACTGGGATGAGCTGCTCACTCCACACACAACCCACCCCGTGCCCTCAGACCCCACCTCCCGCCGCTGTCACCGCTCACAGAGCTGGCGCCTCTGGTGGCCACCTGGGCCCGTCCCCACAGCCTGACCTCTTGGGTCAAAGTCCAGAGGTGAGAGCAGTCCCAAGCGAGGGTGGGGGAGGCTGAGATCATCAGTGGAGGAACCTCCCAAATAAACTCCAGTCTTCCGTTCAAGAAGGGGGAAGTTTCTGGGGCTCTGGGGTGAGGTGGGGGGTCAGAGAAGGGGCCTGGGGATCCCGGGAATGGAGCGAAGCCTCTTTTCTGACTCTTTCCCATCAGGAACACACCTCCGCTCATAGCCGCACTCCACCCCATGTCTCTTGCACCAGCGCCGAGTCACCAGGACCTCGATTCGCTTCTCTCCCATCACTCTCCCAACCCCTCTCAGGAGGGCTTGTATCTAAATGACCGCTGTCCCTCCACAAGCTGCAGCCAGCTGGCTCAGAACCCTCACACAGACTTCTCACTTTTCAGTTGAGCTCAATGGCCGATCTTCCCTCGCCCTGAATATAGAAATGGTCAGAAAGTCCCACGGGACACCACCCTCCACCCCAGTTTCTCTGGAGACTGTGAGCCAAGTCAGGTAGCAGGTGACACTGGGCATCCCCTGGGCACTGCCCGGGCCCTCAAGACACTAAGGATCCCTGAGAGAGGAAGGCCACTGAGAGATGGCTGAGGTGAGCGGCCATTCAGAAGCAGGAAGAAAACCAGCTGTGGTCGCTTTGGAGGCCAGTGACCGGGCACCTGAGCCTCCTCAAGGTGACTATGGACACGTGTGGGTGGGCCAGGGGTGCCAGGGCAAGGAGCCCTAGAAGACGGCCAGCTTGTTCTCCTGTCCTGGAACGCAGTCCTACCCCTAAACCAAGCTGGGAATAAAGGACTCGGTCAGGTGACCTAGGAAATTCTTTTCTGCTTTAGCTTTCCATGAGTTTAAGCGGTACAGTCCTCTGGGACTCAGAAGTCCCCCTTCCCCCAATTTCACCTACTCAACGACCCCCTCGGGAAACAGGGCTTCTCATTGTAGGAGATCGGAAATCAAATTTTGTTTGAGTATCAATGAATGAATCCATCAACCAATCAAGAAAAGCAGATGGTAGGCAAAACAGCCTGGAATTCTTCCCTCTCCTGGCACACTTCTCCATTCCTCCTCCAGACTCAAAGCCCTGCAGCAAAGCCACAATGGAGGGACCGATAATACATGTCTCTGTTGCTGTCTTCTCGTTGCCCTACCTGTCCGCATCTAGCCTCAAAAAGGACCTGAAATCCTGTCAGTCCCCTCACAGCTGAGCCATCCTTCCTCATTAAAGGAAGGGGGGCGAGTGACCAGTCGGGGGCTCTCCTCAGGGTTCAGGGACCCTTTTCCTGGCTGGTTTGTGGTGGGGGTGGGAGCAGGAAGAGAAGGCAAGAGTGGCTTTAGAATCAGAGAATCAAGTGGCCTAATCCCTGGTCTGATCCTCTAGGCTCCGGAGTGGAGGTAGGCCCTGAGCACCTCAGAATAGGAGAAAGGGAGGGGCAGTGTGGGGCAAGGGTATAGCCAGGTGACCTTGGAACCATCTAGGAGCCATAAAGCGTACCTTTGGTCGGCAGCAGGGGAGGGGACAGGCCTCCCTCCGGTACACCTTCCTGCTCGGCCCCACCCAAGGCCTCCTCGCCCTCTTCCTGCCCCGGGGACTTTGAGCAAGGGTGGAGGTCAAGCTCAGCACCAGCCTAAACCCTGATGGGGGGTCCTGCCAGGGGTAAATCCAAAGTGCTCCTAAGATGGAAACTGCTCATCCTTCTTCCTCCCTGCTCCAACACAGCCAACTTCATTTCCTTTTTCTCTGAGCTCTTATTGCTCACAACCCTTGGGGCTCTCAACCCACATTAAGAGAAAAACCAGGGGGTTCAGTTCCACATTGCTTTGTCCCCCAGAGCGCACAGGTTCAATGCCCTAGTTTACCTGCTCATTCCCACCTGTGACACTGAAACTGAAAAAAAGGTCTACTTTATATATACATCCCAATTGTCCCTCATGTCCATCGAGGGGGGGTTAACCCTCACCTTCAGGGGAAGGTGGAGCTGAGCCTTTTCAGAAAGTCTCCACTCCCACTCCAACCCCACTCTCAGTCCTGGGTGAAAAATGAGCAGGATCAAGTCCTCTAGCTCCTGCTCGCTTTGTTTGACTTTGTGGGCTAGGTCTGGGAACCTGAGGAAGCAATCCAGTAGCCAGCTTAGCCACTGAGGCCAGAAAGCTTTCTTCCCTTCTCCCTGGCTTCTCCTTTTCTCAGCCAACCTGAGCAGGCAGGTAGGGAAGCAAGAGAAAAGATGCCAGGGAGTCAGAGAATTGGTATACTAGAGCAGAGGCTGTCAGGAAAAAAGCTCCCTAACGGACAAGACTTTAAAAAGCAAAGATAGAGTCCTGCCCTGAGGGATCCAAAAGCCTCCTCCACCAACTTTTCCACCTCTCTGGCCCCTGAGCCCGCTGCAAGTGGCCCTGGGGTGGCGGGCAAGAGGGCAGCGTGACACCTTGGCTCCGACCGCTCCCCATCCCCCACCTGGACCCAAGCCCGGCGGAAACGACGCCACCCGGAGCCACTCGCTCCCCAGCAGGGCCTTACCTCGATGTTGCCCACGGTGCGGGCACAACCCACCACCTTCAGACCCTGCTGGACCAGGGCCCGGGCCACGGCCGCGCCGATGCCCCCCGAGGCTCCCGTCACCAGTGCCAGCCGGTCACGCCACCGCTCCATGCCGGCTCTGGCCAGGGTCCCGAGTCGCCCGCCCACTTCGCTCTGGGAGCAGAGCACTTGGATCGCCGAGCTCCGCCCTAGGTCGTAGGGGGCCGGCCGCTCTCTTGTCACCCCCGCGGCGCCCGCCGTCGACCTGCCCGCGTCAGAGGTACGCCAGGACCTGCCTCCACTCTGGCCGGCCTCCGCCCCCTGCTCCACCCTCCGCTCCTCGGCGATCGGCCACATCCCGGCTGGAGGACGATGGGGACCGGCGGCCCCGCCCCGTCCCGCCCCTGCCTCGCGGGCACGGCTCCGCCCCACCCCGCCCCTGCCGCGAGGGCACGGCCCCGCCCCAGCCCCGTCCCCGCCAGCACTGCCCCGCCCCTTCCGGCCCTCGCCTGGTCCCCGCCCCGCCCCTTCCGGCCATCGCCCTGTCCCCCGCCCAGAGGAAACCGCTTCTCGCGGGACTGGGCCGAAGGGTCCCGGGAGTTGGTGGTTCAGTTTCCCTGCTGTGAGCTCTTAGCCTTGGAGAACGAGGCTCGGCGCGGGCTCGCACCAGGCCTGAGGACGCGCGTACTCGCCTCTTGCTCTGTCCGCCTTGCCTATCCTGACCCAAAGGCCAGGAAGAGAAATTACGGGGCACTTAAGGTGACGCTACCGCCTTCCTCAACCAGCCGGTGGCTGATGGGAACGGTTCAGCTCAGAGAAGGTTGAGCGTCTCAGCGGTCAACGCTGGGTGACCTTGGGACGGGCTTTCAACCCTGCCTGATCTCTTGGCGTTTCTAACCTTGGAGAACTCATGGTTAAAAATACAAACACTCCCAAGTACACGTGTATTGGGGTGGTGGGGATTGTATCCCTAATGACCTACAGTCTACAACTTCGCTAAGCCCCCCTACTCCCACTGGAGCAAATATATACCACGGTGTATGCGAAATATTAAAGCAATAGCTAACATTTATTGAGCGCCTACTGTGACGGGCATAGTAAAATATATTTTAAGCACCTCAAATATATTAATGTGCACAAGAGCCCTATGAGATAGAACCTATTAACAGTCATTTTATAGGATATACCGAGACAGATGAGGAGCCTGGCTTGGATGGCAAGCAGTCCAGTATTAGGCCAGGGTATGTGCTCTGAAACAGCCTTCACTGTGTCCTCCCTTGTCTCTCCTTAGGTTGTTGGTTCTGCTCAAAGTAGAAGTCACTTTGCTGACCACTAAGGATATTCCATCGAAACACTGAATACTGCCTCACTTCTGCATTCTTTATATAGCCAGCCTTTCAAAGAGAAAACATCTCTGCTGGAACCCCACCACTGAACCAACGGAATAAGCCATGAATGTGGCTGGTGTATCCACTCAGCCAGCACTCCTGTGTTTGGCTCCAAGGGCAAAGATGAAAACAAAACCAGCCCTTGCTTAATTTAGGAATCTCAGGAGAAAACTTCGCTGCAACAGGTGGTGAAGAGGATTGGGCTCAGAGCCAAGGGCTGTGGGAGAACTCTCACTAGTCCTTTTTTATGGATTCCAGGATGAAAGCAAACAAGGGTCAGAAAGGAATTACTCATTTTATCTCTGCCCCAGTCCCTGTACAACACTTTGATTGGAAAAGACAACTCAGGGGGTGGCTCAAAAAAATACCAACTACAAAAGTTAAAATCTCACTAAGCTTCTGCTGTTGCCCACTTGAAATCTGATTAGAAATCTGATTAAGTGGTAGAAAATTCACAAGTTTCACTCCACCCCCACCGCAGAGAGTTACTGACCATCCCACCATTTGTCTGCTGCCCACCAAGTATTATCTGCATGTAGACACAAAGCTCTAAGCACATGATTTTACTGAACTATTGACTCAACCATTTAAATGGCAGCCAAATGGTACTCCCAGGGGAATCTCACCTTCAGTACTCACAGACAGCTTGTGAAAACAGTGAAGTGTAAAGCCAGAGTGACTTTATTGTTGGAAACCAGATAAGGAACAGACACACAGACCGCAGTGTGGTCAGCTCTCAGGGTAGCCTTCTGCTCCCAGTTCTCTTCGTGCTGAGTAACTACTGACCAGGCAACCCCTGGTTGAAATTCTGCCAAGTTTTGCTTTTACTCTTCTAGTTCAATCTGAACCTCTGAATTTAAGGTGCTTTGTTAATGTTATCAGGGAGCATTATAAATAACAGCAGTTAAAAATCTCACAAGGAAATAGGATGCTAGTCAGTATTTAAAGGTATCGCAGCAAAGTTATTCTTTCAGAACAAAAGACTGGAATCTGCTTTTCTCAGCTGTCAACTCTGACGAAGGGAAGAATTTTTGTCTTCAACAACCTGTATCTCTCTCATTTGCTCTTCATCCTAACATCATCACTGGTCAAGTAACAAGACCACAGGTGGCTAATTAAAATACTGCCACACAGTAAGTAGAAACATGTACACCAAATTTTACTATGCGTATTAATAAATATTCTTTATTTTAAATTTTGCACATTGCGCTTTAACATTACATCCAAACATTTCGCAAGTGGATGTCTACTTTGTAAAACCATATATTCAGCTCATTGTCATTTCTGTACAGAAGTATAAGTACAACATTACTTTTTGCCACTAAGTTGCTTTTTAGTAAGTCTCACAGGAAGAGAAACATTTAATGAAAAGAGATGGCTTAAATCATATGGCAGGCCTGCGCAGCCACACAACTAAAGACACAAGCCTGAAGAAAGAACAAACTAATGAGGTTACCTCCACCGTCTCCCAAAACAAGAAAGAATCACATTGATTTAAGATAAAATTTTGCCATAAGTCACTAAAATTAAAGAGTTTTTCTGAAAGAGAAGGCGCAGTAGTCATCTTGAGTGTTTCATTGAAAGACAGAGCTATTTTATTTATTTAATTTGCTCCAGCCGTTGTCAACCAGCCACTACAAATGGGCCTCTTATGATCATTTAAGCGGCAGTATTTATTAAATTTCTCCTTCAGATGCTGTCGGTATTGTTCTCTATTGCTGTAGAAAGACTGGTTATTAGCCATAAATGACTGTATTTCATCTTGTGAGATAAAGATTTCCTCATCTGAAGTACATTCAGACTCATCCTGCAAATTAAAGCAGTAGTTAAGACTATGACTTAAATGAAGAATGCAAAATGCTATGCTAATAGAAGACAGCTAAAAGTTAAAGCAGGCTAATTTTTAGTTTTAATTCAGTCACATAAAACCTTTAAATAGAATGTTTACAGGATAAGCAAAATGTCATTCTGTCTTGGAAAGTACTAAGTAAGAATAAAATGCAACTCAACATGATTTAAAACTCGATCTATAATTTGTCCTAGAAGCCTACAAGCAGACTACTAACACACCTTAGCCTTTAAAAGTGATTAGAGATGGTTATAAATAGCTACCAAATTTTAAATAATTTGACTTTTCTCTGGCTGGCTCTACTTATCTCCACAAGTTAGGTAAAATATAACCTTTTAAAAACTTATGAATATACAGTATCACCAATAAACTTTACAACTATATAAAAAAGAAAAAAGCTAGTATTCTAAAGGATTTGTTTCCCTTGGAATCCTATAATGACTACAGAAAAGATGCCACCCTTTTCTTTCCTTGCCCCCCCCCCTCTAAATTCCACACAAACTATGCCCCAGGTTGCTTGGTATAATTCATCTAAAGTATAAATTATCATCAATTATACAAGATGCCCCAAGTTCAGTTATGCTTTTATCCTATATGACATGAAGGTTACATGAAGGAAGTAACCCAGAAAATGGGCTCTAGTTCAGATTCTATATACTTTCCTGGTCTGGAAGGTTAGCTACCATTAATTACCACTCAGAAAGGCAGCTTGCTTATAATAACCCCCACCAAGGAGTCAGACTCTTGGACTTGATGCTAACTCCCTGTGCCTCTCCCAACTAGTCTCTTCTACCTTTGAGACAAAGGAGGACAGGAAATGTGCTCCACAACAGTTACATGGTGGAAGAGCAGGAATGCAGTCACCAAAAAAATAATTAAATACTGCTTAAAAGCCTCCTCCCATTCCCAATGTTAAACCCTCAAATACTGTCTCCTCCCACATCTACCCCATGAGCAATCAGTTATCCACAAAAAGATATCATGGCTTACTTACAAGGAGTTCAACTAAGCTCTTGGCACCTTTTCCAGAATCAGGACCAAACGATGTTTCTGTAGGTTCTGCAAACTGTGGTACATTTTTCCTATGCTCAAACCAAGGCAGTGGCTGCCCACCCTTTTCAGAGCTGCAACAGCTTTCAGGATGTGCATCTTTGGTCTTGTCACGGTGAAACACTGTGTGCACGGTATTTCCTGAGGTCTCTCGATTACCTGGATCTGTGATACAGCTTCCAAGCTTTTGGATCTGAAACCACAGCAAAAGTATCTCACAGGTAAAAAGGGAGGTGGTGGTTGTTTGGTTGCCAAGTCGTGTCTGACTCTTCGCGCCCCCATGGACTGTAGCCAGCCAGGCTAGCTCTGTCCATGGGATTTCCCAGACAAGAATACTGGAGCAGGCTGCCATTTCCTTCTCCAGGGGAATCTTCCTAATCCAGGGATCGAACCCGAGTCTCCTGTTTGGCAGGCAGGTTCTTTACCACTGAGCCAAGGAAGCCCCAAAAGGCAGAGCATAATAGCAATGATTATTGTTTAAAGAAAAATAAATGCCCTGAGAGTATGTTAGATCTTACCAGGAACAGCAGCAGCAGCTGGCAGTTACTCAGCACTTACTGCGCAGCTAACACTCTGCTTCCAGGTGGCTCAGTGGTAAAGAATCTGCCTGCCAACACGAGAGAAAAGGGTTTGATCCTTCCGTGGGGAAGAGCCCCTGGAGTAGAAAATGCCAACCCCCTCCAGTACTCTTGCTTGGAAAATTCCATTAACAGAGGAGCCTGGTGGGCTACAGTCCGGGGAGGTCACAAAAAGTCAGACACAACTAAGCATGCATACACAAACACTATGCTAACCCATCAATATAATCTCATTTCATCTTCACAGAATCTGATCTGACACTATTATCTCCACTTTACAGCAGGGAAAACAATTCAAGCAAACTGCTCAAGATTACAGAGATAACAGATTAAAAACTACTGTGAAAAGGTGAACTGGATTTATGTCTCACATGGACTGTTGGACAAATGACCACACATCAGACACACATGCCTATAAAAATCACAAGATGAGCAACCAATGGAACTGCATAGGTATTCATTCTAAAAAAAAAAAAGGCCTAGTGACTAAGGTGTGTAGTGACTAAGCCACTCCAAGGAAAAGAGCCAAAGTTTAAGAATGACACTTTATGACACTTACATGTTCATCACATTTCAACATCTTGCTTTTCTTTTTCTTCTTTTTATTTTTTCCTTTGGTGGTGTTCTCTTCAGAATTTGCCCAACATTCAACACAACTATCGCCATCATCCTCTTTGTCTTCACAGTGATGAACACAGGAGTCATCACCTGCAGAAATCAGTAGTTTCTTATTTATGCGCTTAACTCAGCCATGTAGCAGAAATAATTGGGAAGCTTGGTCCGAACCTACCGTGCTCGTCATGATTACAAATGCCTTCCGTGCAGGCGACATCTGAGCCCTCCCGAGAGCCTGTCTCACTCCCTTCCATGCTAGATGAGTATCCACAGTCACTGCCATTGCAGTGTGGCGACAAGCCTGAGAACAAACCAACTGAGTGCTATGAACGTGCCAGTGAATATGCTGAGACAAAGGACAACCCAGATGGGGGCTACATCAAAATCTCAAAACTGATGGCTTACTGAAAGTAAAAAGTACGTTAAACAATGAAAATATGACTGGAGACTTACGGTTTTTTATTTTATTATTGTTTAACAAACCAAACACTGTAAGTGTTTGACTGAATTATATGATATTCTTGGGTCTATAAAGCAGTTCCTAACCTCTAGGTTACAGGCTCTCTAAAAGCTCTTATACTTAAAAGAAAGAAAGAATAAACTTAAGAGTTAATATTTTTTTAAACTATTTACTTACCTTTCTTTATTTTAGGGGACCCCAAAAGATTGCCGCTGCTAGGACAGGTACAGGATGTACTTTCATTGGTAACAATTACTTCTACACAACTATTACCATCTTCAGTGCTGCCACAGGCTTTGCAGCTGTTTTCTATGAAGTCTGTTTCCTTTAAGGATCAATATTAAGAAATAGTAAAAATCTTTACCTCCATAATGGCTATATTTTAATTTCCTCAACATTAACTAATTAGATAACGATAAAAATTATAGAAAAAAAAACTATTTTCATGAAGATCATTAATTCATTTAAAAACCAGGAACCAACTAGAACCAAGTCAAGACCTTAATGGTATCAGGAAAGTCTAGGACAACTGTTCTCAAAAGTGTGGTCTGCTGGCTCCAGGGGTTCCCTAGGTCAAAACCATTTTCATCCTAACACTAAGATGTGATTTGCCTTTTTCATTGTCTTGACACTTACACTGATGGTATAAAAGCAGTGGTGGGAAAAGCTGCTGGTGCTTTAGCACAAACCAAGACAGAAGCAACCAAAGTGTGTACCAACAGTCTCTGTATTCTTCACTTGTCAAGCATTCTCATCGGAAATAAACAGAGATAAAAGGATATTTCACTTATAAATGTCTTTCATGCAGCACTAAAAATATTCATTTTATTAAATACCAACTCATGAAGTAGAGGTCTTTTTATTAGTCTGTGAGAAATGAGAAGAATGCTTAAAGCATTTTTGATGGATACCAATGTATGACTGTCTCAAGAAGTACTTGTGCAATAGTTTGAGTTGCAAACTCAAACTAGCTAGTTCTAAACTAGCTAGAACACCAACTTCACTTAAAAGAGAGGATAAGAGACAAACTATGGTTATTCAGACTTGAATATTTAAGACATTTTCTCAAAAATAAATGAAGTCAGTCCAGCTCTTAAAAGAAAAAAACAGACAGTATTTGTTATCACTGATAAAATTTAAACTTTCAAACCTCAATTAGAATTTTGAAAACTTGTACATACAAGCACAATGAGATTGAAGCTTAAGACCTTTCTAATGGGATGAACAGTGGTTTTAACATGACTGTCTGATACTATGTAATGAAATGTCAATATCTGGGGAGATGTGCATAACTCAGTGAACCATTATGTTTTCAAATGACCAGTGCATGATGTTATAGAATAATGCATGAATAAAATCTATTCAAAGTGCTAATGGATCTTAATTTAAAAGTATGAAAGGTCGCTTTAAGGTGTCAGGTCCCACACTATAAAAAATCTTTATGAAATTACCACCTGTCAAGTTACAATGCCAAAGAATATCTACAACTATCTAAAAAGGTTTATATTAAAATATTCCTCTCCCCTTTTCCTACTATATGAGTGAAGTCAGACTTTATTCATATGCTTTAACCAAGCAACATATGCAAACAGACTGAATGCAGAAGCAGATAATGAGAATCTATCTGATTCCTTTCAAGCCAAATATTAAAGAGATTTGTAAAAATATAAAATAAAGCCACCCTTCTCAAATTTTCCTAGAAAGCAATTCTTTTTCAAAATATGTTATTCATGTTAACATTTAATAGGCTTATTATTTTTAAAAGAATTAACAAATAACTTTAAATTTCTCCACTTTAATTTCTAATACAATAAATGCTGATACGTATAATTCACATAAACAAAAGCTCACGGGGCACCCTGATTTTTAAGAATGGAAAGAGACCCTGAGACCAAAAGTTGAGAACTGCTCTAGGTCATGCATGGAGATAACTTTTCACATTTGGGCTTTGATCTAACAGAATACTAAGGTCAGGTAGTAAGATACTACTAATTACTGAACATTGCCTTTATAAAATAAATGACATTAAAGAGGTTATTATACAGACTACAGTAAGAAAAAAAGCCAACATACAAGCCAGAGGAACCCAGGTTCTGAGAAAGCACAGTGAAAGTGCTGCAATCGAGAAAAAAAGCCATATATTGTCAAGTCAATATTAAAAAATACTACCTTCTCTTGGCTTACTTCCTTTTCATCTGCTGTTTGTAAGGGAGTAGGGATATCACATACACATTTGTTTTTTCGTCTATTCTTCCGTTTCTGGCGCTTCTTTTCTTGTTTGAGTTCTCTTACTCGTTCCTCTTCTGAAAATTCTTCACAAAGTTGTTCCAATCGACTAATACCCTGTACTTTTTCCACAGTCATCTATTATAAAAACAAAGCTGAGACTGAATACTGGCTCAAACTTCCCTCTCCAAGGAAATTCTCACTTGTTAATTTTAAATGATTATCAGACACACAGAAACTGGCATTTCAAACTGCAATTTTGTCCAGCAGTCCTCAAAAAGAATTTTAAATTTTAATACCTTAAATGATGACAGTCTTAAAATAACAGGAAATGAATGTACAACTAACTCCTATGGGAAAGGGAGACTTACACATACTCCAGTTTCAATCCAGAAATATTCTAGTTTCAAATTTCAGAATTTTAACAAAGTAAAGTAAACATTCATCCTATTTCTTCATACAATGAGAACACTATTTAACCTAATTAAATGATCTAGTTTCTGAAGACATAAATATACAAAGAGAAAAGGAATAAGAAATCTTTTCGACAAGAACGAACACACATTTCAGACTCCCCAGAACAATGTTTAAAGTCCAAGGATGGACTTTTGAAAAAGTTTATAGGCCTCATACCATTCTCAAAAGGGACAGGTGACCAGTTAAACATTTATGACCATGCCCTAGAACATAACAGAATATTCACTAGCCAAAAATTTATATTCTACAGAGCATAACTGAAAAAAGACATTACTAAATCACAAGCACAAAACCCAATACCAGCATTATGAAGAGCCTTCAGTGTGCTTCTAAAAAGTAGCTCTCATATCATGGCATTCAGACAGCATTTACTTCATACTATTGGAAAGAAGCAGGCAAACTGGGACTCATTAAATGTTTCTAATTTTTATGCTTATTTTTGGGCTGCTTTTAACTTGTCAATAGCAGCTTCTCATTAAATAATCATTAATTTCAGTTCTCTACTCTGAAAATGTCTAAAAATCAAGGCTGGCAGTGTGACAGGTTTAAAAAACAAAGAAAAATCCACAAACTTTGACCAGTGGATCACAGTTCTAAGGCAAGGTGAGAACAGTGATTAACATTAAGATTCAGTCCACAGTTCACAACTTCCATGGTGGTCCAGTGGATAAGGATCTGCCTGCTAATGCACTGGACAAGGGTTTGACCCCTGGTCTGGGAAGATTCCAAACGTGGCGAGGCAGATAAGCCCATGCAGCACAACTGTTGAGCCCGCGCTCTAGAGACCCAGAGACCCAACTACTACCCTGCAGGCTGCAACTCCTGAGGCCCGCGCGCCGAGAGCCTGTGCTCTGCGATGAGAGGCCATCATGGTGAGAAGGCCACACGCAGTCAGCCCCGCTCTCCACAACTGGAGAGAAAAGCCCGTGTGTAGCAAGGAGACCCGGTACAATCAACTAAAACGGAAAGATTCCATCTAATAACTAAGCAGTCCAGACACTGAAGCACTCCACTGTTCTTACCTCAAAACTCTTGCGTAAAGCATCAACACCAAGATAGAAAAGCATCTGCCATGTCTGCTCTTCTGCCCGTAGCTTTTGCCAGATTCGATGCAGTCTTTCATAAAGATGAATTCCCAAGCAGGTCAGAACTTCTTCTTGAGCTATATCTATTGTCTTAGCATGCCTTTCTCTTCTCCTATAAAGGAGAATAAATCACACATGTTTCCTACAACTCTTAAGCTGAAACAGTAAGAGATCGATAACACCTCTCTGCAGGTTCAGGTTTTAACCATAATCTGCATATCTAGTAAACAAACTAATATCAAGATGTTTATACATTCAAACTCAACATATATATAAATACACAAGTACACATGTATATTACCAATGCAAAATACACATGCAGGTAGAACTTAGTTCTAATATTGCTAAAGAGAAGGTAATTCAGGAACTGGCCCTAAAGAGATGTTTTTGGGGGCACAGAGAGGTCACATATTTAAGTGTCCAGCTCATGGCAGGCATGACAGTTCATCTTCCAATGATAAAAAACGCCTACTTGGTTTTTGTTCTTTTTGATGGGGGACGGAGGAAGACAATGCCAAGTGATTCAATCCTGGGCAAAAGCCCTCTAGGCTAGTCTTTACTAGAAATGATGACAAACTTCAATGATAGAAGTGGTGTTTGTATTCTAAATGCCTAGCAAAAAATACGCACTCAAATGACAACTAATACACAGAGGGGGAATGGGTTCAATGTATTCTGGGAACAATTTTTCCTGACTTTTACAACAAAGCCAGAGATAAAATTTTAGGTTCCTTATTTAATAATAACATCCACAGTTCATGAATTACATTCAGTCAAGTATTTCTTAAACTCCTGTTGCAAAGATCTCGTTTCCTATGCAAAAACCATCATTATAAACAAAATTTAAACATGGAAATGCATGGATGAAGGGGAGGAAGAAAATCTCTTCTAATCATTTTCAAGTGAAAATGATAAGCTATAGTAATGAAAGCCACAAAAAGCCTTCCTATTTCAAGCAACAATGAGCAGACAATGGATCAATACTTTCTCCCTTTTTTTACTCAACTAAATGCATATTTTAAAGAAAGCAAAATCTGTACAGGCACACTTTAATTTACATACATATGTACTGAGGCAGAAGGATAAAATGAAGCAAAGCGCTAGATAGCCCATTCTAGCAAATTACATACTCATACCCTCCTGCGAACTCTGGCTCAGCACGACCCAGAAGATGTGCAATGAAGTCTGTCTCACAGCAAACATGAATGTGTCGCTCGTGTGGACAGCACCGCAAGCCTTCATAAAGTGCAGCACAGTAGCCCTTCTCTTTGCTGCAATCAAGCTCACCAATAAGGATATTATAGGCTCGCAGGACTTTATTTTTGCAATCAGTACAAAACCTGTTGAAAAGAAAAATTTCAAAATTAACAACTGGCGGTGTAATTATTTCATGAGGTATTTAATAGGGTACTAGACAATGACACTCCCCTCCTATACAGAGCATTAAAAAAAAGCCTCCACACACTGAAGTCATACACATATAAAGTAAATACACATTTAAGGATTACAAAGCTATAGCTAGTTCTCCACTTGCAAATGATTATTAAACTAGAGAAACACATGGGCCTAAAAGAATGAAGCAGATAAATACCTGTTAGTTCATAAAACACATGCCCAGAAGATACTAGTTACCGAGGACTACATGTCTTCACGAGCTATCTATGCAGGTCAGACATGAAACAACAGAGGCTACCAACCAATGGCTCCAGGATCCCTCTCCTTTCAGCCTCTGAAAATAGTTGGTATCTTCAACCAGTAAACCTTGATTCAAATGTTTACATTTTAATAAATACATCACTAGCTAAGTATTCTTGGAGAAGGCAATGGCAACCCACTCCAGTACTCCTGCCTGGAAAATTCCATGGACGGAGGAGCCTGTTGGGCTGTAGTCCATGAGGTCGCTAACAGTCGAACACAACTGAGTGACTTCACTTTCACTTTTCACTTTCATGCACTGGAGAAGGAAATGGCAACCCACTCCAGTGTTCTTGCCTGGAGAATCCCAGGGATAGGGGAGCCTGGTGGGCTGCCGTCTATGGGGTCGCACAGAGTCAGACACGACTGAAGCGACTTAGCAGCAGCAGCTAAGTATTAATATGTAGCGTGGGGAAGGCAAGAAGAATGGGAAAGTGGTACATGTATTTTTAGTTTACTGGTAATTTCCAAAATGTCAAATTCTTCCCTCCACCAAAAAAAAAAAAAAGTATGTTTCTCAACACACACATAATATATACAACATATATGCAGAAATGTGGTTTCAACTTAAGTGTACATAATGTGATAAAAGTGCAGAAGAGCAAGTGAAGTAGAAGGACGACAACATTTCCTTCTAGAAACCAAACATCATTCAATCAGAAAAGAAAAAATAGAGTCTGGTCTTTCTATTTTTGAATTCCTAAAATAAGGAAGAATTCGGTCAGGTGAAAAAGCCAGGCTCACAATATTAGTAATTGACTCTCTGAGAAGGTCAACTGTGAGGGAATGAGGAAATTTTGCTTTCTGTGATTTAAACTCATCTATCCAGGTAAGCTTATCTACTCCCAGAGCAATTCCCGTCAACATGTCACCTCCACAGCTCCGCTCAAGGAAGGCCAGACCCATGCTGAAAAATGCGGACAACACAGATGTGCAAAACCAAGGGTAACATGGTTCCCTTCCTATGTTCTCTTCCATAGGTATTAAGAAATCACCATTCACACAGTCACCCAGGATGGAACCTCAGTTAATTCCAACTCCTCCTCAGTTAATTCCAACTCCTGCTTTTAGGGGTGGAGCCAATTGGTATCAATTCTTTCTTACACTGAGGAAGGTTACTTCTCAACTCACTCTGCCCTGTTTTAAATTGCCTAGTCAATCAAAAAAAAAAAAAAGCTTCCTAATAGGTGTCCCTGCTTCCACTCTTACTAGAGCTAATGCATCTCTCATACCAAAATAATTTTTTAAAACATCTCATTACTTCACTCTCAGCTTAAAAACCTCCCCACTATCTACAAATAAAGTTCAAACTCGTTAAGGCCTCTGGTGCTTTCTTCTCTTACCCAACCTACTATTTCCAGACTTTTCCCCAAGACTCACCTGTCCCTTCTTGGTCCCTCTACACTGCCCTGCACCCATACACACACAATATATATGTACAAACGGACGACTTTTGTTTCTCTTTAATTGAAGTATAGCTGATGTACAATGTTGTGTTAGTTTCTGGTGTATACCACAGTGATTCAGATACACACACACACAGGTTCTTTTCCATATTCTTTTCCATAATGGTTTGTTACAGAATATTGAATATAGTTCCTGTGCGATATATACAGTAGGATCTTGTTATCTATTTTATACACAGCAGTGTGTGTACCTGCTAATCCCAAACTCCTAATTCATCCCTCCCCTATTTTCTTCCCCCTCTGGTAACCATAAGTGTGTTTTCTATGTCTGTGAGTCCGTTTCTGTTTTGTAAGTTAAGTTGATTTGTATCATATTTTAGATTCCACATGTAAGTGGTACCATATGGAATTTGCCTTTGTGATTTACTTCACTTAATATGATAATCTCTGGGGTTTCCCAGGTGGCTCTGTGGTGAAGAATCCACCTGCTAATGCAGGAGACACAAGAGATGCAGGTTTGATCCCCGGGTCGGGAAGATCCCGTGGAGGAGGAAAATGGTAACCCACTTCGGTATTTTTGCCTAGAAAATTCCATGGACAGAGGAGCCTGGCAGGCTGCAGTCCAGGGAGCCAGAGAGTCAGACAGAACCGAGCAACCAGGCACACAATACGGTCATCTCCAGGTCCGTCCACGCTGCTGCAAACGGCATGGTGTCACTCTTTTTCCTGGCTGAGTCGTATTCCACTGTGTACATGCGTGGGCACACACACCATCTTAATCCACTCATCTATCAACGAACATTTCGGTTGCTTCTACGTACAATGGACTACTTTGTACGCAGCTGATAGGTCCCTACTACAAAGTCTTTTTTTCCTTCTGCCTCCTCCCCACTCTCCTCCACATCCTTCTCCATTTGCCTAAATCATACCCATCCTTAAAAAAGCCTCTTGCAATTTCCATAACTAGAATTCAACCTTCCTGTATTCCTATTATCTCCGACTTATACTTATCATTATAGCATTTACCCTTACAATGTCATGCAATTAGTTTGTTATACACATCTTTTTGACCCAATAGCAGATAACTCTGTTTCTTGAAATGAATATTTGTTAAAACAGAAGCTCTAAGCCCACTTTGTAAACAGAAGCAATCATGTTGGCAAGTAAAGTTAAATCACTATTTCACTAACGGTTAAAAAACAGACACAGGAATACACAAAAATTAACTCAAAATGTGTTGAAGACCTAAATATTAAGACCTGAAACTGTAAAACTGTGATAGGAGAACATGTAACAATGGAATAGGTGATGACTTCTTGCATATGGAATCAAAAGCACAAGGAACAAAAGAAAAAATAGACAAATGAGACTACATCAAACCTAAGAACTTCAGTGCAGTAAACGACAGAGTGAAGGACAACCTATGGAACAGAGAAAGTATTTACAAACCATACACTGGATACAGGGTTAATGTCCACAATAAAGAACTCTCACAATTCAGTAACAGACAAAAAAAAGAATATTATTAAAAAATGGACAAAGGACATGAATAGACACTTCAAAGAAGATAGGCTAGTAAGAACATGATAAAATGCTCAACATCACTAATCATCAGGAAAATGCTAATCAAAACCACACAAAATCACCTCAAGCCCATTGCATGACCACTAATAAAAATTAGAAAAGAGAGATTTCCCTGGTGGCTCAGCAGCTAAGACTCTGCACTCCCAATGCAGGGGGGGCCCAGGTTCAATCCCTGGTTTGGGAACTAGATTTTACATGCCACAACTAAGAGTTCACAGGCTCCAACTAAAGATCCCTAATGCTGCAAAGAAGACTGAAGATCCCAAGTGCATCAACTAAGACCCAGCATAACCAAATATATATATATTTATATATAAATATATATATATTTTAAATTAGAAAATAACAAGTGCTGGCAAGGGTCTGGAGAAACTGGAACCCTTCCTTGCACATTTTTGATAAGACTATAAAGTGGCTGCCAGCATGGCAAATAGTATAGCATTTCCTTAGAAAATTAAGAATAGAATTGCCATATAATCCAGCAATCCCAATTCTGGGAACATATACAAAAGAATTAAAAACGGGATCTCAAAGAGTTTTTGGCACACACCCATGTTCACTACAGCATTACTCACAAAAGCCAAGATGTAGGAACGAGCTAAATGTTCACTGATAGATGGACACAGTGTATACACACAATGGGACACTATTCATCCTTAAAAAGAGATAATTCTGTCCTATGTTAAAACACGGACAAACCTTGCGGACATTATGCTAAGTGAAAGAAGCTAAACACAAAAGACAAATATGGCATGATTCCACTTATGTGAGTTATATAAAGTAACTGAACTAAAACAGAAAACAGAATGGTGGCTGGCAGGAGGTGCACGGAGGGGTGAACGAAGAGTTTTTATTCAATGAGTGGGTTTAGCTTCAGTCATGCAAGATGAAAAAATTCTAGAGATCCAGTGCATAAAAGCTAGTAAATAGTTAACAGTACTGTACTATACACTTAAAAACTGTTAAGAGGGTAAACGCATGTTATGTATTTTTTATCACAATTTTTAAAAAGTCTTCCCCTTGGTGGGAGAAATGGTCATAGATACAGAAATAAAAATACTTCCACATTTTGAGGCTATAAATGGTAAGTCTACATTTTTGAGTAAATAAATGGTTAAATATCATACAGTACCAATAATAAAACTTGAAATATTTTCCCTATATCTTACTGCTTTAAATCCTCAGTTTAATATGTTTGACTGTACATGATCGTAAAGTAGCATAAACATAAGCAAACAGTCATTTAAAATTTTATAAGGAAGCTATAAGAATGAAAGGGACTTTCCCTGTTTTCTAAAGTAACCTTGTACACAAATTTAAAAAAAAGAGTTTCTTAAGACAGAGGTTTCAGAGTTTCTAACACCTAATTTCTAATAATGCACTATTATAATACTTAACTGGCTAAACAGTGTGATAAAATCTTTATTATACACTGCTCAGAAAAATCTATTAAATAAAGTAGACGTGCCAAGAAGGTCCACTATTCAGACCTTTAGAAATCATTTTCAACTGACTGTATCTCAAAAACACAAACTGTACCTAAAATAAGAACTAGGTACAGAGGAATAACAAGGACTTGCAAATCTGGCATACAAATATTCACTGGTGTGCTTAATACGTGCCAGATACTGTTCTAAGTAAGTCTTATTATGTATCATCAATCCTAACAAATTTAATCTAATAATAAGTTCTATAGGACTACTACTATTACTTTGTCTTAAAAAAGAAAAACACGGAAGCACAGAGAAGTAACCTGTACAAAGTTATACAGAAGGAAATGGCAACCCACTCTAGTACTCTTGCCTGGAAAGTTCCATGGACAGAGGAGCCTGGAAGACTACAGTCCAAGGGGTCGCAAAGAGTCGGACACGACTGATCAACTTCACAAAGTTATAATCAGTAGAACCCAGATTCACTGCAATCTTCCTTAACTGCTTCTAATCGTACTTCTTCCCCTGCATTCTTAATATATTTATAAAATGGACTCCACATTTCTTATAAAATACTGCCCCCCAAACACAGGAAATATCTACAACCAATGTAGGAAATTCCAAAACGTTAGCTCTAATAACTAGTAATTTATCACCCAAAAAAGCTCTTTTGGATGGACCAATTCATACTGAATATAAGGATCAATTCATATTGAAAAAGAAAGGTATCTATGACAGACCTATACATTTGTATGTTTTACGTTTACAAAGTCCCCTTCCCAAACTCCAAATAACTGACATTCTCTATTCTTTTGGGTACAATCAACCAAAAAGGCAAAAAACAAGAAAGCTTGTAATTGAAAAAAGAAAAAAACTTAATAAACTTAGTATGCAGATTAAGTCATTAGCTCATTGCCATATGAACACCAACCTTGATAATGCCAGTTTTCATAATTTACGTGTTTTCTAGAAGCGTCCCCAAAGTAACTGTGTATATCTGTCCCAAAGTCAAAGAACACATAACCACAAACCCAACATGTGACAAATTTTTATTAAAACAGTACAACTCCCCCCAAGAACACCACCTCTAGATGGCTCCTTTACCAGTTTCCTTTCCTACTGCACTTTCCCTCCCTACAAATTTGCAAATGTTAATGACACTTAGAAAATTCTTTGTAAAGTAGTATTCTAAAAAGAAAAATCTGAAGTTACTTTCATAGTACACAATGCGCATGAATTCCAACCCAATTTTTAGCTCTTGACAAAGAAAAAATAATTGCAAATATTACTAACTAAAAGCTGCTATTTTAACTTTAATTTTGAAAATGACATCATGAAACACTTCTATCAAAAACAAGGAATACAAGAATTTCCACAGTGATTAAGTACACCTTATTCAATTCACAGTTACTCTGTGTTCCTTGAAAGGCTGGCCTGGAACCAACAGGTAAAACACAAGAAGGCCAACACTGAGCATCACGCCATAAAGGAACTTCCTGCCCTAACACCAAGCTCTGCCTGGGTCAGGTATTAACGGCAAGGCCAGAGTACTATTACAGGAAGAAGGTGACTGACACCTAAAGCATCTTCCCACTACATCATGATGACCTTTGGACTTACCTGTGTTTTCGCAGATACGTTTCTAGTGTTTCTAAAAGACAACTAGAGTCAATTAAAACTACTTCATCCCTGCATTCTTGGGACATTAGTTCCCATACGTCCATCCAACAACCCCTGCAGAAAGAAACAAATCTTAGTGAGATGGAGGAATACATAATGGAAAAACATTTTAAAAAGCTGAGTAAAGGGTGCTTGATTTTACCTGGCTGTTCCCTGGAAAGGTCCATAATGGAAAATGATCCTACACTTGCTGTCCTTCCTGCGGTCTTCACTACTCCTCTTATCTGTACTTAACTTCTCTGAACTGACACTGCTACTGCTCCCTTCACTGTAGTACAGTACAGTACAAAGCTTAGTGACACTGAGATGATCTGAAGGAATCATTTCTATAGTCTAAATTAAGATAATGAACTCTTTAATACATTAAGATATATTAGTAGGGTAAGTTTGCAAATTTGTATATAATTACGTATTTACTTTAACCGTATTAAATTGTTATTTATACAGCTCATATCTTTAAACAAAAACGTGTGCTCAACTATTACGTTTACTTGATAATAATTTAACATTTACATTTATCAAGATAGTAACTGGTTAATATAGTAAGCATTTTATGAGCAAATCTACTTGGAATGTTAAAGTCAAAAGGGCTGAAAAAATTATAAAATATTTTCACTTCTATATACGGATCAACCTTCCACAAATTGAAAATTCTAACAAGTGTTGATCTACTTAATGTGACTTTATAGCTAGCCCATGGCAACAAAATTCTTATCTACCTTCACATTTACAAGTAGCTGGGAAAGTCACAGATTAATCTAATTATAGGAAATAAAATTTTACATTTTTGAAAATAAAGATAGCATACTAAGATGAACACTTTACACAGCCTACATTAGTAGTACTACACAAATAATTTTTTAAAAACTTACTAAAAACTTCCCAGACTCTCCCTCCCCCACAGGTTTCAATGTGGCGCTGGTCACGCATTTTGCTTTGTTGCAGATGTGCATTCCAAGAGAAATGTGTTTCTATTTTCCATTCAGTGATAGTCTTCTTGATTTTTCATGATTCTGAATAACTGGCTCCTGCCTGTTCTTCTGCAGGTCTCACTAGTCCTAGAAATTCATTACCTGGGATGCTTGAGATGGAAACACTTCTGAGTCTTTACTTAACCTACTCTTTATAGCTAAATAGGTACTTCTCAACCCCCTGCCCACCATATAAGGTCAGACATACAATTCAGCTCCCTAGTCCCATCTCACAAGGGCTCAAGAAAGGGTGAACAATCCTTGTTTTTGCAGCAAACACCTCAACTCCTGCTCTGCCTTGCATGTTACATCCTTCCACTCTCATCTTCCAAATTCCCAATTTTCCAATTATGCTTGAGTGATCCACATAACTCTCAAATTCTCAGTATTGATGAAAAGGGCTGGGGAATGACTATTCTACCATCAGAACATGAAAGCATTATTCTAAAATGATTTGAAAATTCTGTAACTCAAATCAAGATTTTATCCGTAATCTCTCCAAACCAAATGTCTTTATACCACTTCTTCCTGTCAAGATCAAGCTTTCTGAAAAAGGAAGTCTTTTCACTTCTTTGTTCTACTTCCATACTTTCCACTGACAGCTTAATCTATTAAAACCCTGCAATGCATGCATTTTCCTACACATTCTGATCTGGATTCTGATCCATTCAACCACAGATCTGCTCATCAAGATCACCAAATATCTCGGTGTTGCTCTATCCAATGGACTCTGAGGTCCCTGAAAACTCAGCAAGCTTCAACACAGCTGTCCAAGTCCCTGCCCCCCAAAACACACTTTTCCCGTGGTCTCCTGCCTCTCCGGCCACCCTCTCAGGTTTCTTTAGACTTATTCTTTCCTACCATTAAACTGAAGTCCTCAGCATTCCTTTCTGTTACCCTACTATTCCTATAGGTGATCTTATACAGCTGGCCTCTGAACAACACGAGGCTGAATTGCGCAGTCAACTTACACATGGGTTTTTTCAATAGCAAATACCACAGCACTACACAATCTGCAGTTACTGAATATGAGGGCACGAAGGAACCATGTATAACATATGAAGTTGCCAACTAGGAGTCACACTCAAATTTCCCACTGTGTGGCGGGTCTGCGCTCCTAATCCCTGTGCTGTCCAAGAGTCAGTGGTACATCACTCATCAGCTACAGGCCTGCAACCTGGGCCTCGGCCTTTCTTTCAGACCGGACACTTATGCCCAGACAGTAACCTGGGTTTCCTTGTATGAATGTGGGAATACTCTAAGAAAGACTGAACTGGACTGTTACTATTGGTTAGGCTAAAACCTAATTAACTGTATCATACCTTCCCCTGAAGAAAATGAAAGGGAGGAACAACAGTGGAAAAATACAAAAAGTCATAGTAGCAGAGAATGGTGGTGACCATCCAACGTGGAGGAGAAGTCTTGGCTAAGCAGACTACACTCTCTGACCAGCTATCCACATGGCATGGGAGTAACTGAAACTACCTTAGGAGGTGTTGCTTAAGATCAACTAACTCCACTCACACTGATTACATAATTCGGCAAACAACCTTCCAAAATATTTGGCTTCCTATGTGGTGGGGCTAGAGCTGAAGCTGGATGTGAAGTCTGCGGAGGTTTGTTTTTTATTTCTAAGCTGAAACATAGGCAGACACAGCTATGTGTCAATTTAATGAAAGTAGATAATCGATGAAGCAAAGTCAAGGAGAACAAGAGAGCAGTGGAATCCAGAGCAACAGTGGAAGGACTGGTCTTTGTAGGAAGGTAGCAATGAGCACAGATGTTTACGCTGTGGGGTAGCTTTTTGTTGTTGTTGGTGGTGGGGTAGCTCTTGCTTTTCAGCTCCTCAGTGACAAACATTCATAACCAAGAAATAGAAGGCAGCCTTTGTATTGTATCATACTACTCTGTGGTTTTAGTCAACAGGTTATTCAGATAAAGGTTACTGTCTAATGAAAATCAGACTAAATTCTGCACTCAGAGAGTCAGGTATTCTTTAAAGATACTGATCAATCAGGTATGTGAAATAATTATCCTTAGATAACCATCTGAAGCTGTACAGAGCTTTACTGCGCTTAGAGTTCTCACATTTAGAAATCATATGTGTGATTCTTAAGTAATCTTGATTCTAACAAATCAATGTAAGAAGACACTTTCAGAGAGAGTTGGTGAAACATGAATATGAACTGGGTATTAGATTATTGTAGTTAAGCTTTTGTTAGGTGTTATAATGGCACTGACATGAAAGAACATGTCACTGTATTAGAGATGAATGTAGTAATAAAATAACATGATGTCTTGGACTTGCTTTAAAGTACTTCAGCAAAGGAAAAGGTGAACTAATGAAATAAACATGGCAAATCCTGGTAACAACAGAGTCTGGGTAAAGGTATTTGCGGGTAACAGGGTCCTTGTATAATCTCTCTATTTTGTATGTGTTTGACAGTCTTCACGATGGAAGTTTTAAAAAGTTTTTGTTTCCGAGTATGGGGGGAGAAAGAGATTATTAACATACCACCACCTGGTCATCCAGATCTTTTTACCAGGGAGGAAAATGTCAACAATACTAACGAGATGTTCAAAACACTAACTTCTAAACTTAATTCAGTAGCACAGTTTTACATCATCCCATTCTCCCCAGAAGTTACTTCTTGGAAACTCCCTTCAAATTCCATGACTTCTTACCACCCACCCCCAACCCCAAGCAATTTTGAAGGGGAAACTTGACTGAGCTGGGAGAAGGGGACAGCCTTGGGCACTGTAGCACCTAACCAAGAAGAAAGCTGCAAATTAGTTACATAAATTCACACTGCTTTAACTAACTCAAGGGTTTTTTTGTAAATCCTTGATAAATTATTAGGGAGACCTAAAGACAAGAAAAACAAGAAAAATAATTTATACATTATAACTGTTGCATAGGTTAAAGAATGATACCACTACTTTGAAAAAATTAATATTGGCTACATAAATTTACACAAAGATCTCAACCTCCCTCCTCTGAAACATATTTACTACAAGGGAAAAAAATTTTTAGAAGTCAAACTTATACTGAGACCCTATATAGACCCAATGCAAAAAGAACTAAGAGACATATTTATTTTGACCAATTATATGGTGTTCTATTTTACAGTGTAAACAATTAATGAAATAAAACTAGCATTGTTTCTTCTCTTTTTACCAAACAGGACCAACATTTATAATCTTAACACTAACAAAGTATCTTGATAATCAATTCTACTTACCCCAAAGGTTTTGGTTTGTGCGTATCTAAGGAGTGCAACTGACATCTCTTGTTCTTTTTACTTTTTGGAATAGCATCTATCATGTCATTTAGTTTGGACCTAATAAGTAAATAAATAATAAAAAAATAAATAAACCATTAAAGGTCTGATTAACATTAATTTTTCTTTACAATTTTCAAAATCTTTATGCCCTTTAGTGAGAAGTATATTTAAAGTATTACAGACATATCACTTTGAAAAATTCTCATCAAATGAACTCTAACCCAAGAGTCTATACACTTTTATTCCTACTCCATTCCCAGATTATCAGAATGTTGAAGGAGGCCTGCTCTATTCAACATACTCTTTCACTTAGTCTGCATCCATCTCATTCATCCCTACATCTGCATTGTATCTAGCAGTGTGCCTGGCACACCAATATTTTATGACTTATTGCTACCTGACACTCAGCCATACCCCTTATCCAAACAATAGATATCTAAACTTATACTATCCTTGTGAATTCCCTGGAGGTCCAGTGGTTAGGACTCTGAGCTCTCACTACCAAGAGCCCAGGTTCAATCCCTGTTCAGGGATCTAAAATCCCACAAGCTGTGCAGTATGGCCCCAAAAAAAAAAAACAAAACAGAGGGGGCGGACGTTAATTAAAAATAAAATAAACAGGGGATTCCCTGGTGGCTCAATGGTAAAGAATCTGAGTGCCAATGCAGGAGACATGGGTTCAATCCCTGTTCTGCTAAGATCAAACATGCCATGCAGCAACTAAGCCCATGAGCCACAACTATTAAGCCAGTGCTCCAGAGCCCGGGAGCCGCAACTATGAAAGCCCACAAGCCCCAGAGCCTGTGCTCCATGAGAAACCACTGCAATGAGAAGCCTGTGCACCACAACGAGAGAACAGCCCCACTTTCTGCAACTAGAGTAAAGCTCAAGTAGTAACGAAGACCCAGCACAGCCAAAATAAAAATAATTGTTAAAAGTTCTAACTCGTTTATCGAGTAAGTTTTAAAAAATAAATAAAATAAACATACACTATCCTTGACAAAGAGCCTTCAACAGAAATTTTATGCAAATATAGAAATATATAATGCTAAACATCCAAACCCTGAATCCAACCAATAAGCAAAGCTTGTCAACTCTTAAATATACCCAGAATTAGATCATTTCTCATCACCTCCACTGTTATGACCCTTGTCCAACTCGCCTCTCTAGCTTAGTCAATTGCAATAGTTGACCTCCCAAACGGTCGCCATGCATCTACCCTTTGCCTTTTCATTCTACGTTTCACTTAGCAGCTGATCTTTTCAAGACAAAAACCATGTTGTTCTATATTCAGAAATCCTTCAAAGCTTCTTATCTCAGGCAGAATAAAAATCCATAATCCCTACCACCACCTTCAGACAGCTTCTCTTTTCCTATTTACACCACTTACCCTTTAGTGAGCACATTTTACCTCATAGGTGGGTGGGTGTGCGTGCGTACGTGCGTGTGTGTGTGTGTGTGTGTGTATGCATATGATGATGACACAAATTTATATGTGTGTGTGTGTGTGTATATGGATATGCTGATGACACAAATTTATATCCCTTGGCCAGAACTCTCTGAACTCTACTTGCACTCCCAATTGCTACCTCAAATTAACATGCCCAAAAGTCAGCTCTGAGAAACTGCTCTTCCTAGGACTTCCAAGGTGGTCTAGTGATTACGAATCTGCCTTTCAGTTCAGGGCACTCAGGTTCCATCCCTGGTTGGGGAACTAAAATCCCACACGCCTCAGGGAAACTTAGCCCAGGCATTACAACTACTGGATCCAGCCATTTCTCATTATCTCTGTGGCCACTATACTGGTCACCATTCTTTCTTGCATGGACTATTGAACAACCTGTTTCTCTGCCTTCCATTTACTCATAACACAGAGGTAAAAGGAAGCATAACTCCAAGGTAGACCATGTACTCCTCTGCTCAAAACCTCCCCAAATCTTCCCGTCTCAGAGTTAAAAGACCTCAGCATAGCACCACATAATTAGGCCTCTCAGTGCTCCTCTGACATCATCTTTTATTACTGTTCCTTTCATTCATCTGCCTCCAGTTACCATGGCTTCCTTGCTGTTCTTCAAACATGCTGGGGGAACTCCAACCTCTGAACCTTTAACCTACTGCCCTTTCTCTGTCTTTACCCAAATATCTACATGGCTCACTCCCTCACTTTATTCTAGCCTATATGCAATGCCATTTTATTAGAGAGGCCTTCCGTGACCACTTTCCACGTGAATTCTACCTACTCATTCTCTATCTCCCTTACTAGTTTGTCTTTGTAACAACATTCTTGACAAAGTATGTATTTGCTTACTGCCTGTCTCTCCCTTAAGAAAAGAAACTTTACAGTCACTGGCACACGGAAATTACTCGTGTTAAATCTGAACTCAAGCTTTGCCCCAATCAAATTTAGAAATAAGCTACCACTCTCACTGAGTTTAAAAATAAAGCAAACCCATCGTTTCCTAGTTGATTATACTCACCCATGTACGTAAAATAATGTATAAAGCTTCTTTGCATCAGTCATGCAGCTTCGAGTTACAGACAGGACTCCCTTGGGCCCCACCGTCAGGGGCTCAAGGGCAGGATTTCCAGACTCCACCAGCTGGGAAAAGAGGCGTTCCACACTGCGACGACAACCCACACATGGCACAAGCTGAGAAAGTGCACTCAAGACCTCACGTGATGTCACCACCATGGCAATACTTAGATCTTGTTGCTTAAGCATACTATGTCGCTGAGAAAAAAGGGAAAGAAAAATAAAGAAGAGTTCATAAGGAAGACATAACATGACTTTCACTATTCTAATTCCTTATCCTTGTGCAGTAAGTACAGCCTGGGCAGGGCCTGCCATCTACCTGCAACTGAGTCAGAAAGGCAAGACGTGCTGGCCTTATCCATGCTGCACCGAGTTTACGCCACAACCCTCACACTGCCCTCCCTGAGGCCAGTTTTAGAATCTCAAGTACAAAAAACTCTGCTTACAGACTTTCCCCAGTGGTCTAGCAGCTAAGACCCTGCACTCCCAGTGCAGGGGCCACGGGTTCAACCCTGAGTTGGGAGACTAAGATCCCATATGCTGCAGGCACAGCTGAAACAAACAAACGCTGCTTGGGATGCCAGGGCTGTCCAGTAGGTGACCAGCACAGCCAAAGAAACCCTGCACCTGGAAATCTAGTGCCTGTTCCATGTGGGCGTTAAGCGTAGTACTCTCACTTAAAAGAGAAAACTTTCAAAAGAAAAAAGAATAAAAACAATATAGCTTTACTACGTCTCCTTCTCAACCTTTAAGAACACACTATGTTTAGCTGCATGAGTCAAGTTAGGATGGTGATCATGTAGGGCAGCAATTCTCAACCTGGAGGCGTGAGCAGGTGTGTTACGGATCAGTGGGAGAGAACAAGGCCCATCTCATCTATGGAGGAGCCTGCAGTGAGTGAGTAAAACGCTAGTGCATATGAATGTAGGGAAATGGGCAAAAACTCCAGGAAATAACTTCTACTTGGCTGGAGCTATAGTTACACTACAAGTAATGTAGTGTAGTTTACCAAAAATAAATAAATAAAGGTGAGAAAGTTAACTCCCAAGAAGGACATTATCATATTTACCATTAACCTTTAATTCAGTTTTCTCCAAAAGCTGAAACAATTTTGAAATAAAGTAACCATTTATCTTCCTTTATACTGATCATATATAGTATATTTACAAAGTATCACACTGTTTAAAAATTAAATAGGACTGGGAGTTTGGGATTAGTAGCAGCAAACCATTACTTTTTTTTTTTTTTAGTCTTTATTGAATTTGTTACAATATTGTTTCTGTTGTTTATATTCTGGTTTCTTGGCCATGAGGTATTCCAGATCTCAGCTCCTCATCAGAGACAGAACTCACACCACACCCTTCTGCATTAGAAAGTGAAGTTTTAACCACTGGACAACCAGGGAAGTCCTGCAAACTATTACATTTAAAATGCATAAACAACAAGGTACTACTGTACAGTACAGGGAACTATAACCAATATCCTGGGATAAACCATACAGGAAAAGAATATAAAGAATATATACATGTGTATAGCTAGTCACTCTGCTGTAGAGCAAAAATTAGCATGACATTGTATATCAACTATATTTCCATAAAAAATAAAATAAAATTTAAAAAAGAATTAAATAAAAATCAGAAAATTCACAATACAAAGTTTTTTTTTAACAGAACAAAACAATTACAGAAGATAACAAAGTTCTCAATGAAAAGTTGTCTGTCTTTTAAAAACAGGGAAATTAAATTTAAACTAAATTTAAAATTAAACTAGTGAAACTAAAAAAAAAAAATTAAATTAAATTAAACTAGTGAAACTAAAGCCTTACAGACATGTAAAATGGTAACACACCACCACCAAATCTTTCACATCACAGGGATGTACATATAACTGGAGCAACAGTAAAAGAAAGCAACCTCACTGAATCTTAAGACCTACAGAGCCCTAGGTAAAATAAAATTACATCTATGACTCCTTAAAACACACATACACACGTGCACGTGCTCATGCACACACACACCATTTAAAACATTAATTTTTAAAACTTACCTGAATGAACTGCTTCAGTTGTGCACCATTATTTTGATGCCCATCAAGATTTAACACATTGTCAGGAAATTCCATCACCATCTTAATATGTAAAAGAATACAAATCAATTATTTTACCTTCTTTGAAAACATTGATATAGACTATTTTATAATATCCTAGGACAGAAATAGACTCCCCTAAAGCCAAATTTGCTCTCTCCCACCTCCATCAAAAAGTTTTAAAAAAAAATCCAAATTACAGTTTCTAAAGCCAGAAATGGTATAGTGATTAGAAGCAAGGGCACTGAAGTCAGGCAGACCTGAATTCAAATGCACCTCTATTATAATTTACAATTTATGTCATAATTCTGGGCAAGTTACTTAACAAGTCTGATTTTCAGCTTCCTTATTTGTAAAATGAGATTAAATAGTAACTTTTAATATCTCTTATAGAATGGATTGTGAGGATTAATTTATATTTAAAAATGTGTGTTGTAGTGGCTAATGAAAGCATTTAGTAAGTGAAATAACCTGATATCTTACATTAAAAATCCTGACATTTTCAGTTATTCCTCACAGCTACAGAATACAGTAAATTTTATCAAGTAAATAACTATATATACATATGTGACTATATATATAATGACTTCACTTTACAAATACACACACACAGATACATACTCAGAATAATATCCAACACATAGCAAATGTCTGCTCTAATCATGAAAAGAAAAAAATACACTGAAATTTTTATTCAGTTCTCAAAATTCATTGACAGAGGATGAGGGATATATAAAGCTTAAGGCTGTTTCGGGATGTCAGACAATGGAAATCAGTCATCACCACATTTCACTGATCTGTGACACCACTAATTTTAAGGAGTACCTTAGCTGGAGAAGGAACTGGCAACCCACTCCAGTATTCTTGCCTGGAGAATTCCATGGACCGAGGAACCTAGCAGGCTACAGTCCACGGGGTCGCAAAGAGTCGGACACGACTTAGCGACTTCACTTTCACTTTATGTACCACTAGGTACCACTAGGTTATGTACCACTAGGAAAGAATCATTGTAACTAGAAGATGTCACCAAATCAAAGAAGTATCCCGATTTTAGAGATGTTAAATATGAAAAAAGTATGCCTTCAAAACAATGAACTAAAGTAACACATTTATATCTTAACTAAAACACTGTTAAATGTATCAAACATACTGTGCTAGGACAAACTTCTATTTCCAGGTGACAAGGTCCACAAACTCCTACATACTCAAAGAGTGAAGTCAAGACAAAGAGACCATTTGAGGCAAAAACAAAAAAACTAAAAAACCCACTCAGCTGAACGTGATCTTAAAAAGACTCCTCCCTTCAGCAACCAGAATCACAAAGACCTGCTTCTTTAACCAAATGACCACTCTTTCACCTCCACATCAGAAATGAGAACCTAAACACATGCTTATTCTAACAGTAAATAGAGAACTAAACCATTAAGGCAAGTATAAACAACAGATATAAGACCTTTTCCTGATTTGTGAAGAGGGGACTACTGAATATGGGTGTTAGAAAGGCAAGTAGATACTAAGGATGGATGCAAACACCTATTCAACAATCCAGAGGACTTGAGTTTATTTCACAGAACCAAAAGCTGCATGTACAATATATTCAAATTTTCATGTGTATATTTTCTTACAGAAAAAGAAAACATATAATATATCAGATGTGGCTATCTCTGGGCAGTGAAAAGATAGATGACTTTCCCAAATGTACTGTAACACACATACACCACTTATTACCAGGGAAAGAGCTAGTGTTCCTTGTTTCCAATTCTATATTCATCAAGTTCAGAGCTACGCTCATGCTTCCATCTCAGGAGCTTTTGCTATTTTGGAAGTTTCTTCTTCCATACATAGAGACAGCATGTCCACAGCTCACAGTTTTAGGATCAATCACCCAATTTTTAGGCTACTCAACTTGTCATCAATTTTTGGTGTCTTATCCCCAAAGACTGATGGCAATAATAAAGACATTTAACATAGCTTTATGTATACTGGCCATTGTTCTGAGCACTGTCATATATTAACTTTGTCAACAGTACAAAATAAAATTGGTTACTAGTCTTAATAATCCTGGTTTTAGAAATCCTGGCCCATAAAAACTGAAAAAAGAACAGAGCAATTAACTCACTTGTTCTCTGTTTAAACCACATGGTTTAAAACACGAATAAACTTAACTCATCAAGTCATAAAAAAAGGTATAGGATAAACCACGTAGCTCACCAGAATACTGCAAGTCACTCCAATCTACCATTTAAACAGCTAATATTTTGATTTACATTTTCACTTGCTTGATACATATACACATCATTTCACCACATATTAATTGCCACCATTAAAAAAAAAAACTGAGACAATTACCTATACTATTTTAAAATCAAAGTTACTCAATTTACCAAATCAATCTCTCTCCAGTTCATAGGTGAAATCCTAAATTCTGACTCTGTGTATTATTTTTATTCTGATCAACTATATTTTATTGTTTTAATAATTAAAACAGAGGTCTGAGAGCACACCTATATATTAAAATCTACCAGCTGACCTTTAAAATATGTATGTTTATAAAATTTAATAGGGGCTTCCCTGGTGGCCGGACACGACTGAGCGACTTCACTTTCCCCGGTGGCTCAGTGATAAAGAATCCAGCTGCCAATGCAGGAGACACGGGTTCAATCCCTGATCCAGGAGGATCAAACCTCAGGGCAACGAAGCCCGTGCGCCACAACTACTAACCCCATGCTCTAGAGCCTGGGAGCCGCAACTGCTGAAGACCACGCACCCTACAGCGTGCTTCATAAGAAAGAGAAGCCACTGCAATAAGAGGCTTGCACACTACAACAAAAACTAGTTCCAGCTTGCCACAACTAGAGAAAAGCCCATGCAGCAGTGAAGACCCAGCACAGCCATAAATAAATAAATAAAATTTAATGAATAATACCTAATTCTCGAATCCTTTTTAAAAAGTCAATAAAGAACAGGGTTAAAATTTTTGAAACAAAACCCTCATTTCCAACTATTTCAGTTTTACCGAACTAGTACAGACAAATGTAAAGATCAAGTATATTACTGTGTCTTTCCTGTGTTTCACTGACTTGAATAATACTAAATTTTCTCTTGTACATACACAACTGAGCTTCTGAGCATGCATGCACACACTCACACACATATTCAATACCAACCCAACTAGAAACTCCATGCTCACACTAAATAATTATTGTCCTTGCCTTTCCCTTACAACAATGGCTTTTTACTTTGCTGTTTTCTGGCCAATCACTATATGCTCTTCACTGATGACACCAAAATAAGAAAAGGGGAAAAAATAAAAGAGGAAGATCAAGGACAGCGGAACTATTTTCCCTCATTCTGTAAAATCACTTCCCTGACTTATTCTTCAGATTCTAGGTTACCCAAAGGAAGACAGTCACGTAAAGTACTTCAGGTGTGGTTTCACAGAGGAATCATCAGTGTCTGGCTTCATGATGAGGTTGCCTATCCCGAGGCTTGCCAAAAATAGAACAAGTCACTGTCCTGCAATTACTGCTTTATAAAGTTTATCGAATCCATTGCCCGCTTTCACGCTTAAGTGCCTGTCCCGGTTTCTCCTGACCACAATCAATCTGCTCCTAGCTCATTCTCACAAGCTCCAACCCAACAATACTGTTTGTGTTTATTAAAAACCCCTGTTCCTTTAGTTTTACTTTTTTACTTCTTCATCTTCACAGCCATCTGTAACATCTATCACCTTTGGTAAATGAAAAACTTAATCAAGAATTGAAAGCAGGCGAATGTCCCTGGTGGGCCAGTGGTTAAGACTCTGAGCTCCCAATGCAGGGGGCATGGGTTCGATCCCTAGTCAGCAAATTAAGATCCCCCATGGCATGACACACATGGCCTAGCCTAAGATATAAAATAAATAAATAAAGATCTATGTCTTTTTTCTTTTTTAAGCAAACAATACTAAACTTCTAACTGATGCTAAATACCTAATCCTCAAGTGGATACACTACACTTTTCACCTTTTTAAAGTCTCAAAAACCCTTATCAGAGCTTCTAGTCCGTTTAGATTGATTTGAATTAGGAGGGTAAACTGTGTTCCACATTGTAGTAACTTGACAGTATGTATCAAGAATTTTATAGAAGATTTTTATCCTTTGATTCAGTAATTTTCCTTTGAAAAGCCATAAAAAATTGTTAATACAAAATTTCATGCATTATTCATATTCTTAAGAATGTTATTCATAGCAAAAACTAGGACCACCTCTATGGCCAACAAAGGAGTAATGATTACATCCTGGAATGTCATACAACAAAGTATTACAAGGCCATTAACACTGCTTAAGAATAATAAGAGAAACTGTTCTCAGTATTACATTCAATGAGAAGAAGCAAGATATGAAGTGTTACAGAAGATGATACATCTTAACTCTAAATCTGTATGCTTCTATGATGGGAACTACATGAAATGCTGCTCTATAATCTCAGCTATCTCTGTGAAGCAGAGCAAAGGATAATTTGGTTTGTTTTGCAACCATTTTTCAAGATTATATTATAAGGAGTATATATTCTGACTATTAATTCCTTCTAAAAATACTTTAAAAACGGTAATCCTTCAAAGAAAAGTGTGTTAGCTGCTCAGTCTTGCCTGCAACCCCATGGACTGCAGCCCACCAGGTTCCTCTGTTCATAGAATTATCTAGGCAAGAATACTGGAGTGGGGTGCCATATCCTTCTCCAGGGGATCTTCGCAACCCAGGGATGAACCCAGGTCTCCCACCTGGGAGGGATGCTTTACTGACTGAGCCACCGGGGAATCCCAATTCTTCAAAGATGGCTTTAAAATAAAATCTGTATTCTGTCCATCTGCTATTCTATAATTCTACTAACACTGAAAAGCATTTTGGCTACACACCATACCATTTTCCTAAATATTCCACCAGTTTACTTGGGATTTTTCTCAAACACACCTACATCAGCACTGTACTCAAGTACTCAAACCCACTAAACTGCATGAGTCTTTTAAATGTGGCTACAACACACCACATAAAAGAGGAGGCTACTTCCTCATCTACAAGCTCGTTAATTTCATTTTACAAATCCAACTTAAAATCACTAGTTTACCTCAGGCTAGAGGTAGTCGCTTCTGCAAAGGATAAACATTTGTAACTGACTGTAAACACTGTAACTAGACTTAACACCTAGAAGTTAACAAGGTTCTAAGACTTGAAATAATCACACAATGTTTTCTCAGTGGATTACCTATGGGCTCTAGGAACAAAGACCAAACCAAAAGTTAACTTCAGGGATACAATGACATCAACTATCAATGACCCAGTGCTGAGCATAACCCTCTGCTGCAGGCTTCCTTCCTCCCTCTCCCTCTTCAACAGGTGTTTGCTCTACACTCTTCCTTTAAGTAGTCTCTGGTAGAATGGTTCTGAAAGAAACTTATTTTCCTAAATACGATGGACTCTTGACAAGATTTTACACAAACCAGTATTCAGTGACCATATGTAAGTTCCATAACAAAGCAATGAATGAAGAGTCCCACTCATTTCCTAGTGGAAAAAAAACCTTCCATAGCAAAGAAAAATAAAAAATAAGATGCTACTTAAGAAACTTAAATTAAGCAAGCCTAAATTTTATTTGCCTGGGTCACAAGTCCACCATACAATAAAAGCAAAACTCCACTGCCAGGTCAGTTCAATCCCAACTTCCCCAAAGAAGTAAGTACAATAATAGTGCAGGTTACAGTACAGGTTACATCTTTTTCTAAGGAAAATTTTGGTAATTCATTCAGAAGAGAGTATAAAAACACCCAAAAGTTGCCTATTTTAAAAAACTATTTGATGGATATATCAATGCCATGTCCATATTAAAGGTGACTCTGTGAACATAAGGAGAGACTCATAAGTGTCTTAAATTTTTGTAAATACTCAAATCTTAGGTTGATTTCTCCTATGTTTTGATAGTATACACTCAATAATAACCTTATGTCCAAATTTTTTTTTTTTTTAAACTTCAAAGGTTATCTAGGACAAGAAACACAAAAGGTTGATACCAAACTATATGCTCTAGAAAAGTATCTGTGTTGGAGGGAGAGAGAAGAAAGAAAATTATCAATAAATGAACTCATATTAATTTTCAAATTGAGAAATCCTTCATTTAATTTGATCAGAGTGCTAATTTTTTTCAAAAAAAAAACACTTTTAAAAATACAAGTCCATTATACTTTTAGTGCAAAACTCATGACCAAAGCATACAAGTACGCTTTCTAATGAAACACAAAGTCTATGTATGTACCTTATGTGAGCCCAAACGTTCTTTTTCCATGGGGAAAAAAAAATGCAGTTAAGTAATTATAGATGCTTTCACTTAAAAAGTTCTAACAAATTAAGTCATTCAATAGCTCTTCTAATGCTTTTTAAAGGTACTGCAGCTCAATCAAATCTTAATTGAGACTGGCAAACAGAAAGGCATAGTGACATCTCTACAATGACTTGCATTTTACACAAAATTTGAAAAAAAGTTCAGCAGGTATTTGCAAAAAAGAAATTCAGGAACAGAACACACCAACCACCTTTGAAAAGGAAAAAAGGCAAAGGCAGTATGATGAAGACACTTGGTTACACCTTATCAAAACGCAAACGTATAATCCAAAGCTTCAGCATCATCAAAACGCACATTTCAATATTCTCAGAAAAGGTCCATTTCATTTCTTAAGAAATTGTGACAAGCGACTGCACTCATTTCCTGTTCAGATTCAAATTTCTGCCATTTCCTTCTAAAGGAAACACTACAGCAACCTAGGGCAGAGGGTCTGTAATGCTGTACCACCATCAACTCTAAAAAGGAAAACTACTCAGAACTGGGTTTTGACATTCAAGATGAGCCATCAGCCTTTTATAATGCCCTTACACATTCAATATTGTGGCTTCCTTAGGAAAAGCTACCGGTAAATTAAAGAATCATTAATGCCAAGAAAGCCCGTTTTGAAGAGTCATGGCCTAGCAATACAATCATTTCCAACAGTTTTAATGGACTAGGCATATTGAGACTGTAGCGAAATCAGATCCTTTTAGTGGGATCTTTCCTGTACAAGAGCATGTCACCCTGCCCTCCGTAATTATGCTTTATGGAGTGAGAGCTGTAGTGTTAAGCTAGAAAACAGACAGGTAGCAGTGCAGCTGCGACATTTCCAGATAATTAAGCCTCCCCGAGGGTAGGTGGTTTCTGTAAGGGATAGGCCCTGGACGCCCGAGATCCTTCAGCCCCTCTCCGAGGAGCGTGCTTCGGGCAAAAGCACCGTCTCCAAAAGGGAAAGGGTGAAGAAGAGAGCGGCAGAGGAGGAGTAAGAGCCGGGGAGAGGGGTTCTCAGTGCGGGTGGAGCGCCAGCCTAGGGGCCCGCGGACGTTACCAAACGACCCACTGCAAAGGCGAGTTTGTGGGGCCTGCCGGAGAGAAGGCCTCGCCTAGGAGTTGCAACACACTCTTTTCTCCAGTGCGCAGCGCTCGGCCTGGGGGAGGGGGAGGAGGGGAAACAGCTGCCAGGGGAGCGGCGAGCCCGGCCCGGCCCGGCCCGCTCACCGTGAGGGTGTCGTCTATGTAGAGGGGAATCTGCCTCCTCTCGAAGGGGAACTCCTCCTCCCCGTCCCTGCACACTGCCACCAGTCGCGCCATCGTCCCTGACGCTGCCGTTGCCACCGTCACCACCTCCTCCCAGCCGCTGCTGCTGCTGCTGCCGCTGCCGCTGCCGCCGCTCCTGCCGCTGCCGCTGCCGCCTCCTCCCAGCTCCTGCCTGCAACAGCCAAACCCCGCGAGCGTAAGCACCCGCCGCCGCGCAGCACATTCGCCACGGGGAGGAGGCGGGGGGAGAGGGAGAGCAGCAGGAGGGGACGGGAGAGCTGGGCTACGTTTCCCATCACCCGATTCCACACGCGCTCAGCCAATCAGCGGCGAGCAGCGCGGGGACCCGCCCCCTCGCGCCTTTCTACCTCCCTCCCCCACCCCACCCCCCCAGCCCGCCGGCCTCCAGTCAGGGTCCAAAGGAGAGGCGGAAGGGACCTCGCGGCCCCGGGGCTTCCCCCAACCCGTCAGCGGAGTCCCGGCTCTAGGACGCCACCCCAAGCTTCCGCTCCTCAGCCCACTGCCCGCCGCCCGGGAGTCCTCAGCCCACCCCCCCAACACACAGTTGACCCCTTCTCCCCCTTTAAGGGCGCGCCCCGCCCCATCAGTTCCCTGGGCTGCAGTTGCCCAGCGCGACCCCGCCCCTGGGAGGGGTCGACCCCGCCTCAGCTCTGCGGAGTCCGCGGGGGAGGCACAGACCCTCCCCTTCTCACCCTTCTCGGAGGAGGCCTCCTGCTTCTGACCTTCACCGCTTGCGTGGTCGCCTCCCTGACCCCCCACCTCGGCTCCCCGTTACCGGCTGACGAGGCCCGCGTTGGGGCCGGCCTGGGCGGGAGCGCGGCTCAGAATGCCGTTTCCTCTCCAGGCTCAGTCAGCCGCTCGCGCCACGGGGGAGTGGGGGAGGGAGGCCGGGGGGGACATGAGGAGGGTGGGGTGGGGCGGGGCGGGGCCGAGCGAGCTGGGCGGGGCCCCGCCTCCTCTCGCGAGAATCCAGGCGCTCTCCTGGATCGCCCCTTTCGAAACCCTGGCGGAGGGGGCGGGGTGCTCCCCTGGCGGTCTCCCGACGTGTGACCTGCGCCCTCCCTGGAGTCTAGCTACTCAAATAAACCCGAAATAGGGCTGTTAGGAGGGGTGAGTAGGCCTGCCTTCTGTCCTCCGCGGTGTGGGGCCCGGGAACCGCTCTCCCGAGGGCCGAGGGGAGAAGGGAGCGGAGCCGAGGGGACTCCGCCGAGGGTCGGGGCCCAGTGAGGACTTGGGTAAGTGGGGGGGGGGGGGGGGGTGCTAGGCTGAGACTTTTCCAAACCAGTGAGAGCAAAAGGTGGGAGTCGGGGGAGGGGAGACGTGCGTCTGGGGGCTGAGCGACAGACTAGGCTGGGTTTCCAGGCCCTTGACGCCGCTTTCCCTGACGCCCTGGTTCTTCAGAAGCTACCGGCATCACCGCTTTCCCAGACTCATATTGAGATCCCTCCGAGAGGGGCAGAAAAAACATTAAGTGCTGACAGTTTTTTGTTGTCGTTACACTGTGAAGATAGTGGCTTGTGTACACGTCCTGGGCAGAGAAACTTCTTGGGTCAGGTTAATATTAACCTAGAGACTCAGACAGAACAACAGTTGCCTTGGGCAAAGTGCTGGTGCTGGCCAAAGGCCCTGCCCTCTGACCCTCTTCCGAGAATCACAACTGCCGTCAAGACAAATTCATGCACACTCTGCGTGCCATCGTATACTCGGTTCTTACCTTGAAGGCGTTAGAGTCCTGTTTGTAAAGCCACTATAGTTGTCAGGAAGATTTTTTTGCCTGTGAAAAGTCTTGACGATTTTAAGACTCAATTCATCGGATGCTCTTACAACTAACTAATCCTGGTGATCTGTATTTCCTGGTAGAATAGGCTAGAGCTGTGATACTGACTTTTAAAAGTATTTTGGTCATCACATTAAGTCTTAGAGATTCGCAACAAAAAAACCCATAGTGCATGCAACCCCTTAGCCATGTTGACTTATGACATTGTGTGGTCACTGTTAGGGTAGGTGACATAATAAACTGGAAGAACCATTGTTCAGTCCCAAAGGTGTGATTATCCAGTAAGTATTTATATCCTTAGCCATGTTGGGAGAGCAGAAGAGTGTGTGGTCTTTAGCTTAAATTCAGTAGGCATATAGGATTGCATGTAAGTTCTGACAAGTTAGACTACATAGCCAAAATATGGACAGTTTTAGAGAATTTTGTGTTCTCTCTAAAACACCTCTAAGGAAAAAAAAGAATAAGGTGGCTTCTAAAATCTGAAAGTGCTCCTATAAAGACTATCAATGTAAGTAAGTGAAGTCGCTCAGTCGTGTCCGCCTCTTTTTGACCCCATGACTGTAGCCCCCAGGCTCCTCGGTCCATGGGATTTTCCAGGCATGAATACTGGAGTGGGTTGCTATTTCCTTCTCCAATCAATTAATGTACCTATGTTATACCTTTCAAATTTAGTTTGGATGATGGTTGGTAAAGGACATTGAAAATACAAGTTCAACGTATAGGTGTTAATTTTAATAACTTTCTTTACTGAGTACACCCTGGGTACTAGCAAAGAAAGAGTAGTCCTTGGGGGTTTAAATCTAAATTTTAAAAAAGGCATTAAAACCCAGATATAAAACTTAAAATGAGGAGACCACAACAGTGTCTTTCCATCTGAGATTACTTCCCCTGGTTTGGATTTGCCTTCTAGAGCCACTGAGCACACTGTGTGGTATCTTTGGAGAATGTTTCACGTGCTATTGAACATGGACTTATTATAAGGCTAAAAAGTTAATTTGCTTGATAAATTGCTCTTTCTCAGGGAGGTCCCTGGGTGCTACAAATAAGACAAAGTCAACATTTGAGGGGAAAATGCTTAGCAAATTACTTCACTGTAAAGCAACTTTTTAGAATTTTTAAACTTGTATCTTCATTTTAGAGCAGGCATTCATTTTTTTCACTATTGGTCTGCAGCTATATTTAGCTGAAGCAAATATTATAGTTAGTGCTACAGCAAATGTTTCATGACTAAGGATCTGCCTTCAGAGAGCTTATCTTTGATAAAACGATTGCGTTTTTAAAAGAGCCAGTTGTTGCCTTTTTAAATTTCAATACTGGCATTGTGAAGGGCAAAGCTGAAAAATTTTAAAGGCTAAGAAAAAGCAGGCAGTTAAGACCTTTTGCTGGTACCTCATAAGGAACTGGTGGCTCAGAGGGTGAAGCATCTGCCTACAATGTGGGAGACCCGGGTTCGATCCCTGGGTCAGGAAGACCCCCTGGAGAAGGAAATGGCAACCCACTCCAGTACTCTTGCCTGGAAAATCCCATGGACTGAGAAGCCTGGTAGGCTACAGTCCATGGGGTTGCAAAGAGTCGGACAGGACTGAGTGACTTCACATAAGGAACAGTTGGTGTGATGGAGATGCGGTATCATATCACATTCTCCATAAAAATACCATTCTTTTTCTTCTTTGGCAGGTCCACGATGTGTGAGAAGCCAGGGGCAAAACTCAGACATGATGAGATATGACTAGTCTCCAACCTACCTGGGTTTAAAAGCAATAAAGGATACTGATTTGTTCCTTATATTCCTGTGTTCATAGAGGAATTCCTAGGGAGCAAAGTATGTTCTTATATAATTTACACAACATATTGGACAAGGTGCCCAATAAAAATAAAACATTGTCATCTACTGAACACAAAAGTATTACTACATATGTAGTAGACATCCCCAGTTTATAATAGTCTAAATTAAAGGCATGAAAATGAGTCACTTTCTGAAGGTCACAGATAAGTCCTAGACTAGATTATATTTTCTCTTCTCTTTGCCCCTCCCTTCTCTGTCCTCAAAAATTGATAGTTAAAAGATTAAAATGCCTACTGTTGTTTTCACTATAATAACCTTATTGTTTTCTGTGGTAGTAAAATCAACAGCAAAATCTTATTAATTTACCACAGTGGTCCAGTGAACTGGGTTTTCTTTTTCGTGGCCTAACAGTGGGAAGTTCTATTGTATCTGTCAAAAATAGGGACAGATGTTCCCCACTAAAAGAAAATTTTTAAAGGAAAAATAATGTCCACAAGTTAACACAGAAGCCCCTTGAGGGCAAGGTGTTATTTTCTGTTGTTTCCCCAGCACCTGTATCTAGCACATTGGAACTCATAAATATTTAGTTAATGATTTCTTTCTCTTCTGTAAACTAAAATCAGATTGGTTTATTTTTTATTAATTTTTTATGAATGTAATTTCATTAACTTTCTCTTCCATGACTTTCCTAATTGGAGGAGGAAAAAACATATAGTACATTTTGTTCTTAGTTATGATTCAGTATCTATAATTGGGAGACAGACTTACTGAAAGATATTTAAGACCTGGGACAAGAAGCAGCAGACCAATTAGACACATGGTCATTAAGTCACCAAATACTCTAAGTTACTATTTTAATGAGAACAATACGGTTAGAGCCTCTCAGCCCTCCTAAAATGCTTTGAACAGGTAAATTGTAGGATATTAGTACTGTGACACAGCAAGAAAACCAGTCATCTTTCCTAGTCATGCTTAATTTACATACTATAATTTTCTTGGTTAAATTTCAAGTCTTCCTTATTAATCAGAAATAAAATCTAATCTGACTTTTGTTTTTATAGCAACATAACTATTCAATATGTTGACTTTTTTAGGGGGTAAATTTCTTTCAATAGATTACCTCCAAATATAACTAACTGTAGTTAGCAAGGACAAAATGCTACCTAAGTACTAAATTAGTCCTCATCAACTTAAGAAATTTAAACTCTTTAGTACGATAGTCATGTTTGCTGTTGACCCTCTCCCTTACTAGCATCTGACCCTCTGCTCCCTAGACACACGAACACTAACTCTTCATTCCACCCATCGACTCTAGCTCAAAAAAAAAAGAAAAATTAACCATCCGTGGGGAAAATTTTCTTGACTCTACTGTAAAGTCAATTCTTGATTTGACACTTTGGCAACCTATATTTCATGACTTAGCACAGTTTATAACAGTTGTTTAATGTGTTTTCCCCATTAGATTCCAAGCTCCAAGGTATCAGAAACCTTTTGCTTATCATCCCTAGCAGCTGCTGCTGCTAAGTTGTTTCAGTTGTGCCGGACTCTGTGCGACCCCATCCCTGGGATTCTCCAGGCAAGAACACTGGAGTGGGTTGCCATTTCCTTCTCCAATGCAGGAAAGTGAAAAGTGAAGGCCCTCAGTCGTGTCCGACTCTTAGTGATCCCATGGACTGCAGCCTACCAGGCTCCTCCGTCCGTGGGGTTTTCCAGGCAAGACTACTGGAGTGGGGTGCCATTGTCTTCTCCAGTCCCTAGCAGCAGCTGCTGCTGCTGCTAAGTCACTTCAGTTGTGTCCAACTCTGTGCGACCCTATAGACGGCAGCCCACCAGGCTCCGCCATCCCTGGGATTCTCCAGGCAAGAACACTGGAGTGGGTTGCCATTTCCTTCTCCAACGTGTGAAAGTGAAGTCGCTCAGTCGGGCCCGATTCTTCATGACCCCATGGGCTGCAGCCTACCAGGCTTCTCTGTCCATGGGGTTTTCCAGGCAAGAGTACTGGAGTGGGTTACCATTGACAGCAGAGAGCAGGCTAAAAAAAATATGAATCTCACTGCAGAACTATTGTCTCATAATTATTAAGCTTGTAAATCACAACAAATAATTCAATCTATTCTTTAGGGCATTTGGGTCTTGCCTGATGGCTCAGAAGGTAAAGAATTCACCTGCAATGCAGGAGACCAGAGTTTGATCCCTGATTCAGGCAGGTCTCCTCCAGAAGGGAATGGCTACCCACTTCAGTATTCTTGCCTGGAGAATTCCATGGACAGAAGAGCCTGGCAAGCTCCTGGGGTCAAAAAGAGTTGGACACCTGAGCAACTAATACATTCTTCTTTGGAGCATTTAGCTGTTTTGTGATCTTTTAAGTATTTGACTTTAAACATTTGCTTTCTCACACCGAGTCTTCTTTTTTTTTGAAAACTTTTTGAATTATTTTATTTTATTTTATTTTTTACTTTTTATTTTTTTCATTTATTTTTATTAGTTGGAGGCTAATTACTTTACATCATTGCAGTGGTTTTTGTCATACATTGAAATGAATTAGCCATGGATTTACATGTATTCCCCATCCCGGTCCCCCCTCCCACCTCCCTCTCCACCCAATCCCTCTGGGTCTTCCCAGTGCACCAGGCCCGAGCACTTGTCTCATGCACCCAACCTGGGCTGGTGATCTGTTTCACCCTAGATAATATACATGTTTCGATGCTGTTCTCTTGAAACATCCCACCCTCGCCTTCTCCCAGAGTCCACAAGTCTGTTCTATACATCGGAGTCTCTTTTTCTGTTTTGCATATAGGGTTATCGTTACCATCTTTCTAAATTCCATATATATGTGTTAGTATACTGTAATGGTCTTTATCTTTCTGGCTTACTTCGCTCTGTATAATGGGCTCCAGTTTCATCCATCTCATTAGAACTGATTCAAATGAATTCTTTTTAATGGCTGAGTAATATTCCGTGTATATGTACCACAGCTTCCTCATCCATTCGTCTGCTGATGGGCATCTAGGTTGCTTCCATGTCCTGGCTATTATAAACAGTGCTGCGATGAACATTGGGTACACCGAGTCTTTTTTAAAGATTAAAATTGAGCAGTACTGCTGACAATTCCACAACTGAGATATTTTTAATGTAAATATTATAAAATACACACAATAGAAAATACAGAATGGTAATAGTGATACAAGACAAAAAGTAAAAGGGGCTTTCCTGGCAGCCCAGTGATTAAGACTCCCCACTTCCACTGCAGGGGGACAAAGGTGATCCCTGGTGGAGGAACTAAGATCCTTTATGCTTCTCAACATCCCCTCCCCCCAAAAAAAGATGTAAAAAATCCTTCCTACCCTCCAATCTTCCAGTGCCACAATTGTAAACACAACCGCTTCTTTAAAATAACTAAAATTTATTAAAAAAAAATAACTAAAATTTATAAGTTTTCTGACAAGTCACAAGGCTTTGCTTCTTCTGACTTGTTTTACATAGTATTTAAAATATCAAGCATCACTACTGTTAAAGCAGGAATGAATCTTATTTTTATAATTAAACAGTTAACCCTGGATTTTTTTTTAATTTTTTTTTCCATTTATTTTTATTAGTTGGAGGCTAATTACTTTACATCATTGCAGTGGTTTTTGTCATACATTGAAATGAATTAGCCATGGATTTACATGTATTCCCCATCCCGGTCCCCCCTCCCACCTCCCTCTCCACCCGATCCCTCTGGGTCTTCCCAGTGCACCAGGCCCGAGCACTTGTCTCATGCACCCAACCTGGGCTGGTGATCTGTTTCACCCTAGATAATATACATGTTTCGATGCTGTTCTCTTGAAACATCCCACCCTCACCTTCTCCCAGAAACCCTGGATTGACAGAAGCCCATTTTCTTCACATTTTATATTTATTCTTCCTCATTAACAAAATTGCTCAAAACATATACTACCCCTATTGATCACCAAAATTTTATTGTTTTATCTTGCAAGTGTAGCACATATATAATTAAGCAGTTGGTAAACATGTAGAGATTGAGCAGGCAAAAGGCCCATGGGGTACTGCTGTGTAATGTATCTACTGAAAGGTTGACTAGACCAGTTGTTACATTTGACAGCAAAAAAAAAAGTAACTGGTTTCTGTTCATTGCTGTGATTAAACAGAGAGTAGGTTCCTTTCTTTTGGCTTCGGAGACTATGGATTCCAGATGCTTTTTATTTGCAGTGGGTGACTGGGTAAGTTTCCAAGAACATGGTACTGCTGCCTCTTTAATTACAAATTTGGCAAAACTCAAAATTATATCACCCAGTAATAAACTACTAAGAAGGATCAGGCAAGAAGCAACTATCCAAATACAAAAAGCTAAATTGGCCATTCTTCGAGATGCTACTTCTACATTTACCTGAACTATGTAAAGAGAAATGAAGAGGCCAATAGCTGTCAGTAGAATACAGTATGCTACTTTTATCCAGTCTTTGATCTGTGACCTTCTCTTAAGTACATATAACCCTGTTTGAACACCAGCCATATGTATTGCCACGTACCCCAAGGTAGAGATGATTCCTTCTCGGTTGGCATTTAATAAACCAACCCTTGTGCCACTGCCATCAGTGCCATACAAAATTAAACTTTTCAGGGGGGTAAAATCAAGGGCTAGCTGGTATAATGCAGTAATGCTGATGGCCACAATCCAGGATTTATTTAGGGGAAACATAATCAAAAGCAGTGATGTTATCAGTTTCACAACTATTAAGGTAAAGAAAAAGTTCCAGTGAACACCATACTCACTTAAATGTTCCTGATAGTCTATGGATTTTATAGCAACTAATCGCCCCATTCCTAGGAAAACTAATGGCCAAACAGAGTACAGTGACTTTGTAAGGTAACAAAGTCTGGAGCCTTTTGTATATTTTCTCCTAACCTCTGGAGAAACCATTGCAGACCCAAAAATAAAGCCCCCTACTCCATAATCCATTGCTCCTGTCCCGTAGAGCTCGGTTTTGGCATATCTTCTGGGAAATAGTGGGAAGTCCACAGCCAAAATGGCAACAGCAGTAAAGGCACTGTTAACGACACGGAAACAGGAGATGGCTGGAATGTATTCTGATTCTAGACTGACTTTCAAGAATTTTTCACAGATTTTGTGGAAAGGCATTCTGACATAGCAAGTTCTTCTGCAGTATATTTCATAGAGCAGTCCTGCCCCAAGGATAATTGCAACAGGATACTGGAGGAGGACAAATGAAGAGAAAATGGTCAAAGTGGTGACCAGGGGAACTATCAGGAAAGCAAAGTCAACCAAGAATCGAGTCCTCGAGTTATGTGAAGAAGAACAGAAGTGCTGTGAGAGAATGATCAGGAGGCCTCTACACAGGATACAGAGTGCAGGCAGGCACAAGCCCTCGGTGATTTCCAGCACGCTTGTTCCATTCTGGTTACTGACAAAAGCTTCTTTCATCTGCTTTTGAGACATTTTTCTCCTTCCTATGAAAACAAGAGCAAAGGGATGCATATATGAAAAGCAACCTTTCTGTGGGACTGGCATATAGATGCATCTGACTAGATTTTACTTAATTTCTGAATTTCAGAGCAGAATCCAGGACTTGAGATTCCCCCTCCAAGGATTGTTGGAAGAAGCCCAATATATGAAGATAAGGATGTCCTACTAACAGAATGAAATTACTGGTTAAAAAGCTTTAGCTGGGACTTCCCTGGTGGTCCAGTGGTTGGGAGTCCACCTTAAGAGTGCAGGGGACACAGGTTCGATCCCAGGTCCCGTAAGATTCCACATGCCACAGGGCAACTAGCCTGAGCTACAATCACTGCAGCGGGACACGTCCTGGAGCCTGTACACAACAAAAAGAAGCCACTGCAGTGAGAAGCCTGCGTACCCACAAGTAGAGTAGTTCCTACTCTCTGCAAATAGAGAAAGCCCTCCCACGGCAAGGAAAACCCAGAATTGCTAAAAAATAAACACAGTACACTGACACTGTCATGAAAATACTGTAATGAAAATTAGTTTACACCTAACTAATGATTTCGAGTCCACTATGAGGGGGGAGGAGAAGAGGGACGCGGAAAGAGAAGGTGCTTAAGTACAGTTTGGACTTGAGGGCCCCAGTTTCTGTCCCGAGCCTCTCTGAACCTCCTGCCTCCAGCACAAAATGCGAACCCTCCAGGGATTTCCCGAGCTCCCCAGGCTGCTTGCTCCTCACCTCCTTTACAAGGTGTTGGTAGAGTGGAACGGACGCTAATCACAGAGGAGGAGTAGGGACCGTAAAGTACACACTAGTGTTAATTGTTTTAACGGCTACAAAACGCCTCTCCACTCCACGTCCATGTCTGAAAAGCGGCACACGGGAAGCACACATCTGTCAAACAAGAACCATCCCGAGAATGCACGTTTGAGGGATGGCCTATAGGGACCCAACCACGCCTCTCGAGGAGCAATCGATCCGAACCGGCTGGCCTTTAAAAAAGAGCTCTTTTCCTGACAGACACGCGCGCTGGTCCTCATACCTCACGTGCTTCTGGGGTCTCGGCGCCCCGCGGCGGAGAGTCGCGTCAGTGGGCTGGAGCGCCGGGGTCCCCCGCCGCCGCGGGAAGCGCGGAAGTCGCCACTTCCGCCTCGCGAGCGGCGCTTCCGGCCAGGGCGGGGCGGGGCGGCCCGCGCTCCCAGGCCCCGCCCACTGAGCGGCCCCGCCCCGGAGGGTGCCCGTTTCCCACGCCCCGCCTGTTCCCCGCGCGCCTTCCTCCGGGTCTCCGCCTCGGCCAGCCAAGGTCCTGACAACGTGGCCGCGGCCACTGACAAGCCGGTCGGTCAGAGGCCCCCTGGCGGAAACGGCGCGTGCCGCACCCCACCACTGGCCATCAGACCCCGCGGCGAGCGTCAGGGCGTCCGGTCTCCCGGCTGGGAGACCCACAGTCCCGCGAGGGCCCCGGGGCCCCTCCGTCCCTCCCCGCTCCCTCGCACCTCACCGCGGGCTCTAAAGTACACCGTCCCGGAGCAAGCCCTCGGCTCCGGGACCCGGCGTACCGGGCGGGCCACGTGCGCCCGGCTGGCGCGCGCCCCGCCCCCGGGGAGGAGCCGGCCGGCTCCCGACCACTCGGCCCGAGGCCGGGCGCCCGCGGCGTTCCCGGCGCCTCCCCGGCCGGCCCCCGCCCCGCGCCCGCCCTCCGCCTCGCAGGCCCTTCCCGCCGCCTCACCCGGCCCGCCCGTCTGTCTTTCCAGTCTGGCCGGCGGGGGCCGTGGGACCGGTGAGTGCCACCCCGCAGCCGGGTCCGAAGGAACCGGGGAGGCCAGTGGGCCCCCGCGGCGCTGGAGAAGGGGGCGCCCCTCTTTTCCCCTTTCCAGAGCGCGGGATTCACTTCTGCGCCCTTTCCCTTTTGACCCTCTCGTATCCCGGGAGGAGGAAGCCCGGCTCTGTCTTTTGCTCCAGGACTAGGACCCTCCGGGGTCACGCCTCACCGTGCCGGCAGGGGGCGGGCCGGGGTGCAGGGAGGCCCCACTCCCGCTGCGCGCCTCTCCCGTCCTGGGGAACTGGGAGGGGGGCCCCAGGAGGCGTGCAGGCAGCTGCGCCCTTGGCTGGGGGTCACGTCCACCTTCCCGAGAAGGACGGACTGTCCCGGTGCCCAGTGTTTCCGGAGCAGCATCCCAGCCCTGGGCCCGGCGGCAGCTCGCCGGGACCGGGAGTACCCGGTTCCCGCTGGGAAGCTGCGGGCGGGGCCGGCCGGGCTCCCGGGACCCTTAGCCTGCCAGTCTTGTCTGCCCGGAGGCTGGGGGAGGGGGGCGCAGTTGATAATCAGGTTGCCACTTGCCTTGCCCTGCCTAGGGGCTTTCATCATTCCTGTCTCCCTCCTGCCCACAGTGGTCACGCCCTTTTCAGAAATTCTCGGCTGGTAGTCGCGAAGCCGACACGGAGCAAGAGCTGGGGGAACCTGGAGAAAACCGCTCCATCTGACTTGATTCTGGCAACAAGTGGGCTCCGTATCGTAATAACCAACATTTGCCAAGCGCTCTCAAAGGTACTATCTCGTTGATCCTTAACTCGGCCTTGTGAGGTGTGGATATTAGTAGTCCTTTTTGCAAAGGAAGAAATGGAATAAGGCTTAGAGAGGTCCTGTGAACTGCATTTTTGAGGGGTTGTGGGCTCTGGATTCTAACTACACAACCTGGTGTATTCCCCTCTGATCCCCTCTCAAGATGAGCTTTCCACTGAAGGAACTTTGTTGGCCTTGAGTCTCGGAGCCCTCTGCACAGCTGTCACCTGGATGGGGTACAGTCAGTGTCCAGAGTGAATGTGTCCACCACAGTCTTGATGCCCTCTTCTGCCTACATTGTCCTTTTTCCAGTTTTCTTGGAGGTCCCCCATTCCTGAATTCTTTCAAAGGCTCAATGTATTCAGAGCCTCAAGTTTCCTCCAAGGTCAGTCCATTACCAGCACCCCTCATCCTCATCCCTCCTTGCTGGGGAGGTGTGGGGCCTGGGAAATTCTAAAAGTCACTCACAGTTTTACAGAGATGGGCCCAAACCCAGCCTCACAACACCCCCTTTCTCAAATGGATTCTCCTCCTCCAAAACCTTGGCCTTCTTAAAGCTGACACTGAACTGTTCCACCTGATCAGTGCTCCGAAATGGATCATCCATCCTTTTACTAACAGTATTTCTCCTCTAAATGAATATTCAGATGTGGACTTTGTAGAGTGCTTTCACCTGATTGACCTTCACAGCCGCTCCCTGCAAAAGTAGCTTTTATTATCTCCATTTTTCAGATGAGGAGTGAAGGTGGGCAGGGAAGGTGAGGTGGCTGATCGGGTGAAAGACTGAGCTGTGGTTTCTGTCCCACACAACTGCTTTCCTGGAATATCAAGAATTGACTCCAGCCTCCCTTCCCCACCGAGGACTGGCTATACTAAGATGGAATATTTCTCTGTGCCCGAGAGGCTTCTCTGCCTTCCAGTGTCCTCACCCTCCGTGGCACACTGGCCCAGAAGATTGCAACCCCACCCCAAACCCTGTAGTGAAACTGGCCGTGAAGGAGCCCCAGGAGGCTCCAGAGGCTCTTGTAAAAGTTTCCTTCATTCCCTAATTGGCAGGGGGCAGGACAGACTCTTCCTCTCTGCCCAGGCTCGCCCTGGGTCTCATTTTGGTTCCTGATGCTTGGTGGGAAGAGCAGGACTGAGTCACCTTGCAGAAACCCTCATCACTTGTATGGGCCCATATCTTCTCTCTTCTACCACAGGCTCTGGGGTGGCTTGTCTCAGAGATTTCTTGAGAGCTGAGCCCTTCGCAGGACCCATGCCCCAGCCTGTGCCCCCATGACCAGGTGGATAGCATTCCTCGTGCCCACGACCCAGAATCCTGGCTGATCACACTGAAGCAGGATGCTCCAACAGGTAAAGTCCTCACCCTAAGACAACCCAGACCCTCAAGACCTAAGGCAGCTCCGCCTCTTTCGTTTACCGGAATGATACTTCCACTGCCCTGACCTGGAAGGAAGGGAAAGACCCCTTTAAAGGCCTTTCTTCTTTTCTGTCTTCAGATAGTCACTTTGGTGCCTTTTGTCTGTTGCCGAGAAGCTCTTCCTGATACCTAATTTGAATCTCTCCTGTTGTGGTTTTTAGCTCTTTCCCTGGGATGGGTAAGACAAGCTGGATGAGGGAATCCTTAGGGTGTTTTGGTGATCTTATAACCCTGACCCTGTGAGGGAGTCCTGAGAGATGCTCCTCACAGCCTGAATTGTAAAGACAAGTTGGAAGCCTGGGGCTTCCAAGAGGAGGTGTTCTTTAAAGCTGAGCCTTAAAGAAGTAAGAGCTGGGACTTCCTTGGCAGTCCAGTGGTTAAGACTCTGCACTCCCATCGCAAAGGGCACTGGTTCAACCCCTGATTGGGGAACTCAGATCCTGCATGCCACATGGCTCAGCCAGAAAAAAAGAGTAGGAATTAGTCAAGTGGAGAAGGAAAGTCAGCAGTGCAGGCAAAGAGTCAGCCGGTGCAGAAATGTGGGAGAAGATGACCAATGTGGAAATAGATAAGAATTCTGATGAATGGATCACAGGGAACATGGGTTGCTAATGGGATGTGAAACCCACCCATTACGGCGGGCCTCTGCCACTAAAGGCTCCTATGGCCCCGGACCTGCAGGATTCCAAATCACCCTTCCCTGTGGAGCCCCATCTCCTACCCATATCATCCTTTACTTGCAGCTCTTGGTCCAAAGAGAATGCCAGATACTAGCTGAATTTTTTTATTTACTGAGTGTTGCCACTGGGCCATGGAGAAGGAAATGGCAACCCATTCCAGTATTCTTGCCTGGAGAATCCCATGGACAGAGGAGCCTAGTGGGCCACAGTCCATGGGGTCGCACAGAGTCGGACACGACTGAAGCGACTTAGCAGCAGCCATTGGGCCAAGGCAGATGTTTACGATGATTCCTGGACTAGTGAAGTCCTAGGCGAGTAAGGCAGGATAACTGAATGTGAGGTCAGCCAGCCTCAAAGGAGCCCTGGTAGACTCTACTGCTTGACCTCTTGATCCTTTGGCTCGTGAAACAGGCTTGAAGGCCAGAGAGAAGCAGGCAGGACAGCTACCTGCTCCAGGCTTTTTTTTTTTTTTTTCTTGCAGAGGGAACTTTTTTATTGTCCATTTTTAACTTCTCTCTCATTTAAAAAACAGTAATGTTTATCAGGGCTTCCCTTGTTGGCTCAGCAGTAAAGAATCCACCTGCAATGCAGGAGATGCCAGTTCGATCCCTGGGTTGGGACGGTCCCCTGGAGAAGGAAATGGCACCCTACTCCAGTATTCTTGCCTGGGAAATTGTATGAACAGAGGAGTCTGTCAGGCTGCAGTCTGTGGGGTCACAAAAGAGTCAGACATGACTTAGCAACTAAACAACCACCATGTTTATCATAACTGTACTAGCAGCTGCTCCATGTTGCTCTCTTGCTGTATAGTAAGCACTATACTAAGCATTTTACACATATAATTTTGTTTAGTACTTGAGAAGGATACAGTATCACATATCCAATGCCATTATACCACCATTTTGAAGATAAGGCTCAGAGCAGTTAGGTGACTTATTCAAGGTCACGTTCATTGCAATGATGTGGGAAATACAGATAAGCAAAAAGAACATTACAATTACCCATAGATAACTGACATTTTAAAGACTATCCTAGATTTTTCTCCCTAAAAACTTTTAAAACATTTAAAGATATTATTCTCTTGGTAACCTGCTTTATTCAATTGTAAGGAGGTACTATAATTTAAGCTACTATTTGGACACTTGGGTTTTTTGTTTGTTTTGCGATTGTAAATGTTTATATATACACAGAACATTCTTATGGCCTTTACGTAGTATCATGTTCTAGAGAAGAATTACAGGGTAGTTTTAAGGCCCTTGGTGTGAAAAGTGAAAGGAAGTGAAGTCACTCAGTTGTGTCCGACTCTTTGCAACACATGGACTGCAGCCTACCAGGTTCCTCCGTCCGTGAGATTTTTCAGGCAAGAATACTGGAGTGGGTTGCCATTTCCTTTTCCAGGAGATCTTCCCGACCCAGAGATTAAACCCGGGTCTCCTGCACTATAGGCAGATGCTTTACCTTCTGAGCCACCAATATATTATTGCCTAATTTGAAGAGCTACTTTTTAACAGAATAATAATAGCAAACTTTTGGTGGCAGAAACCAGATGTTTTTTCTAAATACTTTATGTGCTTGTTAGTATCTATGAGATCTACCACTGCTACCACTATTCCCATTTTACAGATGAGGAACATTGAGGTGCAAAGAGACTAAGACACTTACATAGATTCTATAACTAGGACATGGTGGAATCAGGATTCAAACCCAGGCAATCGAGCTTTCAAGTCCAATTCAGGAGCCATGATACTCAGCTGCCTGTCTGGTTGGATCAGATCTGTTCATAAATTATGGCTGGGTGTGAGTGATTTCCTTTTTCCACTAGGGTAGAGGGATTTGCATGCACACAGGCACGCTCTGACCTCAGCAGTCAATCCTGAAGATGAGAGTCTGCCTTGCGCATGCATTGTGGTGGGCCTAAGTTCAGAGAACAGGCAGCGTCTTTGGAAAGAAACTTATCACTGGGCCTCTCATATGACACTTGCCACTTTTGCTGGAGATTTTTGAACTCTAAGGTTCACTGGTCTCATTAGAAACCTGCACATAGAACTTCCGTGATGGTCCAGTGGTTAAGAATCCACCTGCAGGGGACATGGGTTTGATCCCTGGTCCAGGAAGATCCCATATTGCCATGGGCGACTAAGCTCTTGAGCTGCAACAGTTCAGCTCTTGAGCTGAAGACCGTTTGCCCTAGAGCCCATGCTCGGCAACAAGAGAAGCCGCTGAAAGGAGAAGCTTGCACACCCCAGCTAGAGAGTGGCCCCTGCTCGCCACAACTAGAGAAAGCCCACGCACAGCAGTGAAGACCCAGCACAGCCAAATAAAAAAAAATTTCGAAAAAAGAAACCCACACATATTATATCATAGACCCCTTCCTCCGAAAGCAGATTTCAGCCAGGTTACTGCCTGCTCGCTCACACACCTTCCCTGCAGCTCCCTGGGAGAAGGGAGAAGTGGGATCCCAGGAGGAAAGTGGGGAGAACTTATATAAAGCGTTGGTATCAGGGATGGGCAAGGGAGAGGCAGAAATGGCCTCTTCCCCCTGGTGCTTGTTCTTGACCTCATCTGACTCCTGAGCCAGGCCTGCTCTCAAGTAGACCAGGGCAGCAGGAGCTAATTAATTAGCCAGGCTAAATTCAGTCCCAAGGGGCAGATGATGAAGGCATGGTACTACCTCACAGCTGATTTTTCACCTCAAGCTGATATCGTCTCTTTCCAAAAAGGCCCAAACCCTGGCTCTTTCCCTTCACAGTACCCCGCACCTCGGGCCGGGCCTTACCCCCGCCGGCCCAGCAAGGCCGGGCACTGAGTCATCTGAAAGCTGAAGCACACGGCAGGGGAGAAGGGATCGCATTTATTGATTTCCTGAGTACATGCTTTCCTGATGGCTCAACGGGTAAAGAATGCGCCTGCAGTGCTGGTGACAGAGGGAATGAGAGTTCGATCCCTAGGTCGGGAAGGTCCCCTGGAGGAGGGCATGGCACCCCACTCCAGGACTCTTGCCTGGAGAACCCTGTGGACAGAGGAGCCTGGTGGGCTACAGTCCACCGGGTCACAAAGGGTCGGACACGACTGAAACGACTAACACTTGCACTTTGAGTACATTCTCTGTGCAAGGCACCGAGAGCTTTGCTTTTTCCCCCCTATATTTATTTATTTGGCTGCATCAGGTCTTAGTTGCTGCTCCCGGGGTGTCCATTGCGTCGTCTGGTATCTTTCCTTGCGGCCCGGAATCTCTGGTTGTGGCGCACTGCGTCCAGAGCACATAGGTTCAGTAGTTGCGGCACGCAGGCCTAGTTGCTCCGCAGCAACGTGGGATCTTAGTTCCCCGACCAGGACTCAAACTTGCATCCCCAGCTTTGCAAGGCAGATTCTTAACCACAGTTTCACCAGGGAGGTCCCCAACTAAGTGCTTTCCATATCTCTTTCTTGTTTTTCTTCCAAACCCTGTACATTGATTCTATTTTCCTTTATTGACAAATAAAGACGCCGCCGCTTAACCTCAGAGAGGTCAAGAAGCTTATGTAGCCTCACAGGTCTAGTAAATAACGGAGGTACAATTTGAACCACCAGACTGTGATCCCAGAGGCCGGTCTTCTGTCTCCTGTACAAGCCCTCCCCCTGACGGAGCTGCCGGCAGGTCTAAGTCCCGGCGCTTCTGGTCCTGTTTTTCCCCCACAAGGCTGATGGTCACGGTTCAGGCTCTGATGCCCACGGCGGGGAGGCCCTCAGGGAAGACCTGCAGGAGTTCCTGGGTGGGGAGGCCCTCCTGCAGCAGCTCGATGACCTCACCAAGGTGAATCCTGTGACTCTGGAGACAGGTATGCGTCCCCCGCCCACCCCACCCCAGAGGGGTGGGCCTTCTCCCAGAGGGTATTCAGTCTGCCAGACCAGACTCTGGACAGCCAGGTGGGCTGCTCCAGCCTGGCAGCTGCCCCCAGGCTCCCAAGCACAAGCTATGCTCCAGATGTGGGGTTCATCTTAATTAGATCTTTCTTGTACCTGCTCATCAGGGAGCAGCTGGGATCTCATGGCTCTTGGCTAATTGCAGAGGGAACTCTGGTAGGTGGGGTGTTGGTCTATACGTGCGGCTCTGTCTCCGTCTGAGCCAGGGTTTGCTAACAGCACCCCTGCCTCAGTCCTGAGGTGTCTGCAGGCCCGGTACATGGCCGACACGTTCTACACCAACGCCGGCTGCACCCTGGTGGCTCTGAACCCCTTCAAGCCCGTCCCTCAGCTCTACTCGCCAGAGCTGATGCGAGAGTACCACGCTGCTTCTCAGCCCCAGGTGAGACCCCCCCGCTTCCCAGGGAATCAGGGCTCCCCCTCCTGCCCGAGGGCCCCTGGCAGCTTCCCTGTCATCCGTGTCTCCATCAGCTGTGGTGTCATTCAGAGCCTACTGGGGCTGTGACCTGCCCACCAGAAGCTCACAGAAGTTTGCCAGGAGGTGCAAAATGAGAGACAAAGCACTACTTGCTTATTTTAGAACCTAAATAAGTAGGTTGGAGCCTAAATCAGTATTTACTGATTTTGGAACCTAAAATAGGGACATGGACAGATTTTTTTTTTTCTCTTATTTGTGAATTTATTAGTAGGAAAGAATTTCCAAGGGCACATTTGTGTATTTAAAAACCACTTTTGGGGGAAAAGAATAAAATTACATGTGGTAAGGATTGCCTTAGAAAATTCAGCACATGTTCATCTCCACTGATTGGGATGAGGGGTAACTTCTTAACACAAGTGGGGATGAAGCTGGTATAGGCAGGGAACAGACCAGTTGATGTTGAGGTCTGTACCACAGCTGAGAGAATCCACAGAGCTGCTTCAGCAGGGTGGGAGTGGGGCTGTGAACGGAGCCCGCCATGGGGATGAAGTTGGGGGAGCTGGGTTTAGGAAGGTGAGACCAGCGGCTGAATAGTTGGAGGCTTTGTAACGGTCCAGGTGAGAAGTGGGTGGGGTGAAGGCCTAGAGAGAGATTGATGGTTCTGACAGCATCCAGAACGACGCCCTCTCCCTTCAGGAAGCTGTAGGCAAGCGATCATTGTGGGTCAGGCAGAGCTGCACTGGGTCTGCGTGGACTAACTCGACTCATCCAGGGTTCGTGTCTGAATGGGAAGCCAGGGAGGTCTGACCTGAGAGCCCATCTTAGCGACTGCCTCCTCAAAGGCAAAGCCACGCAGGTCCCTGTTGTGTCCTCAGTGCCCGGCTTGATGCCCAGCACACTGAGGACAATTAATCCTTGTTGATGGAAAGGAGAACAGTGACATTGGAATCCAAATCACACAGAGGCCTTTCTTTGCTCAGTGGCCTTGGGAAGGTTATTTAACCCATATGAACCTCAGATTTCTCATCTATAAAATAGGGTTAGCGTTCCAACTAATGCACAGACTTCTTAGGCAATAACTGGTAAGAAAGTTCTTGCAAATTGCAATAACATAAAAAAAAAGCAGAATAAAACTACTGACATAAGATAAGATGGGAGGATAACATGTTAATGTCATAGACTGGTCAAGGCCAGCACTGCTTCCAAACTGAGATAAGATGAATGAGTCACACCCACAGCTGGGCCTCACGTTGTTACTGCCAGGAAGTTTTTCTAGAGGAAGCCTCTACCACTGCTGTGGGCAGGCTCCCCATCGCAGCCATCTCTGCATCAACCACTCCCTGCAGACAGGGGTTTGCTCCCATGACCTTTCACCCTTGATGTTTCAGACACTGAAGCCCCACATCTTCACAGTGGGTGAACAGACCTACAGGAATGTCAGGAGCCTGATCGAGCCAGTCAACCAGTCTATTGTTGTCAGTGGAGAGAGTGGTGCTGGAAAGGTAGGCGGGCCGCTTTCCTACCCTGTCAACTTCGTGACTGGCTGGACGGGCAGAGAGGCTGGGGTGGGGTTCCGGGGAATGTCACTCGTGGAGTCAGTGTGCAGCGCTGGGTGAGACCTGGGCAGGAAGTCGGGAGCCAGGGCTTCTAGGCCGGCTCTTGCACCAGCTCTGCCCTGACCCGAGGTGAGAGTCTTTTCCCCTCTGCGCCTTCATGTCCTCATCCGAGGACTCTCCCAGCTCTGACAGCCTTTGGAAACAAAAGTCAGCAGTTGGGGGTTCCAGCATAGCGTTGAAGAGCACATCGGAACAGTATTTAGCTCTTGCTAAATACTCAGTTCTTTCACATGTAAAATGGCAAGGCAGGAAGGACGGGCACGTAACTCTCGGGGCCTTCTGTGCACGTAAGGCACTGGCATGCTCGGCTCATGGCAGCACTCCTCCCAAGCCGTGGGGGTTCCAGTAAGGAAGCAGCCCGCCTGCATCTCTGGGTTGCCCTTGACGCAAGGGCGGTGCGTGGGGCCGGCTGCGGGGAAGGACAGTCTCCTGTGTGGTCCCCAGGCGGCACAGTCCATCCAGGTGACACGAACATCATGCACGGATGGGTAAGGAGTCGCGCGGCCGTCAGAGGCCTGCTGGCCCGGGCCTTGCCCCCTTCTTGTCAAGCCTCACCAGCCACCCCACCCTTTCCTCCACGTTACCTTCTCAAGGGATTCTTTGGACCATAAACCCACTCTGTCTACAGTCACCCATGAAAGCATTGCCAAGCACCGAGGCAAGTTCTAGGCCCTGGGCTAGCCAGTGAGGAGTGGCAAGGGGAGGAACAGAGAAGAAAAATGCAGCATCTGGTTTTTGGGGGAGGGGGCTTCCCTGATAGCTCAGTTGGTAAAGAGTCCGCCTGCAATGCAGGAGACCCCATTTTGATTCCTGGGTCAGGAAGATCCGCTGGAGAAGGGATAGGCTACCCACTCCAGTATTCTTGGGCTTCTCCTATGGTTCAGCTGGTAAAGAATCTGCCTGCAATGCAGGAGACCTGGGTTCGATCCCTGGGTTGGGAAGATCTCCTGGAGAAGAGAAAGGCTACCCACTCCAGTATTCTGGCCTAGAGAATTCCATGGACTGTATAGTCCATGGGGGTCACAAGGAGTCAGACACGACTTAGCAACTTTCACAACAACGCTTGGCCCAGTGGGAAAGACAGACAAGGAAGCAGATGAAGACTGCACGCTCTAGGGATGAGGCTAGGACTTGAGTGCAGAGGGGATCTTTGAGAGCTGTGCCAAGGCTTCTGGTGGGGTGGTGATGCTCAGCTTCTGGATGAAGCCCATTATCCTCCAGAATTAACTACCAATATAGTTACAGAGTTCAAAAATCAAGCAATACAATAGGGCTTACAAAGAAAAGTAATGACCCTGCCTCATGTCTCTCAACCCTGTTCCCTGTCTCCAGAGGCAGCTGCCTTCCCATCTTAGCAGTTTGTTTGGGTATGGCCATCCATGTTTCTAAACAACGTGCTTATGTAATTAATTACTGATTTTTCCCTTTTGAACCTTCTCTGTTCACTTCCTACTTCGATGACAGTTTAGCCTTTGTTACCCTGCCCCCAAATGCATGTGTAATTGTCTTATGATTTCTAAGGAGGTTGACATATATAGTGCTCATTTACAGCTATGTACGTATTGTTCACAGCCAAGCACTGTAATATACTATGGCTATGTTTCCTGTCTTGTATGATTTTTACTTTCTCTCTACTTAATAACTGTCCCCCATATTTTCAGTTGTATAGTTTCTGTATACCTATTCTTTATTATCAAACTTGTCACCAGAACCAGGAAACACCTGCCCAACTGGCAGGTACATCCGGTGCTTTATCCCCCTGCTGATGCCCTCGCTAGCGCTCTCACGCCTCCTGCTCCCATCCGGACAGGTGGCTGCCAAGGGCTCCTGGGGAGCCATTCCCTGGGAGCTGTCTGTCTCGCTCTGGGGATCCAGGCTGCCGTCTGTCCTGTGGTAAATCCCCTGCTGTCGGAGCCCAGTGGCTTCCTCCTCTGCTTTCCTGCCTTGTTCTAGTGGAGCATTTTCTTTAGTAGCTTCTCCACAAAGGTCACATGAAGGGCATATTTTGAGTTGTTGCACATCTGCAAGTGTTTATTGAGCCTTAATTTGACATGTTGGCTGGATATTCTGATCTCAAGTTGGAAATCATTTTCTTTCTGAATTTAGAAGTTATTTCTTTATATATTCTTTGAATGTTGGTGTTAAAAGTACTAGTTCATAAGTGGCAGTTTGTGTTTTCTTTCCAAAAGTTCTTAGGGTCATCTTTTCTATCCATAGGTGTTGAAATTCACAGTGATGTGTCTTTTCTCACTTGCTGTGCTGGATACTTTGCATAGGTCTTTTTAACCTTGAGACTCATGTCCTTTAGTTTGGGAAAATGCTATATCTAATAATTTAATAATTTATACCCCTTGTTTTCTCCTTCTGGAATTCATATTAGTAGGGAGTTTGATAAATTGTCTAATATCCTGTTTTTCTTACATATTCTTCTATCTCTTAATAATATTTGTCCTGTCTTCTGGGAGATATTCTCTAATTTACCCTTCAGTTCTTTTTAATTTTGAATCTTTATTAAGCATTTTAATTCTAAGAGTTCTTTCTTATTCTCTGAGTATTATTTTCCCCCCAGCATCTTGGTCTTATTTCTTCTCTCCTCTTTGAGGATCTTTCATGATTTTTACTTGGCTCCTGCCCATTTCATTTCTGTTTCCTTCTAGTTCCTTTTCCTCTTTTGTTGTGATATTTTCCATTCATGTAAAAGAAGTTTACCAAGGAGTTAATAATCTTTGAATTCTGTTCATACTTAAGAGTAAAGCCTTAAGCAGCTGATTAGACTCTCTTATGTTTGTGGACAGGATACCATAAACATAAGAGATTATGAAAGAGTTTAGAAAGCTATGTCACCAGCGGTAGCTTTCTAAACCTGTGGGACCCTGAATGCCCATAACTTTTCTCATGAGCTTGTTAGTATCTCCAGAAAAGATTTCATCCAGTCTCTTTCCTGAGAGATGGAAACTACAGTTAAATGGAAATGATAAAAATTAAAAACATGAACGGCTCCTTTATGCTTATCAGCAGATTAGACATGCAGAAGAATACATCAGTGAACTTGAGAGTGGGTCAATAAAAATCAAAAAACAAAGAGGAAATTGAGAAACAAAGAGAAAAAGTGCATTCAGGAGCTTTGGTGCAATATCAAATGGTTTACATACTTGTAATTGGTGTCCCAGGTGAAGAGCGAATGTGGGTCAGAAGTATTAATAATATCCTAAGAAAATTACCAAAAGGGGGCAACCACAGATCCTTGTTCTTAAATGCAATTGAAAGGAGAAATAAAATCAAAATTAAAAGTTTGAAATTTGTACATTCAAGTACACATGGAATTGATATGGACTCTCTTCTGAGCCTACTAGGACTTCCCTAGTAGCTCAGACGGTAAAGCGTCTGCCTACAAGGCGGGAGACCCGGGTTCAACCCCTGGGTCGGGAAGATCCCTCTGGAGAAGGAAATGGCACCCCACTCCAGTACTCTTGCCTGGAAAATCCCATGGACACAGGAGCATGGTAGGCTACAGGCCATGGGGTCACTAAGAGTGGGACACGACTGAGCAACATCACTTTCACTTTCTCTTCTGAGCCATAAAACAAATCTCAATTTGAAAAGATTAAAATATAAACTGTGTTCTAAATATCTTTTGGATCAAAGAAGTAATCACAATGGATGTTAGAAAACACTTTGAACTGAATGAAAAGGAAAGCACAACATATCAAAATCTGTGCTTTAAAAAAAAAGGCAGCGCCTGGAGGGAAATTTGTTGTAGCTTGTGTTAGAGAACATGAGAAGCCTGCGCAGCACACCTGGAGAGTAGCCCCACTTGCCACACCTAGAGAAAAGCCCACAAAGCCACCAAGATCCAGCACAGCCAAAAATAAATGAATTGTCGCTGTTCAGTCGCTGTCATGTCCAACTCTCTGTGACCCCACGGACCGCGGCATACCAGGTATCCCTGTTCTTCGCTATCTTCTGGGGCTTGCACAAACACATGTCCATCCAGTCGGTGATGCCATCCAACCATCTCATCCTCTGTCATCACCTTCTCCTCCTGTCCTCAATCTTTCCCAGCATCAGGGTCTTTTCCAGTGAGTCTTCTCTTTGCATCAGGTGATCAAAGTATTGGAGCTTCAGCTTCAGCATCTGTCCTTCCAATGAATCTTCAGGGTTGATTTCCTTTAGGATGGACTGGTTTGATCTCCTTGCAGTCCAAGGGACTCTGGGGTCTTCTCCAGCCCCACAATTTGAAAGCATCAGTTCTTTGGCTTTCAGCCTTCTTTATGATCCAAGACTCACATCTGTACACGACTACTAGAAAAACCATAGCTTTGACTATACAGACCATTTTTAACAAAATGGTGTCCATAGTTCTTAAATAAATAAATATTAAAAAAAAACAAAACACTGAAGTAGAAACAGAAAAAAATACTAAAGTAAATGAAATCAACGGCTGTTTTTTCTAAAGATCAATAAGATCAATAACCCTCTAGTCAGACTTTTTTATTGGCCATGAGGCACAGCTTGTAGGGTCTTAGTTCCCCGACCAGGGATCAAACCTGAACCACCTGCAGTGTAAGCATGGAGTCCTAATGACTGGACTGCCAGGGAAGTCCCCCTCTACCCAGACTTAAAGAGAGAAAATGACAAATTACACATGTCAGAAATGAAAGAATAGGCATAGCTAAAGATTCCACAGGTGAAATTTTTTCATTAACTTTATTTCAGTAAATTCTCCAGTTTAATGAAACGAGAGAATATTTTGAAATATGCAAGACGGCTGCAGCTCACACAAGAAGAAATACATAACCTGAATATCTAAATTTATGAGACAAATTTAAATCATAGTTAAAAATCTTTCCTCATAGAAAGGCTCAGGCGGCTTCACTTTGTGGATTCCTCCAAGTGTTTAAGACCCTGATGCTGGGAAAGATTGAGGGCAGGGGGAGAAGGGGACGACAGAGGATAAGATGGTTGGATGGCATCACTGACTCAACGGACATGAGTTTGACCAAAGTCTGGGAGATAGCGAAGGACAGGGAAGCCTGGCGTGCTGCAGCACCTGGAATCAGGAAGAGTCGGACACGACTCAGCCAACTGAACAACAGTTACAACCAAGTATTTCAGAAATTAATGTTACCAGTTCTGTACAGATTCTTCTAGAAAATAGCAGAGAAAGGAACACTTCCCACCTCAGAGCAAGACCTAAATATATATATATACTAAAAGAGCAACCAAAAAAAAAAACCCAAAACAAAGCTACAACTAAAAACTTATAGTGAGGTATAGAGCAGGGATCCAGAATCAGTATATAGAAATCTCTTGTGGTTCTGTGTCCTGGCAGTGAACAAATGGAAATTAAAATGTAAATAGACCTCATCTCAGCTGATTATAAAAACAGTGGGGATTTTATAATTAGATTGCCTGAGTATAAATCAGAGCCCTATCATTTACTGAATATGTCATCTTCAATAAAATTTAGGTGTTTTTGATGCCCGAGTTTCATCATTTTGAAAGCAGGTAGTATATAATTGCACCTGCATCTGTAGGGTTGGTGAACAAATACATGGCTCAGTAGCCTGCTCAGATCAGTGTAGGCTGTCCTCCTCTGTCCCAGCGCCCGTCATTTCTTTTTTTCATTTTGCAGAGCCGGGTCTCCGTTGCGGCTCGCAGGCTTTCTCTAGTTGTGTCATGTGGGCTTCTCTTGTTGCGGAGCGCAGGCTCTAGAGCACACAGGCTCAGTGGTTGCCACTTAACCGGCTTCTCTAGTTGCGGCTCTTGGGCTTAGTTGCCCCACGGCACATGGGATCTTAGTTCCTAACCAGGAATCGAACCCGTATCCCCTGCCTTGGAAGGCAGATTCTTAACCGCTGGACCACCGGAGAAGTTCCTCACCACCACCCCCCAATTCTTAAATGCATCCTCAGGAGCTAGGAGAAGCAGAAGTAAGTGTCCCCATCACACAGGTGAGGGACACGGTTGAATTCCGCTTTCAACTCTTTGATCAGCAACATGGATGGCAGACAAGAGGGCGGTCATGGGCCCCAGTCCCTGGCAGGCTCACATGTGGACAGGAACATGGGCACAGCTCTCACAGGGCCGTTTCTGCCGCAGACATGGACATCCCGCTGCCTGATGAAGTTCTACGCCATGGTGGCCGCCTCACCCACGTCCTGGGAAAGCCACAAGGTTGCCGAGAGGATCGAACAGCGCATCTTGAACTCCAACCCCATCATGGAAGCTTTTGGTAAGCCGTGTCCTCCACACAGCACCTCCGCCCTGTCTCCTCCGGAATTTACCACCTTCTGGGCAGGGGAGCTGTGCTTTGAGATTCTCTCTTTGCGGGATGGAGAATGACTTATCGTTCAGCGCCTTGGATCCCCAACCACGCCTCCCGGCTACCCTTAGCCTCCTTCCAGCAGTGGTAGCATCACTGTCGCCCTCTCCGTCTCGCCCAGGCAGATGGAGCAGAGGTGAGGGAGAGGCTCACCCAGCCCATGTCCCGTCCTTCTGAACAGCTTCCTGATGGTTCAGAGAAGGGGACATGTCTGAGGATGCACAGCAATCAGTGTCCGCGTTGGCACTCTAGATGTTGCACCTTACTGTCTGCCTCAATAGTAGCCGCTTGTTTTTTTTGAGGGGGGTGGTGGGGCATACTGGGTCTTTGCTGCTGCAGGTGGGCCTCCTCTCGTTGTGGCATGTGGAGGCTACTCTCCAGGTGCAATGCACAGGCTTCTCATTGCGGTGACTTCTCTTCTTGAGGAGCATAGGCTCTAGGCGAGCAGGCTTCGGTAATTGTGGCACATGGGCTTAGCTGCCCCGAGACACATGGAATCTTCCCGGACCAGGGATCAAAAACCTGTGTCTTAACCACTGGACCACCAGGGAAGTCCTGACATCTTGTTTTTTATCCTTTCCCTTCAAACAAAAGTCCCTGACGGCCTAGATTGGCTCTCCCCCCTTTGCCAGGAAGCTGTAACACGACTGAATCACATTTGCTCACAGCCCAAATGCCCAGACCCTAGCCGTGTCCCCTGTGACCCAGAAACCAGTAGAGGGGCCTGTAGGTGACTTGAGGATAGTGACGTGGCCCCGGTAGGCCTGTGGGGACTCTGTGGGGCCTGTCCCCACCTTAGCCCGTGGGGACTCTGAACAGAAGTGGTGGTCCGCAGGGAACGCGTGCACATTGAGGAACAACAACAGCAGCCGCTTTGGGAAGTTCATCCAGCTCCAGCTGAACGGGTAATCTCTGCGGCCACCCTGGCTGCTGGGGGGCCGGGGGGTGGGGGTCCAGTGCCCAGCCTGGGCCACCGCTGTGGGCAGGAGCCAGCTGCTCCTGGCACATTCGTATGTGGGATGAGTGAACCTGTGTGTACACTTTGAACCTGGGGAACTCTAGCTGCTCCAGCCCGAGGGACTCAGGGACAGCGTGCCTGTCCTGACACGTGTGTTCTGGCATCTCCCCTTCGCGGAGACTTCTAGTTAAACCTGTCACCTCTCAGCTGCATCTCTGAGCCTGAGGCTGGGGCTTCTGTTCCCGCCTTGGGCTGGGGCAAAATGAGTCACCGAGGCCTGGGCCCTGTCCCTGAGCTGGTTGGAGGGGACTGTCCCGGCCCTTCCCCTTCCCGCCCCCACCCCCACCCCAGGACCTGCTGAGTGGTCCTCCCGAGTCCTCATGACCCCCATTGCTTAAGTGGAAGAGCCGGGGTGAGGCTGCAGCCTGGCACACCATAAGTACCCAATAAATGACTCTGGAATGAACAGGCCACTAACGGGCTCCAACCTGCTTGTGCCCAGGGCCCAGCAGATGACGGGAGCTGCAGTTCAGACCTACCTCCTGGAGAAAACTCGAGTGGCCTGCCAGGCCCCCAGCGAGAGGAACTTCCATATCTTCTACCAGGTCGGTCCCAGGCGGGGCCCACAGCTGCCCAGGTGCAGGGCAGAGAAGGGTCTGTGCCCTCTAAACCTACCCGCCCCACCTTGCTTCCTGCCTCCTCTTCGCCCGGCTTTCAGCGCTGCCGCCCCACTTCCTCCCACAAACTTCACATCACACTGACGCCTCACCCTGGCCCTCAGCTCCCGGGGCAGCCTCGGCCTGGCAGAGGGCCCTTGAGGCTGGGCCTGTCTCCACATGGGAAATGCTCACCTTCAGACGGAGGGCTGCCCTGGAACGGCAGCTGCCTCCACCAACCGAACAAGGCCTTCCCTAAACTGTGCCCCCTCCATCAGACTGGGAGTCCCCCAAGGTGTGGACAGTGTCTCCCTGCTCTCAGATTGGGCCCGGGGGCTCCTCAGGCGGGGTTAGGCTTTCCTTCCCACACCGCAGGCCCCCTCGGTGAGTGGGGTTTTTTTGCACCGAGTGGAGACGCCCAGAGCTGCTTGCCGCTGCTTTCGCGCCCCCGCCGGCCCATGGCTCCCGTGCAGGCCTGGGCGTCCCGGGACCCCCGGCTCAGCCGCCCACCCCCACCCCCACAGATCTACAAAGGAGCCCGCGCCGACGAGAGGGTCCAGTGGCGCCTCCCCGAGGGAGCTGCCTTCTCCTGGCTGCCCCACCCAGAGAGGACCTTGGAAGGTAGGGGGAGCCTTGCCCAGCCCCCTGGGCCGGCCCAGCAGCACCCACGCATCCCCCCACGACCCGTCGCCCCTACTGACCTCGGGTCCTGATGTGGGGCTGTGACTCGGATTCCTTTTCAGAGGATTGTTTCGAGGTGACCAGGGAGGCCATGCTTCATTTGGGCATCGATGCCCCCACCCAGAACAACATCTTTCAGGTCAGAGGAAAAGCCACACCACTCATGTGTGGCGGTGGTGACGGGCAGCCCCCTTCGTAGGGCCCTTCTCTCAACTCAGGAGTCTCTTCCCCCAGGATCTAGAACTCTAGGCCCCGACAGCACGATGGCCAAGGAGGCGACCACCTCTCTGCGCAGTGGAGCCTGGAGACAGGGGGTCAGGGTGGACGGGGGCAGAGCACAGAGGGCTGCAGGAGAGACCAGCACAGTGATCCCGGAGGTCAGAGGGACAGCGCCTGGTTCAGGTGTTGCTCTGCTAAGTCAGAGCAGAGAAAACAATGCTGCCACATGCTTGTCCAGCGTGTTAAAACTTCTAAATCATCACTCTTAGCTCACTTGTTTTTTTCAGCAGTTCCATGGGTATGGAAATTATTTCCATTCCATGGTTGAGACCTGCCCAAAGCCAGACAGCACTCAGTGGTACAAATAGTTTGTTGGAGACGTGCTGGTTCCAACTTCCCACCTCCTTCTCCTTCCTCCTGGGTCTCAGTGCTGGCCCAGGCGAGCCTCTGTCTGAAGGTGGTGACCCCCCCCTGCAGAGCAGTGGGATGAAGTGTGGCCTCCATCTCCACGTGGGGGCTGCTCAGGCAAGGGAGAGGAATCACAGCCAGTACGGGCAGCTTGGCCAGAGAGATGGCACGGGGGTCAAGCCCAGGACAAGAGGACCACCCTAGGAGTCTGGCCAGGAGCTTGAGCTTGAGGGCAGCGTGAGCCCCGGCCCGTCCACAACACCCATTAGCACGGCAGTCTCCTGCGGTGCTTGTGGCCTGGAAGCCGGTAGCATGTGGAACCACCCTTTCTGGGACCAGACAGGGATGGGGGGAGAGGCCCCCCTCTACCGGTGCCCGGTCCAAAGGTTTCCAAATTGCTGGACCTGGGGGTCCTCTTCCTTCAGCCCCTGGGGGCTCCCCTGAGTGGACCGCTGAGTGCAAAGGCAAGGGAGCACCCACCGTACAGAGACCAAGATCACAGCTCCTTCCCTGGGCTGGGCTGGGCTGGGCTTCGGAGCCCAGCAGTGTTGGGAAAGGGCCGAAGGACTCCAGAGCCAAGCCCCTAGCAACCACACAGAAGTGGTCCGGACCACAGGAAACAGCAGGAGGCAGGGACAGACTGGGTGACCTGGCGCTCCCACTGGCTGCCCTGGGAGGGATCGGAATCCAGACTGCCTGGGTTCCTTCTTTACCAAGTGCGGGCTTTAACCTCTCCTCGTCTCCTGTCTGTCGTGGGCATCACCATAGCACGTGCCTCTGGTTACTCGAGACGATCCGTATCACCTGTGTAGAGTCCTGCCCGGCCGGGAGTAAGTGGGCAGTAAATGAGAGCTGTTGTTACTCTGCTATCCTGATTCTGTTCAGCAGGAGAGAGACCCTTCCCGGGCTGGGCCCAGCCCTTGGAAAGGTGCCCACCGGGTGTCCTCTCCTGCCCCCTCAGGCCCTGGCCGGACTGCTGCACCTCGGCAACACCCGGTTTGCTGACTCGGGGAACGAAGCCCAGCCCTGCCCGCTGGTGGACGGTGCTCAGTGTGAGCGTGAGGATGGGCGACCTTGGTCACACCGCCCAGGAGCGAGGCAGGCCCCACCTGGAGGAGGGCCAGCGTGGTGGGATCAGTTACAAGGAGGCCAGAGGGTGCAGTTTGGGATCTGTGCCCCTGAAGCCGTCAGCTGTAGGGCCCTGCCCTGGAGAGGTTCCTCCTCACCCCATCTCTGCTATGGCAGACAGCTTCCTCTGCATCTTACAGATGAGAAAACGAGAGCGGGGGCGGGTGGGGGTGGGTGGGTTACGCAGTGCTTTATCCCACTCCTGGCCGTGTGGACTGGGACACAGCAGTCCTGGCCTCAAGTCCTGCCCCTGCCCCTGCCGAGTCTCTTCCCCCCGTTCCTGAGTTTGCTCTGCCCCACGGAGGGGGTCACGGCCCCACCATGCTGACTTCAGGGAGCCTCGTGCAGAGGGCTGTTTGGACGGAGGGTGTCTGTGCCTCCCAGGCTCTGTCGGGACATCGGCCTTGCTGCTGGGGCTCCCGGAATATCATCTGCTAGAGACACTGCGGATTCGAACCATCCGGGCGGGCAGGGACCAGCAGGTGTTCCGGAAGCCCTGCTCCCAGGCGGAGTGCGACACCCGCAGAGACTGTCTGGCCAAACTGGTTTATGCACGGTGAGTGCTCTGGGCCCTGCCCTCCTCCCAGATGCCCCCTGTCTGGAGTTGGACCAGATGGTGAGCGCTGCCAGGGAGAAGTAGACGGGTTTCCTGTCCCGTTCCCCAGCCCTGGGGGGACAGCAGGGAGTGGCTCCTGGGCTTCCCCAAGCAAAGCCCTTGGCTCGATTCCAGAGGGCTCTGCGTGGTGAAGTGGCCACAGCCTGGCCTAGATCCAGCATGTGGTTCAGAGACAGGAGCCTGCCTCACTTTGGCGGTGGGCGGGGAAGGCCCGCCTGGCTGTCCGCTGGCAGGGCCGGCCCAGAGGTGACGTGAGGCCTCCCAGGTCCAGGCGCAGACCTGTGGGTGCATAGGCTCCTGGGTCCCTGCCGTCGCGCTCTCTGTGGTCACCTGGGGATTCGATAGCTGCTGGTAGAGCCGGGAGTTTAGCCCACGGTTTTGAGCAACACTGCAGGGAGTGGAGCCCAGAACCCGGAAGGCAGCCTTGGCCTTTCCCTGTTGCTTCTGTGGGCATTTCCACCCGTGTGCTTGGGGGCGTTTCTCACCCTGGGCTCTCAGACCCTTCAGGATGCCCCTGAGGGCATCTGGGGCCCAGGATTCTCGGAAATTATGGCACGGAACACCTCTGTGTGTGTGTGTGTGTGTGTGTGTGGAACTTGGGTAACTGGAAGAGGGTCCTGTTGCTTTCATGAGCTTCTCAAGAGCTAAGAGCCTGACCAGCACCGCTGAGGGAAAGTGGCCCAGGGCCCCTGGGCCCAGACTGAACTCGGTTTAGCAAGGGACTCCGTTCTCACTCCCTTGAAGCAAATTTCAGGTCAGAATTTCAGGACAAAGATTTTTAAAGGTTTTGTGTCAGATCACTGCAAAATGGGTAGATAAAGTGGTCACAGACACAGTGAACCTCTAACCATGGATCATTTTACACACAGCAAACAGGTCCTTGTATCACTGGGTCTCTTGTTTTTACTACCTCACATGGATATTTGAAGCCCTTATTGCAAAAATAGAAACCATTTAAAAGTCTGCAGAGCAATTACTTAAATCGTAAGGAAGAAAACCCTTGTATCATGTTGTACGTGTCACCACGTTGTAAGGCAGCCATTCCGTCATCTCAGGGGTGAAGGTTGCAGAGCGCAGGGTGTCACTGTCCAGCTGGGGTGACGGGGTGCCCTCATACAGGACAGTAGGGGGATGTCCTGGGGCCTTGAGCTCTGGCCTCCACTGGCTGAGGTTTGCAGGGGAGTCCAGTGAACTCAGTCCTTTATAATCCCACTCAGGCCTGACCTGCCACCCCTTCTTGTCAAGATGGCAGCTGGGTGTCAGGCCAGTGACTGAGGCTCACCCACACCCTGTCTAGCCCCAGCGTTCCACAGCAGACCTCAGCAATATTGTAGAGTCACTTCCAGATCACCGCATTAAAGCAAGTAGCACAAATTTATTGGTTTCTTGGTACATAAATAAGATGTATTTATACTACATGGTAGTCTATTAAGTGTACAGTAGCTTTATGTCTAAAAGAACAATGTATAATAATTTTAAAATAGCACTGTTGGAAAAGTGGCACAATAGGCTTGTTCGATGTTGGGTTGGCACAGTTTCAGTCTGTAAAACAGGCAGTAGAGAGAAGCTTACTGTGATGTGCCTGCAACTGGTCCCCTGCTCACTCTTGCAGTGGACAAGCCAGGCCTTCATGTGCCTAGGCACACACATGACCCCAGCCTGCAGGTGTAGTGGGCTGGGACAGGATGGGCGCAAAACCAGCGGAGCGGGTTTAGCCCTTGACCTTTCAGGCTCAGAGGATAGGCCCTCCATCCAAGGGGTGTACCCAGGCTGGAAGGGCAGTTCTGCCACCATCCCGGCTCAGCTGGACCCCTCTCACCCGAGCCCACGCCCCCCCCACACACACCAACAGGCTGTTTGACTGGCTGGTCTCGGTGATCAACAGCAGCATCTGTGCCACCCCCGACTCCTGGACCACTTTCATAGGTAGGTCTGGGGGCCTCCGGGCAGCTCCTGCACGCATCCCCTCCCACTCCACCAGTGTGGGGCGAGGTCCCTCTCTCCAGTGCCCGTATCTGGCCGTCCCTAGCTCTCCAGGCAGACTCAGCTGGTGCCCGGGCCACGAGGGCCCCTTCACCCCCTGGAGACCCAGCTCCTGTCTCAGCAGAGTAGAACGGACTCGAAGGGCCTCGGGGGGGCGGGATTTGAGAACGTCTTTGGAACCTGGGTGGGACAGTCAGGTAGGGGAGGAAGCAAAGCTCAGAGGCACCGGTGACGTCTGCTCACAGAACGGCGAGCACCCACTGAGCGGCCAAGGCCCAGGGGGTCCAGACTGGGTGGGACCCGGGGTCCCTGGGGCCTGGTTCCCTCACCTCCTCCGCCTCTTCCTGCTGAGTTCTGAGGGGCAGGAGGTGGCGAGGGGAACCCCTCCCTTGGGGTGGGGTAGAGTGCCCACTCGGCTTCATCCTCAGGCTGCCGAGGTGAAGCTTACCCCCAGGCCCCTGTAGCCCCACAGTAACGCTCCCCGGGTCCCCCGCCCTGGCTCCCCAGGCCTGCTGGACGTGTACGGGTTTGAGTCGTTCCCCAACAACAGCCTGGAGCAGCTCTGCATCAACTACGCCAACGAGAAGCTGCAGCAGCACTTCGTGGCTCACTACCTCCGGGCCCAGCAGGTTTGCGGTGGGGTCCGCGTCCTCACCCCCTCCCCGTCCCCAGCCCCGTCTCACTACCTTGGGGCCCAGCAGGTGCACCGTGGGGCTGCCCGCGTCCTCACTCCCTCCCCAGCCCCAGCCCCATCCCGGGTGTGGCCGGGGGCCTCAGTTCCCTTGGGCAACATGCTGCCAAGGCCAGCGGAGGGTGCCCAGCAGCTCAGACCACGACTGCCCTCCGCCCCCAGGAGGAGTACGCAGTGGAGGGCCTGACGTGGTCGTTTGTCAGCTACCAGGACAACCAGCCCTGCTTGGACCTCATTGAGGGGAGCCCCGTCAGCATCTGCTCCCTCTTAAACGAGGTGGGGGGTCATCGGCGTGCCCAGCCCCTCGGGCGGGGCCCAGGGCTTTTCCTGGGACCTCGAGGCCCGCCCTGTGCCTCCTTCTCTGTGTCTGCTTAGTGGGTTCGCCTGCTCGCTAAGCCCTCTGTCGCAGGGTCTCCGTGGTGCTCCCATGGGTGGGTTCCCGCGCCCCTCTGCCCCGTGGCTGATGGCCCGCCCCACGCAGGAGTGCCGCCTTAACCGGCCAAGCAGCGCCGCCCAGCTCCAGACACGCATCGAGAGCGCCCTGACCGGCCGCCCCCGCCTGGGCCGCGACAGGCTGAGCCCAGAGCCCAGCTTCATTGTGCTGCATTACGCGGGGCCCGTGCGGTACTGCACCGCGGGCCTGGTGGAGAAGAACAAGGTGAGCAGCTGGCCGTGGCCGGTGTCACCGGTGAATCCAGACGCGGAGGCGTTGCCACACGTGTGCGGAAGCATCTGCTGTGCTCCCTGCCCGCCTGCACATCCTCTCGGGGTCCAGGGTCACCTCTCAGACCCAGCTTTATGAGGTCTCTGCTACTCCGGCACAGCCTGCCCGGAAACAACCCTCCTCACACCGTGTCTCCTGGCCTCTCGGCTCAGATGTGGGCCGGCCCTCCTCCTGGGGCCCCATTGAGCAGGGCCGGCAGCTCCCCGCCATCCCCCCGCCGTCACCCGCCGCCTTGTCCTTTCCCATAGGACCCCGTCCCCCCGGAGCTGACCAGGCTCCTGCAGCAGTCCCAGGACCCCCTGCTCAAGGTGCTGTTTCCTGCTGACCCTGAAGAGAAGTCCCAGGAAGAGCCCTCCGGCCAGAACCGGGCCCCTGTGTTGACCGTGGTGTCCAAGTTCAAGGTGGGTCCCCTGGCGTGGACACCACGTGCTCGCTCATGAGTGTCCAGCGTTTACCGAGCACCTCCTGGGATCGGAGCTGAGCTTCCGGAGCCCGGAGGCGGCCAGTAGCCGTGGTCCCGGTCTGTGGTAGACGGGAATCTGACAAATGGACTGGGGGTCTGTAGTTGTCATGACAGGAAGCCTCGGCCGGTGGGCAGCAGTGTGCCCTCTCGCCCACCGCCGATAGAGTGATCACAGAAGCACAGTGACTGCTGAACCTCCGTGGCGGCCCACTCCTTCCGGACAGACCCTGTCCTCGGCGGAGCAGGCTTGTCCCCTCCTTGGCGCCGTGTGCGTCTCAGCCCCGCGTCTCCTGCTCCCCTGCCTCATCCCACCCTGCCACCCCTCCTAGTTTACGCCTTGTCCTGCTTCCCACTGCGGCCTTCTCATCACCTCCGGGGGAGGCCACCAGGGCAGCCTGGGTCAGGGAAACACCTCCCTGTCCAGCCTCAGATACGCCCCTGAGCGCCCGCCCCGCGTCTGCAAGGCCCTGCGCTGTGCGATGTCGGCGGACAGCTGTGTCGTAGCCCCAGCACACAGGATGGGCTTAGTCATGACAGGAGTCGCCTGAATGAACGGCAGGGTTTCTGAGATGGTTCCCTTCTGGGAAGATTGCCCTGGTTGGTGTGGGGGAAGCCTGAGATCAAATGCAGACAGACAGACCAGGTGGAGGGTCACAGGTCAAAGAGGGTCCCTGGGGCCGCCTGGAGTCACCCCAGGGCGTGTGAGGGTCCTGGTCTTGGGGTGCCCAGCCGATGCCCCCCCTGCAGCCTGAGCCACAGTCTCCCCTCTGCAGGCCTCCCTGGAGCAGCTCCTGCAGGTCCTACACGGCACCACACCCCACTACATTCGCTGCATCAAGCCCAACAGCCAGGCCCAGGCGCAGATATTCCACCGAGAGGAGGTAACACACTGGGCTGGCGCTGCATCGCGGAGGGTCCCATTGTGCCAGGACGCTGGAGGGGTGAGAGATGGGACATCTGCTCCAAACGGAGTGACGTGAAGAGGGGCTTTTCTCCCCCGCTCTGGCAGGACAGTCGTGTACGGTTGTGTGGCCTGTGCACTGCACAGTGGCCCAGCCACAGGAGGCGAGTAGGGGCTGCAGGGCATCTTGCTCTCTGCTCACCAAGCCACATGCCCTAACAAAGACAGGCAGCCCAGAGGAATGGGTGTCTTTCATGATTAGCTGAGAGTCTGCATCACCTTACAGACCAGGCACAGGGCTGGCTCTGAGGAGGGTGTAGTTCCTAAAATCTGCTCAGAAGTACCCTGTGGCCAGCAGCTGGCCTTTGCCCTGTGGAGGGATGCGGGTGAGGTGTGAGAGCTGGACGGTGTTGGAGTGGGTCCCACAGTCACATGGTTGATGTGGCCTTAGAGTCCATGGCCAGGATCACTGCTTTATGGTAAAGATGTGGGGTGGGTCCTGGAGCGTCTTCACAGTATAACTTCCCCCGCCTCTCAGCTGTGACGCACTGTGTTGTCTGCAGAATACAAAATAAATAAAAACTAGGAACTGGATTGGGCTGCGTTGTGAGGCACAGTTGTAATCGGTGAGACGGCCAGCACCAGCCTCAGCTGTACCAGAAGCCAGGCTTCACGTAAGGGACCTGGGGCTGCCAGGACCCCTTCTAGCAGGGATAGTCTCTCCAGGTCCCTCGATTGCTCGCTGCCCCGAAGAGTGTCCGCCCTCAGGGGAGCCCGCAGGTCCCTGCCAGCGGGGCCACTGAGGGCGTTGCGTCTGGGGCCTGTGGCCCCTGCTGCCCACGCCTCTCCCGTCTCCGCAGGTTCTGAGCCAGCTGGAAGCCTGTGGCCTCGTGGAGACCATCCACATCAGTGCCGCCGGCTTCCCCATCCGGTGAGTGGGTCGGTCGGTCTGTCGGTCATGGGGGCGGGGCGGAGTCAGGGTGGCGTTGGGCCGCGCGTCAGCGGGACGCAGAGATGGAGCGAGAGGCAGGCCCGCAGGCCCGCGGAAGTCGGCCTGGAGCTCGAGGGCTGCGCTTACTTGCTGTGCCCTGTTTTGTGGAGGCTCCGGGCCTGCCCTAGAGTCAGGAGAGAAAGGAGGACGTGAGTGGGAGGCCGTTACAGACCCTCCAGGCGCGAGGATGGCCTGGTGAAAGAGAGAAGGGGATAAAAATGGACCATGGCGTGGGTGTGGGAATGGGACGCGGGCTGATGGACGGTGGGTCACTGGGGAGGGGAGCGGCCAGCTTCCAGGCCACAGAAGCACCTTCCAGCTTCCATCTGAGGCAAATGGGTGAATCGGGACAGTTCCCAACACAGGGTGACCTGGGGGGGGCGCCGGGGGTGGGGAGTCAGGTTTGAAACGGTGGGGCACGCGAGGAGCTGTTCTCCGTGACTTTAACACCATGAGCAAGAAAGAGACCCCGCGGGAGGCGGGAGGCGGGAGGCGGGAGGCCACTCCCCGAGGGATGAGAAGCCAACAGCAGCCTGGAGGGAGTCAGAGAGGAAGCGGGGCTGCTGGTGTCCTGGAGGCTGAGCGCGAGTGACCTCTGTGAAGGCCTTGCCTAGAAAAGCACGGCTCTGTCTGGGAAAGACCAAGGCTGGCTTCCCGCGAGGGAGCCCAGTGACCTCATCCACTCAGCATGCAGTCAGGGCAGCGTCTGGCGGGTGGTCGAGCAGAGTAAACAGTGATGCTGACTCAACACTGGTAACTCTCATTTCTCCTTCCACCTGCCTCGGCTTTCAGGGTCTCTCACCGGAACTTCCTGGAGCGGTACAAGTTACTGAGAAGGCTCCGTCCGGCCACAACCCCTGGCCCCCATGGCCCATGTCCAGCTGGAGGCCAGTCAGGTGAGGGCACCCACTGGCCAATCATCTGTTCACCCAGTTCCCCAAGCACCTACTTGGACCATCTCAGGGCAAGGGCCTGGGGCTTCAGAGATGAGTAACGACAGTCCTGCTCGAATGGGGCTCTTGGTCCAGTGGGAGAAAGAGACTAAAAGAAGGCAGTTAAGCAGTGAGCAAAGTGGCGAGGCAGAAACAGGATGCTTTGGATGGTCTATGAGGTATGAACCAGGAAGGCTTCCTGGAGGAGGTGGCATCTCAGGTGAGGTAGGACTAGCCAGGTGAAGGCACTCCACGGACAGGAGACAGCACTGTGTGTGTGAGGAGCTCCGGGCTGTTGAAGGTTTGCTGGTTCCTGGGGATAGAGGACAGTGAAAGGAGAGGCTGGGGGCAGGCGGGCCCAGTCCCAGAAGCCAGACATTCTCCAGATAGATGGGAGGCACTTCCAGGAAGGGAGGGGGTGATACCAGCCTGGGGCTTTCCAGAGGTCACTGCAGGTGGGACCCTGAGTGGCCAGAGGGGAGAGAGGCTCTAGACGTGGGCACCGTTGGGAAATGTTGGGAAGAAATTGGTCAGACTTGGCGAGCATTGGATTCGATGTAGGGAGGAAAGGATTAGCCAGGCCCAGCCAGCAGGGAAGAGAGGTCGGAAAAGGGCTTTCTTTTTGGGGCAGCTGCCAGGCCAGGCCTGGCTGGGAGGATGTCGAGAGAGGCCTGCTCTGCGGGGGGTTGTCTGATGCACATGGCATCACTGAGACAGTGAGAGCCGGTATGAAGACCCTGGGCAAAGGCTGAGAATGGGGCGAGTCCCCCCGGTACATGCACCCCCTCAGGCCTCCCCCAGGGCCCTGCACCCGCAGGCACAGTTTTGCTTCGCATCTCCCGTCTCTCGGGCAGTTTTCCCACTCTCCTTTCATCCTTTCTCCCTGCTTTTCCCTGCGGTGCTCTCCTGTTCTGTCTCTTGCCCAAAGCCCCCCGAGCCCCTGGTCGACTTTGCTGCTGTTTCTCATCTGCGGCGTCTCCTCTGGCCACCGCTGTCTCCAGAGAGGCCCTGGGCAGCTAAAGGTGGTCAGAGCCCTCAGGTAAACCCTCCATCTGCAGGAGCTGCCCCGCCAGGTGTGGGGGGCAGGCAGGACCCCCACTGGGGTCTGGGGTCTGTTCTCTGCTTTCCATCCACGGCGGGAGGGCTCCAGGGCAGAGGGGGAGGCCGGGCTGCCCCGTGCAGCCCTCAGCATGTTTGGGCCCTTGGAAATGGGCTGCAAAGCAGCGAGGGAGTCTAGGCACCAAGTGCCCCCTGCCCTAGGGGACCTCCGGGGTGGGGGCTGCCGGCCAGTGCAGGGCACAGCCTCCAGGGGGACCCTGAGATCCCTCGGGACAGCCTGGGGGACGATGAGAAGAGGCCCCCTGCAGCCTCCTCCCCAAAAGGAAGGAAGGGATGTTGAGACACTTGTGCAGTGGGAAGGAAGCCTGTGGCACGTCGGGGACACTGAGGGGATGGTGACACGCTGACGGGCCCTGTCTCCATCTCAGAGTGGCCTCCACGCGCTGAGCCGGCCATGCTGCGGGGCCTCCTCCAGGACATCCTCCACGCACTGCCAGCCCCGCTGCACTGCGGCAGGACCAAGGTGTTCATGACCGACTCCACGGTAAGTGGGGCTGGGATGAGGAGCTGGTGGCCACGCGCCCGGGGGGAGGACGGGGAGCACGGGAGGCCGAGGACCTCAGCGGACACCCTTCCCCCAGCTGGAGCTCCTGGAGCGCAGGCGTGCCCAGGTGCTGGAGCAGTGTGCCCGCCACATCCAGCGTGGCTGGAGGAGATACTGGTGCCGCACGCAGGCCAGGCAGAGGCGGGCAGCTGTGCTCATCCAGGCAGGTAGGAGCGGGGCCCGGGGCGCACGGCCCTCAGTCCCGGCCAGCAGGTGGGCCCAGGGGTGGCTGTCTCTGCAGCTGCACGCGATCCCACAGGATACCTGTGTCCCTTGAGGCGTTGCTTCTAGAGTCCCCACAGACCAAAGCGGACTGTGTCCCAGCCTCTAGATGTTAACTGCATGTTCCCCGTGGTGTGCTGGGCCTTGAATTCCCTGTCCAGCTCACCCAGAGCACCCCCAGTTCAGTGCAGACCACGTCCCACCCCAATCCTAGCTAGCTGTGTTTGTATTTTTTCCCTTGATGACAACTCTCATCATCACTCGAGTTCCTGGGCTTGTTGAGCTTAAGAAGGTAAAAACCAGTAAGATCTGATGACACAAGGAAGCAATGTATGAACCACGACACAGCCTCACTTTGAAAAGCAAAAATACTAGAAACCCAGTATCTGACAGTTGGTGGAGTCATGGCTACGTTATGGACCCATCCTTGTGATCCACCCCAGAAGTGTTTTTGAAGAATATTTTTAGTTTCATGGAAACCCCACTTCCAATATGATGCTTAAACCTGGATGATGAGCTACACAGCAAGGTGATGCCACCTTCCTAAGGTGTGTTTGCGTGTATGGGCCTGAAAAATATTAAGGATACTGCAAAACTATCTGGGTTGTTGAGATAACTGGTGACTTTCAAATGACTTTACCAAATAGCCCTTTTTCTGAATGACTGTACCAAAAAATCAGAAAATGCATATTTCAAAAGGAGAAAATTAAAATTGCCCCATGATCAGTCTCACATCCAGTAGCTAGGACCTTCACCAGCTGTGGGTGTGTGGTGGTGTCCTTCGTGGATTCATATGGCGAGCGAGCAAATTCAAACGAGGGCTTCCAAAAAGAGGTCGTTTTAAAAGATGCAGACACTTCAGACCCCTCGTGTTCCCTGGGCGTTGCCCAGGGTGGGAGGTGGCAGCCTCCCCTTGGCTGTAGGCACCTGCCTCCAGGTCTGAGCGCTGTTTTTCAGAGCCAGGTCCGCGTCACGCTCGCTCAGCCCCTGACCTCCCGCGGGTGCCACCATTCATTCCCGTGTTTACAGCAGTTCTGGCGTTGGCGTAGCCTGGTTTACCAAGAGCTCTAACCAGCATTCACTCTTGTTTCCTGTTTCTGAACAAACCCCTCAGCCGTCCGCTCCTGGCTGACTCGGAAGCACGTCCAGCGGCTGCACGCGGCTGCCACGGTCATCAAGCGTGCGTGGCGGGAGTGGAGGGTGAGTGCCGAGCTGGAGGTCAGAGCAGGCCGGGGGCTGGCCCTTCCCTCGGGGCGGGCGGCCTCGCGAGTGATGTGGGCCCCGCGCCAACCACACAGCAGGACGGCTGTAACACAGAGGGGCCCGAGCCACCCTGGGAACACACCAGAACTCATACAGCCGAACGCTTTAAAAGCACGGATTTTACAGTGTATCAATTAGATCTCAATAAGGCGGATTTTTTTTTTTTTGAGGTTAATTTGTGCTTTTATTTGCCAGTATAATTAACCACAATGGCCTGCAGGCTTCTTTGATCTAAAAAAAAACACATTTTATATCACAATCCAACAAACACACACACACACATGTATAATATGTATACATACATAAAAGTGAAACAAGTTTTGCCAAAAATGTCTACCCTAAGTGTTAAATTTTTTTTGGAGATCTTTTTTTTAAAGCAGTTTTAGGTTTACAATAAAACTTGACAGGAACGTACAGAAATTCCCCATATTCTCCCTCCCCTCACATGACCAGCCATTATCAACAGAACAGTACCTCTTTTTTCTTTTTAGACCAAGGATGACTGCATTGACACATAATCAAAACATCCCCAGTTGACCTTAGGGTTCACTTTAATGAGCAGAGCAGTGTTGCGTATTCTGTGGGTTTGGACAAAAGTATGACCACACATATCTATCATTGTAATGTGGCTCCGAGTACTTTCACTGCTCATGAAAATGTCTGTGCTCTGTACATTCCTCTGCAAACTCCTGACAACCACTCATCTTTTTACTGTCTCCAGAGTTTTGCCTTTTGCAGAATGGCATACAGTTGGAATCTTTTTCTTTCTCCTTGAAATGAGAGGTTCGGGCTGTTTATGAGACCACTCCTGGCCCACCCAGGCGTGGACTGGACAGGCTCCGGGGGCAAGCTTCCCCCACCACGTGCTGCGGTTTTCCTTCCAGCACTGGCCCTGCCCAGCGGCCATGTGGAGGTGCAGGGGTCACGAGTCGGGTTTCTGCTCACAGGAAGGCCACACGTTTTGTGCCCCTTGTCACAGTGAACCCAGGTTCCTGTTACAAACAGACAAGCCATTTCTTCAGGCCCCCTGCTCTGAGCACACCCCAAAGGCTGTTATTTTTTAAAAGTATGTGCAGCCTCAGCACAGTCGCCCTGGGTACAGGCTTGTGCTGCATCCAGCCAGGCGCCCTTCAGCTCACCTTGTTCAGGGTGAATCACTGAAGAGACTTTTGGGTTCTGTTTTCCATCAAGAGAAAGCTGTGATGTGGTGTTCTTTTTTAAGATCAGAATGGCCTTCCTTGCTTCTGAAGAACTGGATGGTGTGGAAGAAAAACACTCATCTCAAACTTCCTGCTCCCCGAGCTCCAGCCCACTGCCCCCAACTCAGACCAGGCTCCAGGGCGCAATAACCCGGCTCTGGCCCCTGGGACTGGCCCTGGCCAATGCGGCGGTGGGCGTGCATGGCTTTCAGAGGAAGCTGGTGGTCTTCGCCTGCCTCCAGCTCCCCGTGGGCAGACCCAGGAGCTGCACTGTCCAGACGGCCCAAGAACAAGCCGGAGTCCTGTCCATCCGAGCACTGCCTCAGGTGGGCCATGCGATGGGGGTGGCATCCTGACCGCCCCACTGCGGGGTGGTGGGCAGAGCCCGGGGGTCGCAGCAGGAACAGGACTGCGGCTGAGGTGAAGGCCTCCGAACCCCTGCGCATCCCAGCTGGTGGCAGTCAGGTCGTTCCCATCATTACAATTAGGGTTTTCCAAAGCCCTTTCACTTTTAAAAAGCTGCCTCTAAGTGTTCTAGCATCTCTTCTGAGTCATCTTTAATTTAGTCCTACTTCCAAAAAAATTGGTCGTGGTAACAGCAGCTTTTTCCCCTCCAATGGCGCTGGATTTAGCACCATGCTTCCCCCTACTTGGGCTTCCCTGGCAGCTCTGACGGTAAAGAATCCCCTGCAATACAGGAAACCCAGGCTCATTCCCTGGGTTGGGATCCCCTGGAGGAGGAAATGGCACCCCACTCCACTATTCTTGCCTAGAAAATCCCAGGGACAGAGGAGCCTGGCAGGCTACAGTCCATGGGGTGGCAAAGAGCTGGACACGACTGAGCAAGACTAACACACACTCTCCCCTCACTTGTATTCTTTGGTTTATCCTATTCCTGACAAGCATGTGAGTCAGTGGTCCAAGATTTTATATCGTGGGCAGCCGCCAGGGAAAGAGGCAGCGAGCACAGACAAGGGCTGATACCCGCCTTTTACAAGGATCAAGTAACACAAGGCAGAAGGAAGGAAATGCTGCATTTCCTACCAGAGGAATTCCTATAGGACATAATCTTGATAAAATCGCCATGACAACACACAGGCCCACCAGAGCGTAAACAGAAGTGCAGCTCTTTGATCTTCCAGCTTTAAGCAGTCCTGCAGCTCTTTGATCTTCCAGCTTTAAGCAGTCCTAAGACTGGGACAGGTGATATTCTTAGCAGGGGAGAGCTCCCTCCTAGCATTTCCTCATCCATCTCCCGCTGAGTGGATGTGACACTGTCTTTAATACTGTTTTGGGCTTTGCTACTGTTTTAAAATAAGGAGAAAAAGCACACTGTCAGTCCTGCCTCTGCTTTGACGCCCTCGGGTCCTCGGGTGTTCCCACCTCCCTGCACTCCCAGCCTCGCTCCCGAGAGGTCCCTTCAGCCTCCCGGGAGCTGGGGCTAAGCTGCGTCTCTCTCCCAGGGCTCGATCAGGTTTCACTGCAGAAAGTCCCCGCTGCGCTATGCTGACACCTGCCCTGGACCCTCGCCCGACAGTGTCACTGGCTTCAATCAGATCCTGCTGGAAAGACACAGGCCAGGCCACGTGTGACCTCTTCTGCCCTCCCAGCCTCGCCCGGCCAGGCCACCCCTATGCCTGTTTCCACAAGGCCTTTTCCTGCCAGCGGCCTCGCCAGGGACACGTAATCAACACCCGGCTGCCAGATGACTCCCGCAGCGACTCCGAGCGCACTCGGGGAGCTGTGGCTCCAGCCTGCAGGCGGGCCAGCGGCTGCACCGGTGGCCTGGGGCGGCAGTCTACGCAGCCCCCGACCCTGACGGGTGCCAGGGTTGGCAGCAACCAAGCCAGGATTAGGAAACGTCAGGGCTGGCGGCACCTTCACACAGCCAGCTCGGCAGTGCTGGCCATCACTACAGCGGGCACCCCGCCCTTCCAGCCCCGCAGGCAAAGTCAGCTTGACATCAGCTCTGAAATCTGCCTTGAGTTCCTTTAAAAGGAACAAAACCTTACTATTTAAATATTTGATTAATTTAATTTCAAGCAACTAGATTATAAATCAAGAATGATCAATGTAATACACCAAAGAACCACCACACCGTAATTTTATTTCGAAACACTGAGCAAGTTTTCACTCAAATGGGTGTGGAAACTCAGTAAATATTTATGTCTTAATTTTATCAAAAATAAAACACTTAAAAACCACTATTTGAACGTCGAGTTCTCTGTCCATACGGGTCTGCCAGCGCGAGTACTTCCGCCTGCTTGCACCCCAGCCCGCAGTGCTGGAGGGGGCTGGGGGGCCCACTTCAGTCCCGAGTCCTGGCAGCGCTGCCCACACGTGACGGCCTCCCGGGAGGGGCAGGCAGCACGGTCATCCACCTCAAGGATCCTCGTTCTGAGACGGCTCCACGATCCTCAAGCAGCAGTCGGCAAACTCCACAAACAAGGGCTCCTGCATGCAGGCTCGCATAAGCTTGGCCTTGTCATCTGCCCGATCGAGGTCGACCATCAGCTGTCTGAGGTGCGGGTTGAGCAATAAGCTCTTCAGCGCTGCAGACTCCCCTTAAAATGAACAGCGAGGAGAGCCAAGCTGAGCTCTAGTGGGTGCAGGCAGAGACAGCTGAAAGCCAAATGTTCCAAACGTAATAAACACCAAGCATGCTGCACCCCCTCACCCAGCATTTCACAAGGTGAGGCTTCCCAGGTGGCGACAGTGGTAAAGAGTCCACCTGCCGACACAGGAGACACGAGATGTGGGTTCGATCCCTGGGTCAGGAAGGTCGCCTGGAGAAGGGAATGGCAACCCACTCCAGCACTCTTGCCTGGAAAAGTCCATAGACAGGAACTTGGTGGGCTACAGTTCAGGGGGTCGCAAAGACTTGGATGTGACTGAGCACACATGTTCAAATAAGGTGGGGTCAGCATATCAGATGGTTTCCAAGTTAAATGCTGTCGGGACCTTATTCTTTTATACCTCTGTAAACATCTTAATGCCATTCACCTAAGCAAAAGTTATTTTACCTGCACAGACTTAGCTAAAAAATCGTCTTACTTGCAGACTTACCTAAGTTCTTTAAATTCTGCAAAGACACTCTGTCCTCTTCCTCGTCACTATTGAGAAAATCAGCCACAGAGTCGTCGTCATCATCTAAGGAACATAACACAGCCACCTGCTTATGACCGGAAAGGAAAGCTAGGTGCCAGATTTTAACAACTCCAGTAAATAAAAAATGTGTGTGCACACACACGACAAGAATAGAGATAATGCAAATGGGCACAAACAAAACCACCTCTTCTCAGGAATTTGTGACTATACGAACACTCTTATTTTAGGAAAGTGAAGACCTGGTGACTTTAACAAATGCATCCTAGTGTTCACACACTTAAACTATGTTTGGGATTAGGGCCTTATTTTCCAGTTCTTCCCACCCCACCTCTGCTCACTATGGCTCCAGCCCTGTCTGTAAAAACCCACAGACAGGACTCCCCTGTGTTTTCGGCATGGGCGGAAACTTCTGAACCAATAAGGAAGTTTCTCAAAGGGCAGAAGTGGGCCATCCCCTGTCTCTGACTGCTCAATACCTCTCGGTGGCACCGGGAGGGGCTATCTTCAGAGCCCAGCATGATGCATGGTGCGCAGGAGGAGTTAAAGGGTACGTGGGGCTTGCCTGGTGGCCCAGTGGTTAAGAATCTGCCTTGCAATGCAAGGAACACAGGTTCAATCCCTGAGCCGGGAAGATCCCGTACGCTGCACCACAACTACAGAGCCTGCGCTCTGGAGACCAAGAGCCGTAACCACTGAAGCCCGCTCACCCTACAGCCTGTGCTCCATGAGTGAGGCCACCGCTCTCTGCAACTAGAGAAAGCCTGCACACAGCAACCAAGACTCAATACCAGAAAAAATATTTTTTTCTTTTTAAAAAAAGAAAAGGCTACATGGATGGGGAGGACGGCAGCACACTCTGCAGGCTCTGAGGGCCGCCAGGAGTAGCAGCAAGGTTAAAGGCAGCGCGCTGTGCGGGTCCAGGTCAGGTGAATCCCCGCCAGGCCCAGGGAGGGAGACCCGAAGCCGTGACTGGAGGCGGCTCCTGCCAGCAAGGTCCACCACTCACCCCAAACCACGGCTGTGGCCTTTCCCCCCGCTCCCCGTCCTTCTCCTGAATCTTCAGGCGGCCCCACATCACCACCCGTGACGACCTGTGCTCTGGCCCCGGTGCACAGGGCTGAGGAAGCTTCTGCTGCTGATGAACCTGATGCCTGGCCCAGCCCATGAGTCCCTTCTCCTCTTTCTACATATTCCTTTTCTCGGTTTGTGTGTTTGCAGTCAACCAACCCACCTTCATTTTCCACAGGCTTTTTAGTTTTTGCAGTAAGAGCTGATCTTATTTTTTTCTCAACAGGACCAGTTGCAGGCTTGCACTGCTCTGAAAAGACACAAAACTCAGGTGTACATCACCTCCGTTTGAGTGACAAGGCTGCACCACTCCCCCAAGCCAGCATCCAGCATCCAGGGGGAAGCCTGTGTAGGGGGTAAAGGACTGGGTGGGGGATGAAAGAGAGGAAGTGAGAGATTCCGTCAAGGGGCCCGCCTCAGGCTCCCCTGGGGCCTGTCTCCATCCTCCCTGTCTCCATCCTAATCCCACAGAGACTTCACCACGACTCAGTAACACACTGACTTCAGCCGCAAACTGTGTTCTCAGCAGTTTCAGATACGGAATGCGCAGGTACCACGTGCCACTGGGAGTCCACACGTGAAACGCACCAGGCCCGCCTGGGAGGGGTTCCGCCTCACACAGGACAGAGAGATGGACAAGATAAGGAGAGTCTGAGCCAAGTCACCCAAGAGGGTGGGGAGACGAGAGGCGGAGGTGCTGCCAGCTAGAAAGAGCATTCCGGGCAGAAGGAAAGGCCCGTGGCTGCAGCGGACCCTTGAGTGAGCAGAGTCAGGTGCAAGGAGGTGGTGACGAGCAACTGGCAGCTGATGGGCAAAGCAGGCCTGGCAGGACGATGGGGCACAAGAGGAGGAAGCCGCCTCCAAGACGCAAGTCTGTTTCATACCATACCACCTTTATGTGGAATCTAAAATCACACAGATGAACCTACCTATGAAACAGCAACACACTCCTGGACACAGAGAACAGATCGGTAGTTGCCGACGGGGAGGGGGCTGGGGAGGGATTAAGTGGGAGGTTTGGGTTAACAGATGCAAACTATCAGAGGGAGAATGGATGAAGAAGGTCCTACTAAATAGCACAGGGAACTAGAGTCAGTATCCTATGATAAACCACAAGAGAAAAGAATATAAAGAAAAAAGAATGCTATGTATGTGCATAACTGAGTCACTCTGCCATAGAGAGATTAGTAACACTGTAAATCAACCATACTTCAATTAAAAAAAAAAAAGACCACCAGACATTATGCACCATCTATAGTTGTCCTATGACCACCTGTAGTTTTGCCAGAGACTGACCCTGAGCTCTGACCCAGTCTCTAATCTGTCAGTTTTTAAGAAATAAAGGACTGAGGAGTATGCCTAACTGCAGCACGAGTTTGCAATCAGCAAAACCCAGACCGTGGGGAATTCTGCAAGTCAAATGGCTTGAATTCTTCCACAGAGAAATTGTTAAAAAAAAAAAAAAAGATAATAACAAAGGATGGAGGAGCAATTTACAAATTAAGAGAGACTTAAAAAAATAATCACATTTTGGGGGAATTCCCTGGCAGTCCAGTGGTTGGGACTCGGTGCTTCTGGTTAGGTTAGGTTAGGTTATGTTCAATCCCTGGTCAGGGAACTAAGAACCAAATGAAACAATATTCTTTCAGGATACATACTTGCACAATAAAACTGGAAAAGCAAAGATGTGATTGCTATAAAGGTCAATAGAGGGGTCATTTATAGGAAGTGAGAGCAGTGGGTCAGGGCAGGGCATGTGGAGGAGTTTCTGGAATGTATGGCAAAGTTCTATTTTCTTTTTAAAAAATTTTTATTTTTGGATGTGCCGGGTCTTTCTTGCTCCAAGGGCTTCTCTCTCCTTGCACCAAGTGGGGGCTGCTCTCCTGCTGCAAAGCACAGGCTCCCGGGCACACAGGCTTCAGTGGGCTCAGCTGCCCCGAGGTATATGGAAACTTCAGAGACCAGGGATGGAACACACTGCCCCTGCACTGACAGGCAGTTCTTTTTTTGTATTTTTAAAAATATATACATTATTTATTTTATTTTGGTTGCACTGGGTCTTTATTGCTGCACATGGACTTTCTCTAGTTGCAACAGGAAGGGGCTACTCTTTCAATGCACGGGCTTCTCATTGCAGTGGCTTCTTTTGTTGCGGAGCAGAGCTTCTACAACGTGGGCTCAAGAGTTGTCACCCATGGGCTTAGAAGCTCCGAGGGGTAGAACCTGTGTCCCCTGCATTCACTGGCAGCTTCTTATCCATGGAACCACCAGGAAGTCCAAGTTTTACTGGTGCTCAGTAAGCCAAAAAAAAAAAACAAACCAGAATCTACAAATAATAAATGCTGCAGAGTGTATGGAAAAAAGGAAACCTTCCTACACAGTTGATGGGAATGTAAATTGGTGTAGCGACTATGGAAAACGGTAAGAAGAGTCTCCAAAAAACTAAAAATAGTTACCAGAGCCCTCAATCCCATTCCTGGGCATATATCCAGAAAAAACAAAACCTCAAATTTGAAAAGATACATGCACCCCAATGTTCATAGCAGCACTATTTACAGTAGTCAAGACATGGAAGCAACCTAAATGTGCGTCAACAGAGAAATGAATAAGGAAGATGTGGTGTATACATATATGGCGGAATACTACTCAGCCATAAAGATGAAATGATGTCATTGCAGCAACACGCATGGACCTAGAGATTATGATACCTAGTGAAGTAAGTCAGAGAAAGACAAATAATCATATCACTTATACATAGAATCTTAAAAAATGATACAAATGAATTTATTTACAAAACAGAAACAGACTTCAGACACAGAAAACAAATTTATGTGTCCAAAGGAGAAGGGGTGAGGAAGGATATATTAGGAATATGGGATTAACAGAAACACACTACTATGTATAAAATAGATAAACAACATGGGCCTAAAGTATATTATTGTTTCATTTAGTTACTAAGTGGTAGCTGACTCTTGCAACCCCATGGACTGTAGCCCGCCAGGTTTCTCTGTCCATGGGATGTCCCAGGCAAGAATACTGGAGTGGGTTGCCATTTCCTTCTCCAGCAGATCTTCCCAACTCAGGGAATTAACCCATGTCTCCTGCATTGACAGGCAGATTCTTTACCACTGAACCCCCAAGGAAAGTATATCATAGGGAACTATATTCATTACCTTGTAATAACATAATGAAAAAAAAACAGAAAAGGATACAGATCACTGAATCACTTTGCTGTATACCTGAACCACTGTAAATCAACTATACTTCAATTAAAAAAAATGTTTTCAAATAAGAACAAAGCAAGCAGGGTTTCCCTGTGGTCCCGTGGTTAACAATCCGCCTTCTAATGCAGGGGACACCAGTTCAATCACTGGTCTGAGAAGATGCCACATGCCATAGGGCAATGAAGCCTGTGGGCCACAATTACTGAGGCCATGTACCCCAGAGCGGGTGCCCCGCCAATAAGAGAGGCCACTGCGACGCTAAGCCCAAGCACCGCAACTGAAGAGCAGCCGCCGCCACCGGAACTAGAGAAAGCCCCTAGCAGCAAACAAGAACCGACGCAGCATTCCCCTCGCCCGCCCCAAAAACATACTAGCAGAGAGGCTGGAGTTTTCACCGCAGAGGAGTGAACTGCTCCAATCTGCGTTATCAGGAAAATTACCCAGATTGCGCTAGGGGGTCTCCGAGGGGCCTCACAGGGCTGCAGGACCAGAGAAGCTTTCCAGACACAGCTCCCAAACTATTCCAGAAAGCAGTTCTACTTCTTTCCTATTTTGAGCCGAAAGGGTTTTTTTTTTTAAGTGCTCCGGAGACATTAGGGTTAAAAAAAAAAAAAGCTGGAGAGGGACGGTGGTGCTATAAAATCAGAGACTGGAGGGGCTAAAACTAGAGGCAAACCACCAATGAGGAACTTTAACAGAAAAGTCACTGAGAGAGAGGGGGCGCGGGGAAGGGCCCCTGAAGACTGAGAAGAGGCGCCGGAGAGAGAAAAACTTAAAATGCAGACGTGACAACAGTGAGCCAGGGACGTTGCTCCTTACCGTAAACTGGTGTCCCTCCCCGTTTCTATCAAGACATCACTTAAAATTAAGAAAGAAAACGTCGTTAACCTCAGCCAGAGCAGCTTCTGCCAAACGACGCGGAGCTGAACACTACGAGGAAGGCACAGCTAGGGGAGGCTTTGGAGGCAAAAGCCAAAGACTGTTTTAAAAAAAAACAAAAACAGATGGCAGGCAGAAGGGAAAGTGGGGCAGAGGAAAGGTTTCTGATTGTCCATCAAGTGGAGGCGCACTCGTAGGAAGCGGTATCCGCCTGCCCACGGTGGGTGGGAAGCGGTCCCCAGGGTCAGCCGTTGCAATGCTGATAGCACGGTAATAGCCGGGCCCGGGGCCCACGTCCCCGAGGCCGCAGCGGGACAGGGCGCTGGGGTCCACGAAGAAGGGGGCCTTACCTTTGTGCTTCCGGAAGCAGGGCAAGGAACAGCTGCAAAAACAAAGCCACAGGCCGCGTCAGCTCCGAGAGCGGAGCGGACCCTCCCGCCGCCCCTCCCCTGCCCCGCGACCCCCGGCACTCACTAGGGCACGCGGCAGGCGGGGCAGCGGTATTTGGGCTTCTCCGAACAGACAACGCAGACGGAAGTCCCGCAGCTGAGCGACGCCATGGTCTCTCCCAGGTCGCTTTCCCCGCCGGCGCGCCAGCCCCGGGCCCCCTCGCCCCACGTGCACGCCCTTTCTTCCGTTTCCTCAACCAGGACCAATCAGCGTGCAGCACTTACAGTCACAAGCAATCGATTAATCCCGCTCCTGGTTCCAGGCCTGAGAAGTAGAAAGTCGATGCACTCGATACGCACCCAGAGCCCATTGTCAGGGGTACTCCCTGATTAGGGCTTCCCTTGAGGCTCAGTTGGTAAACAATCCGCCCGTAATGCGGGTGACCTGGGTTCGATCCCTGCGTTGGGAAGATCCCCTGGAGAAGGGAACCCACTCCAGTATTCTGGCCTGGAGAATTTCATGGCCTGTATACAGTCCATCGGATCGCAAAGAGTCGGACACAACTGAGTGGCTTTCACTCCCTGATTAGGTCACGTCGTGGAAGAACTTGTTATATAGCCCTGTGCCTGTCCCTACATGGCTACGTGACTTTCAGCAAGTCATTGTCACTCTCCAGCCCTGGTACATGTTCTGCATGTACCTAAAAAGAATAGGTGGGACTAAATGCCCTTTTTCTCCTGCCTTGGACTTTCTCAGTATTGCATGGGTATTGGGTTCTCCCCACACATCTCTTTTTTTTTTTTTTTTTAGTTATTTCTCCAGAGATCTAGTGCTGTATCCTGATTTCTTTTTTTTTCCATTTATTTTTATTAGTTGGAAGCTAATTACTTTACATCATTGCAGTGGTTTTTGTCATACATTGAAATGAATTAGCCATGGATTTACATGTATTCCCCATCCCGGCCCCCCCTCCCACCTCCCTCTCCACCCGATCCCTTCTCATTTGGGCTTCCCTGGTGGCTCAGCTGGAAAAGAATCCGCCTGCAATGCGGGAGACCTGGGTTCCATCCATGGGTTGGGAAGATCCCCTGGAGAAGGAAAAGGGTACCCACCCCAGTATTCTGGCCTGGAGAATCCCCATGGACAGAGGAGCCTGGCAGGCCACAGCCCATGGCATGGTAAAGAGTCAGGCACGACTGAGCGACTAAGCACAGCAAATGAGAAGTCCACACTCTGGCCAAACCAGACTCAGCTAGACCATGTGACACACATGTGCCCTTCCCGACCATTTTTCTCACAGGAAAGGAAGACAAGCCTTGGCCACTGACAAATGTTTATTGAGCTCTAACTGTGAGCCCTGTGCTTCTCAGATGCTGGGCTGGGAACACCCAGGGATTAGCAGGCATCTCTGGGAGCTTAAGGCTTAGAGTGAAGGCAGGAGGGAGAATCCCTGGGTGGGACTGATTGGCCAGGGAACAGATGAGTGACCTCTGGCCCAAAGGTGGATATCCTGGTCCAGAAAAGGGCTTGAATGCCACCTCGGGCTTTAGGGATAGACAAAGTCACATTTTATTGGGAGCCCTGCTCCTCTTCAAAGCTTTGAGCACTGTCCAGCTTTACCAGGCTTCCCACTCCACATGTGCGGTGCTGTCTTGGGGTCATAAGTCACCCTCACTGCCTAATCCTAACCCTAACCCCTTTGCATTGATCCATCAGCCCTCAGGATCTCCTTACTACAAGGGCCCCACTCCACTGTCACAGTCTGTAGGGATGAATCTGCTACATCCCCAAGCAGCCATTCAAATCTCAGCTCAGACCCCTCACTGTCTGTGTGACTTGGAGAGACTGGCTACCCTATCTGACCTCCCCCACCTGTTAGAGTAGATGTTCCTACTTTCCTGAGCTATTGCAAGGCAGAGAGGTGACTGTAAAAAGATTTGTGATCTGAAGTGCTACAAAGGGTTATTTATGTGATTTCTAGAGTCTATAACTCTTTTGGAGCTCTGGTCCCAACCCCATAAGCCCAGGTTCCAGGCTCTGAGTCCCTGGAGGCTGAGGTCTTGGAGCTCAGGCCCCTCTAAAAGGGTTCCACTGCCAGCCTCAGTGAGCCGCACTGGGGTTGGGCTGGAATGACTAGCCGTCACTCCTTCGGCTTTGCCAGGCTGTTGAGGCTGCTGTCCAGTCCTCGGTGCTGAAGTGGCACTGCCCCTCTGGTTGCCTACCTGCCCCAGCATGCAGCTGCCCCTGCCTCCAGCCTCCTAACAGAACTCACACCAAAATCCAATGTATTCCCACTGATCCAATACTCTGACGCATTCCTTGTATCCCTCAACAGTTATGACCGCTGCTGGTTTGAATCGGAAGTCTCCCAGAAAGTCTGCACTTAACAGGGAAGGACAGAGGTCAGTGACTTGAATCCCCTGCTCTCTGGCATCAGTACTAATTCCCCAGCTATGGACATCACCATCGCCCACCCAGACTTTTCCTGTGAGCTGTGTTTGGAGACTGAGGCCATGGAGAGTTTCCACAATTTTCAGGGGCTCAACCTGAGCCCATCCACATCCACACCCACACCATGCTGACTCCCCTACCTTCCGGTTCAGAGATGGTGCCTCCAGCAAAAAGAAACTTCCTGGAATTCCTCTCATGCAAATTGCATTCAGTAGAAATACCTCTTCTACTCTGGGTGACCCCCATCTTCCATGGACCCCTCCCACTCCAATATCCAGGAAAGGAGGTGTCTCAACTGTGATGGCGGGGAGGTTGGGGAGCATCCAGAAGCAGCGACAGAAGCCTGGTACAGCTCCTCTGGGCAGTGGCTAGTTCAGAGCAGAAAGACAGGTATGACTCTGGGCCCAACAACTAGACGCCCACAGATTTGCCCTGGCTCTCTATGGTCCCCCATCACGCCCTCCTAGCAGCTAAGGCTGTCTCACGTCTTCTCAGCGTCAGCTTGAGGCGCAGAGCAGAACCTGGAGAGAGGAGAGGTAATAATCAAGGCAGAATGGTTTCCAGAGCCCCGCTGTCTGGCAGGCGCTGTCCAGCACATTCCAGGAAGGTCCAGCCCAACGCCGACGCCGAAGACTGGAGGCGTTGTCTTGAAAGTGGAGGCCCAGGTCCGGCACCGAGCACCGCCAGAGGGCGCCCCAGATCGAGATTGGTCCTGGCGCGGCCGGCGCCAGAGCAGGTCTGCAGCGCCTCTGGCACCCAACTTTGCACCTTGGGTGGGAGGCAACACGTACCACGCAGGGAAAAGCAAACCCAGGCCTGGCCTGCGCAAGAAAGAGGGTCAAGAGTGCCGAGTTGAAGCCGACGACCGGATGGGCAGCAGTGACTCTTCCATGAAAGCAAGGCCCACGCCAGGCCAGCCGAGAGCTCCAAATGCGCCTGGCTGTCCAGGGAGAGTTCCCGAGGTTGCCCCCCGCCCGACCCGCGCCTCTTAGCAACCCCTGGGGCAAAGATCCAGCTGGAAGCTGGCCACCCCATATTAGCTTGATGAAAGCTTAATAGTGCTTCTGGAACTTTCAGATGACTAACTAGGGCACACCCAGTGCCCTGCGTCTTTCCTGATGCCATGATGGGGTGGGCTATAGGCTGCATAATGGCCGTATCCGAGGCTAGAGGTTGATAAAGCTGGGCTCCCTGTGGAGCTGTGCTAAATCCCAGCTTCTTTCTGCAGTCCTAATACCTCTAACCCTCCACCCTCTTGATTGCACCAAGAGAAATGTCCACGGTGGTGTGTTTCGGGAACCTATACCAGCTGGTTTCATCTCCTACCCTTCCACTTACTCTCTGGTATCTGAGAAAGTGCTTCAGAAGTTAAAGGGGGTGAGGTTGTTGGTATGAATCAAATAAAGACAGCCTGAGGTTCTGGTGGAGTGGCTTCCAAGTCATCTGATTTCAACTCTCTGCGTGTTATTTTATCTTGCAATGGCATTCATTCCCCAGCTCGAGACAATGACAGTCTGACCTTCCATTAGACTTCAAGGAGAACTTCCAAACAACAAAAGACATAAGGGCTTCCCTCCTGGGCCAGTTGTCAACAATCTGCCTTCTGATGCAGGGACGTGGCTTTTGATCCCTGGTCAGGGAACTAAGATCCCACGTGCTGTGAATCAATTAAGTTCCTGCACTGCAACTAGAGAATCTGTGTGCAGCAACCAACGAGACTGTGTTATGAACTACGACCCGACAGTCAAAAATATAGTTTTTAAAAATTTTTTTAAAAGAGAGAGAGAATAATTGCATTGTCTCAGCAGAACTGGTAGAAGAGCACAGACCTTAAAGGTCACTACCACCCAAACCCCACACTTTCATTTTCTCACACCTTCTTCCATTTGCAAGTCAACATACATACATCTCTCACCATACATTCCCTAGAACAGAGATCAAAGGAATCAAATAAAAATAAAAGCCCTGAGACTCCTTCATCAGCAGATCTGCACAGGAAAGTTATTCAGGCCATAGGAAAGTGATATCAGATGCAAATTAAAATCACAATATAATACCATAAACGTACCAGAGTAACTAAAATTGCAAAGTTTGGCAATACTAAGTGTTGGCAAGGGGTCTGCTATGAATTGGACATTTGCACCCCCTCGAAATTCATATGCTGAAATCCCAGCCCCCAATGTGATAGTATTAAGAGGTGGGTGGGGCCTTTGATAGGTGATAAGCTCATGAGGATGGAGCACTTGTGAATGGTGTTAGTGCTCTTATGAATGACCCCCCAGAGGGTTCTCCTGCCCTCTTTCTGTGAATAACAGTCTGTGAAGCAGGCACCAAGTCTGGTGGCACCTTGATGTTGGACTTCTCAGCCTCCAGAACTGTGAGGATAAAAAGCTGATGGGACTTCCTTGGTGGGTGAGTTCAATGCCCTATCAGAGAACTAAGATCCCACGTGCTGTGGGCCAGCTGAGCCCAGCACTACAGGGAAGAGCCCGAACACAGTGATGAAAAACCCCACATGCCTCATGCGTACGTGCTACAAATAAGACCCAACGCAAGTAAACATTTTCCTAGACATTTACATTCAAGCCACCCATTTTATAGTATTCTTATTATAGCAGCCCAAATGGTTTAAGACAGAAATTGGTACCAGGAACCTAAAAATGTGAAAACAGCTTTGGAACCCGGTAATGGTAGAGGCCGGAAGAGTTTCGAGATGCAG